CTAAAAATACCCCCACAAACACCCCTAAAATTGCCCCAAAATACCCAAAAATTACCCCAAAAAACCCCAAAACCATCCCAAAATCCACCCCAAAAAACCCACAATGCCCCTGAGAAACTGCCCAGAAAAAAATCCCAAAACACCCCAAAAATACCCAAAAAAACCCCCAAAATCCTCCTCCAAAAAGCCCCAAAAACCCCCAATACCATCCCAAGAAAAACCCCAAAACCACCCTAAAATCCCCCCAAAAAAATCCACTCTAAAAAACCCCAAAATCCCCCCAAAATTCCATCAAAAAACCCCAAAAATCTCCAAAAAAACCCAAAAAATCCCCCTTAAAAAACCCAGAAACACCCCAAAAATACCCCAAAATTACCTCAAAAAAAAACCTCAAAAAACCACCTGGAAATCCCAAAATCCCCCAAAAAAAACCCCAAATCCGCCCAAAAAAACACCCAAAAAACCCCTAAAACCCCCCTAAAAAATCCCCCAAAAGACACAAAATCTGTCCAAAAAACACCCAAAAAAACCCCAAAAATCCACAAAAACCCCCAAAACCACCCCAAAATTCCCCCAAAAAACCCAAAAAGTCCCAAAACCAACCTAAAAAAAAAACCCCAAAATACCCCCAAAAAGCCCCAAACCACCCCAAAATTCCCCAAAAAAACCCAAAAAACTCCCCCTGAAAAGCTCCAAAAAACCCCAAAATTTCCCCCAAAAAACCCAAAAAAATCCCAAAACCAACCTAAAAAAACCCCAAAATTCGCCCCAAAAAACCCCAAAAAACTCCCCAAAATTCCCCCCCAAAAACCCAAAATACCCAAAAAACTCCCCCCAAAAAACCCCAAAAAATGCCCAAAATTCCCCCCAAAAAAACCCCAAAAAAATCTGAAAAAAAACCCCAAAACCCCCAAAATTCCATCAAAAAACCCCAAAAATACCCAAAAAATACCCCAAATTACTCCCAAAAACGGCCCCAAAAATGCTCTCCAAAAAACCCCAAAAAACAGCCAAAAATACCCCAAAAACCAACCAAAAATACCCAAAAAACAGCCAAAATAATCTGAAAAATGTCCCAAAAATACCCCACAAATGCTCTCAAAATACCCCCAAAAATACCCCAAAAATCAGCCTAAAAATCCCCCAAAACCACCCCAAAAATGCCCCTTAACCCATCCCTTAAATACCCCCCAAAATACCCCAATATTCTCCCAAACCACCCCAAAATTACCCCAAAACCACCCAAAAATTACCCCAAAACCACCCTAAAAATGCCCCCACAAACACCCCTAAAATTGCCCCAAAACACCCAAAAATTACCCCAAAAAACCCCAAAACCGTCCCAAAATCCACCCAAAAAAACCCACAATGCCCCTGAGAAACTGCCGAGAAAAACCCTAAAAACACCCCAAAAATACCCAAAAAAAACCCCAAAATCCTCCTCCAAAAAGCCCCAAAAACCCCCAATACCACCCCAAGAAAAACCCCAAAACCACCCTAAAATCCCCCAAAAAAATCCCAAAACCACCCTAAAATCCCCCCAAAAAAATCCCAAAACCACCCTAAAATCCCCCAAAAAAATCCGCTCTAAAAAAACCCCAAATCCCCCCAAAATTCCATCAACAAACCCCAAAAAGCTCCAAAATAACCCAAAAAATCCCCCTTAAAAAACCCAAAAACAACCCAAAAATACCCCAAAATTACCTAAAAAAAAAACCCCAAAAAACCACCTGGAAATCCCAAAATCCCCCAAAAAACCCCAAATCTGCCCAAAGAAACACCCAAAAAACCCCAAAACCACCCTAAAAAATCCCCCCCAAAAAAACCCAAATATGCCCAAAAAACCACCCAAAATACCCCCAAAAACCAAAAAATCCCCAAAACCGCCCCAAAAACCCAAAAAAAGCTCCAAAATCCCGCCAGAAAAATCCCCAAAAATACCCCAAAAAAATCCCCCCAAAAGAACACAAAACTCACCCAAAATACCCCCAAAAAAAACCCCAAATAACCCCAAATTTCCCCCCAAAAAACCCCAAATTTTCTAAAAAAAACGCAAAAAACTCCCCCTGAAAAGCTCCAAAAAAACCCAAAACCACCCCAAAATTCCCCCAAAAAACCCCAAATTTTCCCCCAAAAAACCCAAAAAATCCCCAAACCAACCTAAAAAAACCCCCCAAAATTCCCCCCAAAAACCCAAAAAATTGCCCCAAAACCACCCTAAAAATGCCCCCACAAACACCCCTAAAATCGCCCCAAATTACCCCAAAAAACCCCAAAACCATCCCAAAATCCACCCAAAAAAACCCCACAATGCCTCTGAGAAACTGCCCAGAAAAACCCTAAAAACACCCCAAAAATACCCAAAAAAACCCCAAAATCGTCCTCTAAAAAGCCCCAAAAACCCCCAATGCCACCCCAAGAAAAACCCCAAAACCACCCTAAAATCCCCCCAAAAAATCCACTCTAAAAAACCCCAACATCCCCCCAAAATTCCATCAAAAAACCCCAAAAAACTCCAAAAAAACCCAAAAAATCCCCCTTAAAAAACCCAAAAACACCCCAAAAACACCCCAAAATTACCTCAAAAAAACCCCCAAAAAACCACCTGGAAATCCCAAAATCACCACAAAAAAACCCAAATATGCCCAAAATAAACACCCAAAAAACCCCCAAACCACCCTAAAAAATCCCCCCAAAAAAACCCAAATCTGCCCAAAAATACCACCCAAAAACCCCTAAAACCACCCTAAAAAATCCCCCCAAAAAAACCCAAATCTGCCCAAAAAACACCCCAAAATACCCCAAAAAACAATAAAAACCCCCAAACCCACCCCAAAAACCCCAAAAAAGCTCCAAAATTCCCCCCAGAAAAATCCCAAAAAATACCCCAAAAAAACCCCCCAAAAGAACCCGAAACTCACCCAAAATACCCCAAAAAAACCCCAAAAAATTCCCCCCGAAAAGCCCCAAAAAACCCTAAAACCACCTCAAAATTTCCCCAAAAACCCCCAAATTTTCCCCCAAAAAAACCCGAAAAATCCCAAAACCAACAAAAAAAAAACCCCCAAAATTCTCCCCAAAAAAACCCAAAAAATTCCCCCCGAAAAGCTCCAAAAAACCCCAAAACTACCCAAAAATTCCCCAAAAAACCCCAAACTTTCCCCCAAAAAAACCCAAAAAAGTCCCAAAACCACCCTAAAAAAAACCCCCAAATTTCCCCCTAAAAACCCCCAAAATTACCCCAAAACCACCCAAAAATCACCCCAAAACCACCCTAAAAATGCCCCCACAAACACCCCTAAAATTGCCCCAAAATTACCCCAAAAAACCCCAAAACCATCCCAAAATCCACCCAAAAAAACCCACAATGCCCCTGAGAAACTGCCCAGAAAAACCCTAAAAACACCCCAAAAATACCCAAAAAAACCCCAAAATCCTTCTCCAAAAAGCCCCAAAAACCCCCAAAACCACCCCAAGAAAAACCCCAAAACCACCCTAAAATCCCCCAAAAAATCCCAAAACCACCCTAAAATCCCCCAAAAAATCCACTCTAAAAAACCCTGAAATCCCCCCAAAATTCCATCGAAAAACCCCAAAAATCTCCAAAAAACTCAAAAAAATCCCACTTAAAAAACCCAAAAACACCCCAAAAATACCCCAAAATTACCTCAAAAAAAACCCCAAAAAACCACCTGGAAATCCCAAAATCCCCCCAAAAAACCCCAAATCTGCCCAAAAAAACACCCAAAAAAACCCCAAAACCACCCTAAAAAATCCCAAAAAAAACCCCAAATCTGCCCAAAAAAACACCCAAAAATACCCCAAAAAACCCACAAAAAACCCCAAAACCGCCCCAAAAACCCCAAAAAAACTCCAAAATTCCCCCCAGAAAAATCCCCCAAAAAATCCCCCCAAAAAAACCCAAAACTCACCCAAAATACCCCAAAAAAAACCCCAAACCGCCCCAAAATTCCCCAAAAAACCCCAAATTTTCCCCAAAAGCACCCAAAAAATCCCAAAACCAACCTAACAAAAAAGCCCCAAAATTCCCCCAAAAAACCCAAAAATTCCCCCCAAAAAATCCCAAAATACCCAAAAAAATCCCCCAAAAAAACCCCCAAAATTCCCCTCAAAAAAACCACCTAACCACCCCAAAATTCCCTAAAAAAACCCCAAAAAATTCCCCCTGAAAAGCTCCAAAAACCCCCAAAACCACCCCAAAATTCCCCAAAAAAACCCCAAATTTTCCCCAAAAAACCAAAAAAAATCCCAAAACCAACAAAAGAAAAAAACCCCAAAATTCCCCCCAAAAAAACCCCCAAACCACCCCAAAATTCCCAAAAAAACCTTCAAAAAACTCCCCCTGAAAAGCTCCAAAAAATTCCAAAATTCCCCCAAAAAACCCAAATCTTCCCCAAAAAAACCCAAAATATTCCCCCTGAAAAGCTCCAAAAACCCCAAACCACCCCAAAATTCCCCCAAAAACCCCCAAATTTTCTCCCCAAAAAACCCCAAAAAATCCCAAAACCAACCTAAAAAAACCCCAAAATTCCCCCAAAAACCCCAAAAATTCCCCCCCCAAAACCCCCAAAATACCCAAAAAACTCCCCCAAAGAAACCCCAAAATATCCCCAAAATTCCCCCAAAAAAAACCCCAAAAATTTCCCCCAAAAAAACCCGAAAAAATCCCCAAAATCCCCCCCAAAAAACCCCAAAAAATCTGAAAAAAAACCCCAAAAACCCCAAAAAATTCCCAAAATTTCCCCTAAAGAACCCCAGAGGTGGAGCTGTACTGGTTTATACTGGTTTATACTGGTTTATACTGGTCATACTGGTTTATACTGGTTTATACTGGTCCATACTGGTCTATACTGGTCTATACTGGTTTATACTGGTTTATACTGGTCCATACTGATTTATACTGGTTTATACTGGTTTATACTGGTTTATACTGGTCCATACTGATTTATACTGGTTTATACTGGTTTATACTGGTGCAGGCTGCCTGCTGACCCTGGCTCTGCTTTTGGCCGCGTTGGATCCTCGGGGCGGCGCCCGCGAGATCCGGGACCACCTGGAGAGCCTCAGGGTAACTGGTTTATACTGGTTTATACTGGTTTATACTGGTTTATACTGGTTTTTATGGTTTATACTGGTTTATACTGGTTTATACTGGTTTATACTGGGCAGGCCGCCGACCCGCTGCGCTCCGGTTTCGTGGCCGATGTCCAGTCCCGGTTCGAGGCCGCCTTGGCCGTACTGGGAGCGGGGGAGGGGCTGAGCCTGGCCAACAAGGTAACTGGTTTATACTGGTTTGTACTGGTTTATACTGGTTTGGGGTTTGGGGTTACTGGTTTGTACTGGGAGGGAACTGGGATGAACTGGGAGGGGGTTTGGGTGTGGTGGGAGGGAGTTAAAGGGTTAAAAATGGTTGAAAAAGGGGGAAAAATGGGGAAATGGGGATTTTTTTATACTGGTTTATACTGGTTTATACTGGTTTGGGGTTTGGGGTTACTGGTTTGTACTGGTTTATACTGGGAGGGAACTGGGAGGGGACTGGGATGAACTGGGAGGGGGTTTCAAGGTGATGGAAGGGAGTTAAAGGGTTAAAAATGGTTGAAAAGGGGGAAAAAGGGAGAAAATTGGGATTTTTTTATACTGGTTTGTACTGGTTTATACTGGTTTGTACTGGTTTGGGGTTTGGGGTTACTGGTTTGTACTGGGAGGGAACTGGGATGAACTGGGAGGGGGTTTGGAAAGAGTGTGAGGGAATTAAAGGGTTAAAAATGGTTAAAAAAAGGGGAAAAAAGGGCGAAAATTGGGATTTTTTATACTGGTTTATACTGGTTTGTACTGGTTTGGGGTTTGGGGTTACTGGTTTATACTGGGAGGGGACTGGGATGAACTGGGAGGGGATTTGGAAGGAGTGGGAGGGAATTAAAGGGTTAAAAATGGGGGAAAATGGGGGAAAATTGGGAAAATGAGGATTTTTTTATACTGGTTTGTACTGGTTTATACTGGTCCATACTGGTTTATACTGGTTTATACTGGTTTATACTGGTCCATACTGGTTTATACTGGTTTAGAAGGGTTTATAGGGGTTTAAACCAGTTTAAACTGGTTTGTAGTGGTCTATACTGGTTTTTAGCTGCTTATAATGGTTTATTTGGGTTTATTTGGGTTTATACTGGTTTATACTGGTTTATACTGGTTTGTACTGGTTCATACTGGTTTATACTGGTTTGTACTGGTTTAGGGGCTGCGGTCGGTGCCGTTCCTGGAGCGCATGCCTGGCTGGAACTGGGTTATACTGGGTTATACTGGTTTATACTGGTTTATACTGGTTTATAGCGTTTATTTGGGTCTATACTGGTCTATACTCGTCCATACTGGTTTATACTGGTTTATACTGGTTTGTACTGGTTTAGGGGCTGAGGTCGGTGCCGTTCCTGGAGCGCATGGCCGCCGTGAGCCGGTTGGAACTGGTTGGGAACGAACTGCGGGAGCTGCCGGCGGCACTGGGAGCGCTGAGGAGCCTGAGGGTGAGAAACCAGTACAAACCAGTATACACCAGTATACACCAGTAACACACCAGTAACATCCCAGTTAAACCAGTAACATCCCAGTTAAACCAGTAACACATCCCAGTTACACCAGTAACAGCTGGGAGCGCTGAGGAGCCTGAGGGTGAGAAACCAGTACAAACCAGTATACACCAGTAACACACCAGTAACACACCAGTAACACACCAGTAACATCCCAGTAACACCAGTGACATCCCAGTTAAACCAGTAACACATCCCAGTTACACCAGTAACAGCTGGGAGCGCTGAGAGGCCTGAGGGTGAGAAACCAGTACAAACCAGTATACACCAGTAACATCCCAGTTACATCCCAGTTACATCCCAGTAACACCAGTAACACAGCCCAGTTACACCAGTAACCATTCCCAGTTACACCAGTAACAGCTGGGAGCGCTGCGGGGCCTGAGGGTGAGAAACCAGTTAAACCAGTAACACACCAGTAACACCAGTAACCATTCCCAGTAACACCAGTAACCATTCCCAGTTACACCAGTAACCATTCCCAGTTACACCAGTAACACCAGTAACCATTCCCAGTTACACCAGTAACACCAGTAACCATTCCCAGTTACACCAGTAACACACCAGTTACACACCAGTAACACCAGTTACATCCCAGTTACACACCAGTTAAACCAGTAACCATTCCCAGTTACACCAGTAACACCAGTAACCATTCCCAGTTACACCAGTAACACCAGTAACCATTCCCAGTAACACCAGTTACACCAGTAACCCCTCCCAGTAGAACCAGTAACCCCTCCCAGTCCCTCCCAGTATAAATCAGTCCCTCCCAGTTTGATCCCAGTCCCTCCCAGTATAAACCAGTTCCCTCCCAGTCCCCTCCCAGTCCCCTCCCAGTCCCTCCCAGTCCATCCCAGTATAAACCAGTTCCCTCCCAGTTCCCTCCCAGTCCCTCCCAGTCCCTCCCAGTATAAACCAGTTCCCTCCCAGTTTGATCCCAGTCCCCCCCAGTCCCTCCCAGTTCCCTCCCAGTCCCTCCCAGTTCATCCCAGTTCCCTCCCAGTCCCTCCCAGTTTGATCCCAGTCCATCCCAGTATAAACCAGTGCCCTCCCAGTCCCTCCCAGTATAAACCAGTTCCCTCCCAGTTTGATCCCAGTCCCTCCCAGTCCCTCCCAGTTCATCCCAGTATAAACCAGTCCCCCCCAGTTCCCTCCCAGTTCATCCCAGTTTCCTCCCAGTCCCTCCCAGTATAAACCAGTCCCTCCCAGTCCCTCCCAGTCCCTCCCAGTCCCTCCCAGTCCCTCCCAGTTCCCCCCAGTCCGTCCCAGTCCCTCCCAGTCCGTCCCAGTACAAACCAGTTTGCAGGAACTGGATCTCTCCGACAACCACGTGACCGAGGTGGGCGTGGCCCCGCCCCTCCCCCGCCTGCGGCTGCTGCGGCTGGACCGGAACCGTACGGACTGGTTTATACTGGTTTATACTGGTTTATACTGGGAGGGACTGGGAGGGCACTGGGAGGGCACTGGGAGGGACTGGGAGGGACTGGGATGGACTGGGAGGGACTGGGAGGGACTGGGAGGGAACTGGTTTATACTGGGATGAACTGGGAGGGACTGGGAGGGAACTGGTTTATACTGGGAGGGCACTGGTTTATACTGGGAGAGACTGGGAGGGCACTGGTTTATACTGGGAGGGGACTGGGAGGGAACTGGTTTATACTGGGAGGGACTGGGAGGGACTGGGAGGGAACTGGTTTATACTGGGAGGGACTGGGAGGGACTGGGAGGGAACTGGTTTATACTGGGAAGGACTGGGAGGGCACTGGTTTATACTGGGAGGGGACTGGGAGGGAACTGGTTTATACTGGGAGGGACTGGGAAGGAACTGGGATGGACTGTGAGGGAACTGGTTTATACTGGGAGGGACTGGAAGGGCACTGGTTTATACTGGGAGGGCACTGGTTTATACTGGGAGGGACTGGGAGGGCACTGGTTTATACTGGGAGGGGACTGGGAGGGAACTGGTTTATACTGGGAGGGACTCAGAGGGCACTGGTTTATACTGGGATGGACTGGGAGGGTACTGGTTTATACTGGGAGGGCACTGGGAGGGCACTGGTTTATACTGGGAGGGCACTGGTTTATACTGGGAGGGACTGGGAGGGAACTGGTTTATACTGGGAGGGAACTGGGAGGGAACTGGTTTATACTGGGAGGGCACTGGTTTATACTGGGAGGGACTGGGAGGGCACTGGTTTATACTGGGAGGGCACTGGTTTATACTGGGAGGGCACTGGTTTGTACTGGTTCATACTGGGAGGGACTGGGCAGCCCTGCGGCTCCATACTGGTCCATACTGGTCCATACTGGGGCGGCATTTCCCGCGCTGGGGGGAAAAGGGGCGTGGCTTAGCCGCCAGTGGGCGTGGTCTAACCGGTCACGCCTCCAGCCATTGGCCACGCCTCCGCTCTCGCCCCATTGGCTGCCTGGCCCCGCCTTGCCCTGCTGGGATTGGCTGAGACCCCGCTGGGCTCCGCCCCCGGCGGCCCCGCCCACCTGGCCGAGCTCCTCCCCGGTGTCGACGTCACTTTCAGCTGATTGGCTGCTGCTGGAGGCCACGCCCCTCTGCCGCGGTGGCCACGCCCCCTTTGCCGTTCGGCGCGGGAACTTCCGGGTCTGGAGTTCAATAAAGTGACGGCCCAGTTCGTCCCAGTTTGTCCCAGTTTATCCCAGTTCCATTCAATCCCTTCCCAGTCCTTCCCAGTAACCCCAAACCCCCTCCCAGTTCCATTCAATCCCTTCCCAGTCCCTCCCAGTAACCCCAAATCCCCTCCCAGTTCCATTCAATCCTCTCCCAGTCCCTCCCAGTCCCTCCCAGTCCCTCCCAGTCCCTCCCAGTTCATCCCAGTCCCTCCCAGTTACCTCATCCCAACCACCGCCCCTGTTGCGCCACATTGGGTGGGGGAGGGGTGGGGGGGTGGGGGAGGGGCAGCGGTCAGACCTGTCCGGGGGGTGGGGGAGGGGCGGAATGCGTCAGTGCCATATAGTGATCTATAGGCCCAACCCTGGGGCGAGGCCGTGCCAAATAGTGAGCCATAGGGTCAGCCTATAGGAACCACCTATAGGAACCGCCCTGCCACATAGTGAGCCATGGGGTCAGCCCATAGGGACCCCTCCCTGCCAAATAATGAGCCATAGGGTCAGCCTATAGGAACCACCTATAGGAACCGCCCTGCCACATAGTGAGCCATGGGGTCAGCCCATAGGGACCCCTCCCTGCCAAATAATGAGCCATAGGGTCAGCCTATAGGAACCACCTATAGGAACCACCCTGCCACACAGTGAGCCATGGGGTCAGCCTATAGGGACCCCTCCCTGCCAAATAGTGATCCATAGGGTCAGCCTATAGGAACCACCTATAGGAACCGCCCTGCCACATAGTGAGCCATTGATTTGCCCTATAGGGACCCCTCCCTGCCAAATACTGAGCCATTAACCCTATAGATCCGTCTGCCATATAGTGATCCATTAGATTTCCCATAGGGACCCCTCTGCCATATAGTGATCCATTAGAAACCCCTATAGACCCCCTCCATGCCAAATGTTGATCCATTTCCCCTATAGACAGTCACTGCCATATAGTTATCCATTATAATTCCCATAGGGACCCCCCTGCCATATAGTGATCCATCAGAAACCCCATAGACCCCCTCAATGCCAAATAATGAGCCTTTACCCCTATAGACCCCTCCCTGCCAAATATTGATCCATATCCCCTATAGACCCCTCTGCCATATAGTGATCCATTAGAAACATCTATAGACCCCCTCCCTGCCAAATAATGAGCCATTAACCCTATAGACCCCTCTGCCATATAGTGATCCATTAGAAACCCCTATAGACCCCCTCCCTGCCAAATAATGAGCCATTAACCCTATAGACCCCTCTGCCATATAGTGATCCATTGGAAACCCCATAGACCCCCTCCCTGCCAAATAATGAGCTATTAACCCTATAGACCCCTCTGCCATATAGTGATCCTATGGAAACCCCCATAGACCCCTCCATGCCAAATATTGATCCATATACCCTATAGACCCCCTCTGCCATATAGTGATCTATTAGAAACCCTATAGACCCCCTCCCTGCCAAATATTGAGCCAGTTCCCCTATACACCCCTCTGCCATATAGTGAGCTATAGGAAACCCCTATAGACCCCCTCCATGCCAAATATTGATCCATTTCCCCTATAGACCCCTCTGCCATATAGTGATCCATTGGATTTCCCATAGGGACCCCTCTGCCATATAGTGATCCATTAGAATTCCCATAGGGACCCCTCTGCCATATAGTGATCCATTGATTTACCCTATAGGGACCCCTCCCTGCCAAATTATGAGCCATTAACCCTATAGACCCCTCTGCCATATAGTGATCCGTTAGAAACCCCATAGACCCCCTCCATGCCAAATATTGATCCATATCCCCTATAGACAGTCACTGCCATATAGTGATCCATTATATTTCCTATAGGGACCCCTCTGCCACATAGTGATCCATTGGATTTCCCATAGGGACCACCACCCAGTGGGTTATACTGGTTTATACTGGTTTATACTGGCAGTGCGCTCCGAAGATTCAGGACCCGCTGGGAACGACTGTTGGGGTCACTGGTTTATACTGGTTTGTACTGGTTTATACTGGTTTATACTGGTTTGTACTGGGGGAGCGCTCCCGAAGCCCCGGGACGCACTGGGAATGATTTAAGGCATACTGGTTTGTACTGGTTTATACTGGGAGGGCGCTCAGGACACTGCGGGCCCCACTGGGAACCATTCTGGGTGGTTCCGCTCTTACTGGTTTGTACTGGTTTGTACTGGGAAGTGTTCCGGGGTTGCCACATAGTGATCCATTGTTCCGCCCATAGTGCCAAATAGTGAGCCAAAGGGGCGGGGCCTGTGTTGGCCACGCCCCTTTCCCCACTGGCCACGCCCCTTCCTCCGATGGCCACGCCCCTTTTACGCTCCGCCGGCACTGGGAGTTACTGGGAGTTACTGGGAGCTACTGGGAGCCCCCGAGGAGGTACTGGGAGCACTGGGAGGGCGAACTGGGCAAACTGGGAGCATTGGGAAGGGGTTACTGGGCAAACTGGGAGCACTGGGGGGTTACTGGGAGCGCTGGGAGGGTGAACTGGGCAAACTGGGAGCACTGGGAGGGGCAAATGGGGTAACTGGGAGCACTGGGGGGTTACTGGGAGCACTGGGAGGGGGTTACTGGGCAAACTGGGAGCACTGGGAGCACTGGGAGGGGGTTACTGGGCAAACTGGGCAAACTGGGAGCACTGGGAGGGGGTTACTGGGCAAACTGGGAGCACTGGGAGGGGGTTACTGGGCAAACTGGGAGCACTGGGAGCACTGGGAGGGGTTACTGGGCATACTGGGAGCACTGGGAGGGGGTTACTGGGCAAACTGGGAGTACTGGGAGCACTGGGAGGGGGTTACTGGGCATACTGGGAGCACTGGGAGGGGGTTACTGGGCATACTGGGAGCACTGGGAGGGGGTTACTGGGCAAACTGGGAGTACTGGGAGCACTGGGAGGGGGTTACTGGGCATACTGGGAGCACTGGGAGGGGGTTACTGGGCAAACTGGGAGCACTGGGAGGGGGTTACTGGGTAAACTGGGAGCACTGGGAGCAATGGGAGGGGGTTACTGGTCATACTGGGAGCACTGGGAGGGGTGACTGGGGCTGCCGGAAGCGGGAACTGGGAGCACTGGGAGCACTGGGAGGGGTCACTGGGCAAACTGGGAGCACTGGGAGGGGTTACTGGGCAAACTGGGAGCACTGGGAGGGGTCACTGGGCAAACTGGGAGCACTGGGAGGCGTTACTGGGCAAACTGGGAGGGGTTACTGGGAGAACTGGGAGAACTGGTCTGGCGGGGGAGGAGCTGCTGGGACAGGCCCGGCCCGGGGGGACTGGGAGGGACTGGGATGAACTGGGAGGGACTGGGAGGGACTGGGAGGGACTGGGATCAAACTGGGAGGGACTGGGATCAAACTGGGAGGGACTGGGAGGGACTGGGATCAAACTGGGAGGGGTTACTGGGTAGGATTGGGGGTTACTGGTTTATACTGGGAGCACTGGGAGCCAAACTGGGTCATACTGGGACCACTGGGATCTATACTGGGAGCACTGGGAGCCATACTGGGAGCACTGGGAGCCAAACTGGGAATACTGGGAGAGGGTTTGGGTCATACTGGTCCATACTGGGAGCACTGGGAGGGGTCACTGGTTCATACTGGGAGCACTGGGAGCCATACTGGGAATACTGGGAGAGGGTTGGGGCCATACTGGTCCATACTGGGAACACTGGGAGGGGTCACTGGTTCATACTGGGAGCACTGGGAGCCAAACTGGGAGCACTGGGAGGGGTCACTGGTTTATACTGGGAGCACTTAGAGCCAAACTGGGAATACTGGTTTGTACTGGGAGCACTGGGAGGGGGTTTGGGGTCAAACTGGGAGCACTGGGAGCGGTTACTGGTTCATACTGGGAGCACTGGGAGCCATACTGGGAATGCTGGGAGAGGGTTGGGGCCATACTGGTCCATACTGGGAGCACTGGGAGGGGTCACTGGTCCATACTGGGAGCACTGGGATGGGGTTTGGGTCATACTGGTCCATACTGGGAGCACTGGGAGGGGTCACTGGTCCATACTGGGAGCACTGGGAGCCATACTGGGAGCGGTTACTGGTTCATACTGGGAGCACTGGGAGCGGTTACTGGTCCATACTGGGAGCACTGGGAGCCATACTGGGAGCACTGGGAGAGGGTTTGGGTCATACTGGTCCATACTGGGAGCACTGGGATGGGGTTTGGGGTCATACTGGGAGCACTGGTTTGTACTGGGAGAGGGTTTGGGCCATACTGGTCCATACTGGGAGCACTGGGAGCCAAACTGGGAATACTGGGAGAGGGTTGGGGCCATACTGGGAGCACTGGTTTGTACTGGGAGAGGGTTTGGGTCATACTGGTCCATACTGGGAGCACTGGGAGGGGTCACTGGTCCATACTGGGAGCACTGGGAACCATACTGGGAATACTGGGAGCACTGGGAGGGGTCACTGGTTCATACTGGGAACACTGGGAGCCATACTGGGATTACTGGTTTGTACTGGGAGCACTGGGAGGGGGTTTGGGGTCAAACTGGGAGCGGTTACTGGTCCATACTGGGAGCGCTGGGAGCCAAACTGGGAATACTGGGAGAGGGTTGGGGTCATACTGGTCCATACTGGGAGCACTGGGAGCCAAACTGGTCCATACTGGGAGCACTGGGAGGGGTCACTGGTCCATACTGGGAGCACTGGGAGCCATACTGGTCCATACTGGGAGCACTGGGAGCTGTACTGGGAATACTGGTTTGTACTGGGAGCACTGGGAGGGGGTTTGGGGTCAAACTGGGAGCACTGGGAGCGGTTACTGGTCCATACTGGGAGCACTGGGAGGGGTCACTGGACCATACTGGGAGCACTGGGAGCCATACTGGGAGCACTGGGAGAGGGTTTGGGTCATACTGGTCCATACTGGGAGCACTGGGAGCCATACTGGGAGCACTGGGAGCCATACTGGTCCATACTGGGAGCACTGGGTGGGGTCACTGGTTTATACTGGGAGCACTGGGAGCCATACTGGGAATACTGGTTTGTACTGGGAGCACTGGGAGGGGGTTTGGGGTCAAACTGGGAGCACTGGGAGCAGTTACTGGTTCATACTGGGAGCACTGGGAGCGGTTACTGGTTCATACTGGGAGCACTGGGAGCCAAACTGGTCCATACTGGGAGCACTGGGAGGGGTCACTGGTCCATACTGGGAGCACTGGGAGGGGTCACTGGTCCATACTGGGAACACTGGGATGGGGTTTGGGGTCATACTGGGAGCACTGGTTTGTACTGGGAGAGGGTTTGGGCCATACTGGTCCATACTGGGAACACTGAGAGGGGTCACTGGTCCATACTGGGAGCACTGGGAGCCAAACTGGTCCATACTGGGAGCACTGGGAGCCAAACTGGTCCATACTGGGAACACTGGGATGGGGTTTGGGGCCATACTGGGAGCACTGGTTTGTACTGGGAGAGGGTTTGGGCCATACTGGTCCATACTGGGAGCACTGGGAGGGGTTGTTGGGATATACTGGGAGATTTTGTACTGGTCTGTACTGGTTTATACTGGTTTATACTGGTCTGTACTGGTGTGAACTGGTTTATACTGGTCTATACTGGTTTATACTGGTTTATACCAGTTCATACTGGTCTGTACTGGTTTATACTGGTTTATACTGGTCCATACTGGTTTATACTGGTGTGAACTGGTTTATACTGGTGTGAACTGGTTTATACTGGTTTATACTGGTCCATACTGGTTTATACCAGTTCATACTGGTTTATACTGGTCCATACTGGTCCATACTGGTCCATACCGGTCCATACTGGTTTATACTGGTTCATACTGGTCCGTACTGGTCCATACTGGTCCATACTGGTTTATACTGGTCCATACTGGTTTAAACTGGTCCATACTGGTCCATACTGGTTTATACTGGTCCATACTGGTCCATACCAGTCCATACTGGTTTATACTGGTTCATACTGGTCCGTACTGGTCCATACTGGTCCATACTGGTTTATACCGGTCCATACTGGTCCATACTGGTTTATCCTGGTCCATACTGGTCCATACTGGTTTATACCGGTCCATACTGGTCCATACTGGTTTATCCTGGTCCATACTGGTCCATACTGGTCCATACTGGTTTATACCAGCTCATACTGGTCCATACTGGTTTATACTGGTCCATACTGGTTTATACTGGTTTAAACTGGTCCATACTGGTCCATACTGGTTTATCCTGGTCCATACTGGTCCATACTGGTCCATACTGGTCCGTACTGGTCCATACTGGTCCATACTGGTCCATACTGGTTTATACTGGTCCATACTGGTCCATACTGGTCCATACTGGTTTAAACTGGTCCGTACTGGTCCCCCAGGCCATGCCCGACCCCCGCCTGGACCGGGGCCGCTTTCCCTCCCTCCGCCTCACGGGGGCGCCGCGGGCCCCGCCCCCCTCGGGCCGCCGCGCGGGGCTGTGGCGCCGCCTGGCGGCCGCGGGCGGGAACTGCGGCTGCTGCGGCTGCTGCGGGCGGAGCGGCGGCGGCGGCGGAGAGTGGGAACCGATCCCGGGAGAGACGCCGGGACGGAGAACGGCGCAGCCAGTGCGGCCAGGTAAGGGTTAAACACCGGGGGGATTTTGGGGGGGCTCCGGTAACGGAGAGGTGCGGCCATGTTTGGCTAAATGGGGTGGGGGGGAACGGGGAAACCGTGAGGGGGTTTGGGCGGGAAAATCGTGAGGGGAAATCGTGAGGGGATTTGGGCGGGAAAATCGTGAGGGGGTTTTAGACCCAAAAATGGGGATTTTAGAACCAAAAAAAAGGGGTTTTAAAGGGGGAAAATGGGGGTTTTTGGGTTTTTTTTTTGGGGGGGGTTTGGGTTTTTTTTTTTGGGGTTTTTGGTTGGGGGAAAAAAGGGGATTTCTGGGAAAAAAAATTGGGGTTTTTAGGCAAAAATTTGGGGATTATTGAGGGAAAAATGGGGTTTTAAAGGGGGAAAAAGGGGATTTTGGGGGGTTTTTGGAGGGGGGAGGTTTGGGGTTTTCTTTTGGGGGGAAAAGGGGATTTGGGGAAGAAATTTGGGGGTTTGGGGGGAAAATGGGGATTTTAGAACCAAAAAAATGGGGTTTTAAAGGGGGAAAATGGGGATGGGGGAGAACCGGGATGGGAAAACCGTGAGGGGATTTGGGCGGGAAAATCGTGAGGGGAAACCGTGAGGGGATTTGGGCGGGAAACCGTGAGGGGGTTTTAGAACCAAAAATGGGGATTTTTGAGGTAAAAAAATGAGGTTTTAAAGGGGGGAAAATGGGGATTTTTGGGGGGTTGTTTGGGGTTTTTGGTTGGGGATTTCTGGGAAAAAAATTGGGTTTTTTGGGCAAAAATTTGGGGATTTTTGAGGGAAAAATGGGGATTTTTGAGGGGAAAATGGGGGTTTTAGAGGGTTTTTTTAGGGAGGTTTTGGGGTTTTCTTTTTTGGGGAAGAAATTCGGGGATTTTGGGAAGATATTTGGGGGTTTGGGGGGAAAATGGGGATTTTAGAGCCCAAAATGGGGATTTTAGAACCAAAAAAATGGGGGTTTAAAGGGGGAAAATGGGGATGGGGGAGAACCGGGATGGGAAAACCGTGAGGGGATTTGGGCGGGAAAATCGTGAGGGGATTTCGGCGGGAAAATCGTGAGGGGGATTTAGAGCCCAAAATGGGGATTTTTGAGGCAAAAAAATGGGGTTTTAAAGGGGGAAAATGGGGATATTTGGGGTTTTTTTTGGGGGGTTGTTTGGGGGTTTTGGTTGGGGGAGAAATGGGGGAAAAATTGGGGGGTTTTGGGCAAAAATTTGGGGATTTTTGAGGGAAAAATGGGGGTTTTTGAGGGAAAAATGGGGGTTTTAGAGGGGATTTTTTGGGGTTTTATTTTTGGGGGAAAAAGGGGATTTGGGGAAGAAATTCGGGGGTTTGGGGGGAAAATGGGGATTTTAGAACTAAAAAGTGGGGTTTTAAAGGGGAAAAATAGGGATTTTTGCGGGGGGGATTTTAGGGTGGTTCTGGGGTTTTTTTGGGGTTTTTGGTTGGGGGGAAAAATGGGGATTTCTGGGAAAAAAATTGGGGTTTTTAGGCAAAAATTTGGGGATTTTTGAGGGAAAATGGGGATTTTTGAGGGAAATATGGGGGTTTTAGAGGGGATTTTTTGGGGTTTTATTTTGGGGGGAAAAAGGGGATTTGGGGAAGAAATTTGGGGGTTTGGGAGGAAAATGGGGATTTTAGAACCAAAAATATGGGGTTTTAAAAGGGGAAAATGGGGATTTTTGGGGTTTTTTGGGGGGTTGTTTGGGGTTTTTGGTTGGGAGAAAAATGGGGATTTCTGGGAAAAAAATTTGGGGGTTTTGGGAAAAATTTGGGGATTTTTGAGGGAAAAATGGGGGTTTTAGAGGGGATTTTTTGGGAGGTTTTGGGGTTTTCTTTTTTGGGGAAGAAATTCGGGGATTTTGGGAAGAAATTTGGGGGTTTGGGGGGAAAATGGGGATTTTAGAGCCCAAAATGGGGATTTTAGAACCCAAAAAATGGGGGTTTAAAGGGGGAAAATGGGGATGGGGGAGAACCGGGATGGGGAAACCGTGAGGGGATTTGGGCGGGAAAATCGTGAGGGGGATTTGGGCGGGAAAACCGTGAGGGGATCTGGGAGATTTTTTTGGGGTTTTTTTTTTGAAGATTTTTGGGTATTTTATGGGGATTTTTGGGGTGATTTGAGGGGATTTTTTGGTGAAGATTTTGGGGATTTTGAGAGGGATTTTTTTGGGGATATTGGGAATTTTTGTGGGGATTTTTTTGGGAATTTTGGGGGGAATTTTCAGGATTTTTGTGGGATTTTTGGGCTTTATTTTTTTGGGAAATCTCAGGGGATTTTGGGGTGATTTTGGGGGATTTTGGTGGGAATTTTTGAGGGGATTTTTTAGGATTTTTGGGGGAGTTTTATGGGGATTTTGGGCTGATTTCTTGGGATTTTGAGGGGGATTTGGGGGATTTTTGGGGACATTTTTTGGGGTTTTTTTTGGAAGATTTTTTTGGGGATTTTATGGGGATTTTTGGGGTGATTTGAGGGGATTTTTTGGTGAAGATTTTGGGGATTTTGAGAGGGATTTTTTTGGGGATATTGGGAATTTTTGTGGGGATTTTTGGGGGAATTTTCAGGATTTTTGTGGGATATTTGGGCGCTTTTTTTGGGAAAATCTCGGGATTTTGGGGGGGGATTTTTTTGGGGGATTTGGGGGTGATTTTGAGGGGGATTTGGGTGATTTTTGGGGAGATTTTTTTTTGGTTTTTTTTGAAGATTTTTGGGGATTTTATGGGGATTTTTGGGGTGATTTGAGGGGATTTTTTGGTGAAGATTTGAGGATTTTTAGGGGGATTTTGAGGGGGATATTGGGAATTTTTGGGGGGATTTTGGGGGAATTTTTTTGGGGGATTTGGGGGTGATTTTGGTGGGAATTTTTGAGGGGAATTTTTAGGATTTTGGGGGGAGTTTTATGGGGATTTTGGGCTGATTTCTTGGGATTTTGAGGGGGATTAAGTGATTTTTGGGGAGATTTTTTGGGGGGTTTTTTGGAAGATTTTTTGGGATTTTGGGGGGGATTTTATGAGGATTTTTTGGTGAAGATTTGGGGATTTTGAGGGGGATTCGGGTGATTTTTGGGGGGATTTTTTTGGGGATTTTTGGGGGAATTTTCAGGATTTTTTGTGGGATTTTTGGGCTTTTTTTTGGAAATCTCAGGGGATTTTGGGGGGGATTTTTTGGTGTATTTGGGGGTGATTTTGAGGGGGGTTTGGGTGATTTTTGGGGAGATTTTTTTGGGTTTTTTTGGAAGATTTTTGGGGATTTTTGGGGTGATTTTATGGGGGTTTTTTGGTGAAGATTTGGCGATTTTTTGGGGATTTTGAGGGGGATATTGGGAATTTTTGTGGGGATTTTTTTGGGAATTTTGGGGGAATTTTCATGATTTTTGGGGGATTTTTGGGCTTTTTTTTGGGGAAAATCTCGGGATTTTGGGGGGGATTTTTTGGAGGGATTTGGGGGTGATTTTAGGGGGATTTTGGTGGGAATTTTTGAGGGGACATTTTAGGATTTTTGGGGGAGTTTTATGGGGATTTTGGGCTGATTTCTTGGGGATTTTGAGGGGGATTTGGGGGATTTTTGGGGAGATTTTTTGGGGTTTTTTGTGAAGATTTTTGGGGATTTTGGGGTGATTTGAGGAGATTTTTTTGTGAAGATTTGGGGATTTTTAAGGTGATTTTGAGGGGGATATTGGGAATTTTTGGGGGGATATTTTGGGGAATTTTTGGGGGAATTTTCAGGATTTTTTGTGGGAATTTTGGGCTTTTTTTTGGGGGGGGAATTTTGGGATTTTGGGGTGATTTTGGGGTGATTTTGGTGGGAATTTTTGAGGGGACTTTTTAGGATTTTTGGGGGAGTTTTATGGGGATTTTGGGCTGATTTCTTGTAATTTTGAGGGGGATTTGGGGGATTTTTGGGGACATTTTTTGGGGTTTTTTTTTGAATATTTTTGGGGGGGATTTTATGGGGATTTTGGGGTGATTTGAGGGGATTTTTTGGTGAAGATTTGGGGATTTTGAGGGGGATTTTTAGGGGGATATTGGGAATTTTTCGGGGGATTTTTTTGGGAATTTTTGGGGGAATTTTCAAGATTTTTGTGGGATTTTTGGGCTTCTTTTTTGGAAAATCTCGGGATTTTGGGGGGGATTTTTTGGGGGGATTTGAGGGGGATTTTGGTGGGAATTTTTTAGGGGAATTTTTAGGATTTTTGGGGGTGTTTTATGGGGATTTTGGGTGGGATTTTGAGGGGGATTGGGGTGATTTTTGGGGACATTTTTTGGGGGGTTTTTTTGGAAGATTTTTTGGGGGATTTTATGGGGATTTTGGGGAGATTTTGAGGGGATTTTTTGGTGAAGCTTTTGGGGATTTTGAGGGGGATATTGGGAATTTTTGGGGGATTTTTTTGGGAATTTTTGGGGGAATTTTCAGGATTTTTTGTGGGATTTTTTGGCTTTTTTTTGGGAAATCTCAGGGGATTTTGGGGTGATTTTGGGGTGATTTTGGTGGGAATTTTTGAGGGGAATTTTTAGGATTTTTGAGGGAGTTTTACGGGGATTTTGGGCTGATTTCTTGGGATTTTGAGATGGATTTGGGGGATTTTTGGGGATATTTTTTGGGGGGTTTTTTGGAAGATTTTTGGGGATTTTGGGTGGGATTTTATGGGGATTTTGGGGACATTTTTTGGTTTTTTTTTTTTTAATATTTTGGGGGGGGATTTTATGGGGATTTTGGGGTGATTTGAGGGGTTTTTTTGGTGAAGATTTGGGGATTTTGGGGGGGATTTTATAGGGATTTTGGGGTGATTTGAGGGGATTTTTTGGTGAAGATTTGGGGATTTTGAGGGGGATTTTGAGGGGGATATTGGGAATTTTTGGGGGGATTTTTTTGGGAATTTTTGGGGGAATTTTCAGCATTTTTTGTGGGATTTTTGGCCTTTTTTTTTGGGAAAATCTCGGGATTTTGGGGTGGGATTTTTTTGGGGGGATTTGGGGGTGATTTTGAGGGGGATTTGGGGGATTTTTGGGGAGATTTTTTTGGGGGTTTTTTGGAAGATTTTTGGGGATTTTGGGGGGGATTTTATGGGGATTTTGGGGTGATTTGAGGGGATTTTTTGGTGAAGATTTGGGGATTTTGAGTGGGATATTGGGAATTTTTGGGGGGATTTTTTGGGGGATTTTTGTGGGAATTTTCAGGATTTTTGTGGGATTTTTGGGCTTTTTTTTTGGGGAAATCTCGGGATTTTGGGGGGATTTTTTTGGGGGATTTGGGGGTGATTTTGGGGGTGATTTTGGTGGGAATTTTTGAGGGGACTTTTTAGGATTTTTAGGGGAGTTTTATGGGGATTTTGGGCTGATTTCTTGGGATTTTTAGGGGGATTTGGGTGATTTTTGGGGAGATTTTTGGGGTTTTTTTTGAAAGATTTTTTGGGGATTTTATGGGGATTTTGGGGTGATTTGAGGGGATTTTTTGGTGAAGATTTGGGGATTTTGAGGGGGATTTTGAGGGGGATATTGGGAATTTTTGGGGTGATTTTTTTGGGGATTTTTGGGGGAATTTTCAGGATTTTTGTGGGATTTTTGGGCTTTTTTTGGGAAATCTCGGGGGATTTTGGGGTGATTTTGAGGGGGATTTGGGGGTGATTTTGGTGGGAATTTTTGAGGGAATTTTTAAAGATTTTTTGGGAGTTTTATGGGGATTTTGGGCTGATTTCTTGGGATTTTGAGGGGGATTTGGGTGATTTTTGGGGAGATTTTTTGGGGTTTTTTTTGGAGATTTTTGGGGGGTATTTTATGGGGATTTTGGGGTGATTTGAGGGGATTTTTTGGTGAAGATTTGGGGATTTTTAGGGGGATTTTGAGGGGGATATTGGGAATTTTTGGGGGGATTTTTGGGGGAATTTTCAGGATTTTTGTGGGATTTTTGGGCGCTTTTTTGGGGAAAATCTCGGGATTTGGGGGGGGATTTTTTGGGGGGATTTGGGGGTGATTTTGAGGGGGATTTGGGTGATTTTTGGGGAGATTTTTTGGGGTTTTTTTTAGAAGATTTTTGGGGGGTGTTTTATGGGGATTTTGGGGTGATTTGAGGGGATTTTTTGGTGAAGCTTTTGGGGATATTTTTGGCGATTTCTTGGGGATTTTGAGGGGGATATTGGGAATTTTTTGGGGGAATTTTCACGATTTTTGTGCGATTTTTGGGCTTTTTTTTGGGGAAAATCTCGGGATTTTGGGGGGGATTTTTTGGGGGGATTTGGGGGTCATTTTGAGGGGGATTTGGGTGATTTTTGGGGAGATTTTTTTGGGTTTTTTTTTTAAGATTTTTGGGGATTTTATGGGGATTTTGGGGTGATTTGAGGGGATTTTTTGGTGAAGATTTGGGGATTTTGAGGGGGATTTTGAGGGGGATATTGGGAATTTTTGGGGGGATTTTTTTGGGAATTTTTGGGGGAATTTTCAGGATTTTTTGTGGGATTTTTGGGCTTTTTTTTGGGGGAAATCTCGGGATTTTGTGGGGGATTTTTTGGGGGGATTTTTGGGGAGATTTTTTTGGGGTTTTTTTTCGAAGATTTTTCAGGATTTTATGGGGATTTTTGGGGTGATTTGAGGGGATTTTTTGGTGAAGCTTTTGGGGATTTTGAGGGGGATATTGGGAATTTTGGGGAGATTTTGGGGGAATTTTGGGCTTTTTTTTTGGGAAATCTCAGGGGATTTTTGGGGGGGATTTTTTGGTTTTTTTTTTAAGATTTTTGGGGATTTTATGGGGATTTTTGGGGTGATTTGAGGGGATTTTTTGGTGAAGCTTTTGGGGATTTTGAGGGGATTTTATGGGGATTTTTGGGGTGATTTGAGGGGATTTTTTGGTGAAGCTTTTGGTGATTTTTTTTGCGATTTCTTGGGGATTTTGAGGGGGATATTGGGAATTTTTGTGGGGATTTTTTTGGGAATTTTTGAGGGAATTTTCATGATTTTTGTGGGATTTTTGGTCGCTTTTTTTGGGACATCTCAGGGAATCTTTTGGGGATATTTTAGGATTTTTTTGGGGATGATCGTTACATTTTTAACCCTTTCCCACCCACACCCCAAACCCCCAATTCCCTCCCAGCCCGCTAAGCCCCGCCCCTTTCCCCCTTTTCCCGCCTCCCTATTGGCTCTGCCCACACAACGCTAAGCCCCGCCCCTTTTCTGTTCCCCGCAGGCCTATTGGCTCCGGTGTGGCTCCGCCCCGGCTCCTCGACCAATCGGACGGCGCATCACACGCAGGAGTTCCCGGCGCGCCCCCTGGTGGTGAGGCGGGGGCAGCGCTTCCACGTGGGAATGCGGCTGCCGAGGGAACCGCGCACCGGAGACGGGATCTGCCTGGAGCTGACGCTGGGTAGGGAAAAACGCCCGGAATTCGGGATAAAATCCGGGAAAAACACACGGGAATAACCGGGAAATAACCGGGAAAATCACACGGAAAATCACCCGGAAAATCACCCGGAAAATCGGGGAAAAATTCAGAAAATACTGGAAAAAAATGGAGAAAATTTGGGGAAATAATGGGTAAAAAACACAGGAAAATCTGGGGAAATAATGGGGAATTTTGGGAAATAACTAGGAAAATTACCAAAAATTACAGGAAAAATCACCGGGAAATTTGGGAAAAAATTCACCGGGAAATTTTGGGAAAATTTGGGAAAATAATTGAGAAATTCGGGGAAAATAACCCAGAAATTCAGGGAAAATCACTGGAGAAATAAATGGAAAAATCACCGGGAAATTCGGGGAAAAATTCAGAAAATCCCGAAAAAAAAAAAGGAGAAAATTTGGGAAAATTTTGGAAAAAAACAACCAGGAAAATTTCCAAAAATTACAGGAAAAATCACCAGGAAATTCGGGGAAAATTTCAGAAAATCCTGAAAAAAAATGGAGAAAATTTGGGAAAATTTTGGGAAAAAAACCCAGGAAAATATGGGAAAATAACCAGGAAAATTCCCAAAAATTACAGGAAAAATCAGCGGGAAATTCGGGGAAAATTTCAGAAAATACTGGAAAAAAATGGAGAAAATTTGGGGAAATTTTGGAAAAGAAACCCAGGAAAATCCGGGAAAATAACCAGGAAAATTCCCAAAAATTACAGGAAAAATCACCGGGAAATTCAGGGAAAATTTCAGAAAATACTGGAAAAAAATGGAGAAAATTTGGGAAAATTCTGGGAAAAAACAACCAGGAAAATCCGGGAAAATAACCAGGAAAATTACCAAAAATTACAGGAAAAATCACCGGGAAATTCAGGAAAATCTCCGGGAAATTTGGGAAAAAATTCACCGGGAAATTTTGGGAAAATTTGGGAAAGTAACTGAGAAATTCGGGGAAAATAACCGGGAAATTCAGGGAAAATCACTGGAGAAATAAATGGGAAAATAACCGGGAAATTCGGGGAAAATTTCAGAAAATACTGGAAAAAAATGGAGAAAATTTGGGAAAATTGTGGATAAAAACCCCAGGGAAATCCAGGAAAATAACTGGGGGATTTTGGGAAATAATCAGGAAAATTACCAAAAATTACAGGAAAAATCACCGGGAAATTTGGGAAAATCACCGGGAAATTTTGGGAAAATTTGGGAAAATAATTGAGAAATTAGGGGAAAATAACTGGGAAATTCAGGGGAAATCACCGGGAAATTTGGGGGGATTTCAGAAAATTAAGAAAAAAACAAAAAGAGAAAATTTGGGAAAATTTTGGAAAATATCCAGGAAAATCCGGGAAAATATCCAGGAAAATTTCCAAAAATTACAGGAAAAATCACCGGGAAATTCAGGGAAAATTTCAGAAAATACTGGAGAGAAAATGCAGAAAATTTGGGAGAATTTTGGGAAAAAACAACCAAAAAAAAAAAAAATCACCGGGAAATTCGGGGAAAATTTCAGGAAATCCTGAAAAAAAAATGGAGAAAATTTGGGGAAATAATGGGAAAAAAACACAGGAAAATCTGGGAAAATAACCAGGAAAATTACCAAAAATTACAGGAAAATCACCCAGAAAATCAGGGAAAAATTCAGAAAATACTGGAAAAAAATGGAGAAAATTTGGGAAAATAATGGGAAAAAAACCCAGGAAAATCTGGGAAAATAACCAGGAAAATTTCCAAAAATTACAGGAAAAATCAGCGGGAAATTCGGGGAAAATTTCAGAAAATCCTGAAAAAAAATGGAGAAAATTTGGGGAAATAATGGGAAAAAAACACAGGAAAATCCGGGAAAATAACAAGGAAAATTCCCAAAAATTACAGGAAAAATCACCGGGAAATTCGGGGAAAATTTCAGAAAATCCTGAAAAAAAAGTGGAGAAAATTTGGGAAAATATTGGAAAAAAAACCCCAGGAAAATTCGGGAAGATAACCAGGAAAATTACCAAAAATAACCGGAAAAATCAGCGGGAAATTCAGGAAAATGACCGGGAAATTTGGGAAAAATTCACCGGGAAATTCTGGGAAAATAACTGAGAAATTTGGGGAAAATAACCATGAAATTCAGGGAAAATCACTGGAGAAATAAATGGGAAAATCACCGGGAAATTCGGGGAAAATTTCAGAAAATACTGGAAAAAATGGAGAAAATTTGGGGAAATTTGGGAAAAACCCCAGGAAAATCCAGGGAAATAATGGGGAATTTCAGGAAATAACCAGGAAAATTCCCAAAAATTACAGGAAAAATCACCGGGAAAATTCCCAAAAATTACAGGAAAAATCACCGGGAAATTTGGGAAAAAAATCACTGGGAAAATTTGGGAAAATAACGGAGAAATTTGGGGGAAATAACCGGGAAATTCGGGGAAAATTTCAGAAAATAATGGAAAAAAATGGAGAAAATTTGGGGAAATAATGGGAAAAAATGAGGAAAATCTGGGAAAATAATCAGGAAAATTTCCAAAAATTACAGGAAAATCACCCAGAAAATCGGGGAAAATTTCAGAAAATCCTGAAAAAAAAATGGAGAAAATTTGGGAAAATTTTGGAAAAAAACACAGGAAAATCTGGGGAAATAATGGGGAATTTTGGGAAATAACTAGGAAAATTACCAAAAATTACAGGAAAAATCACTGGGAAATTTGGGAAAAAAAATCACTGGGAAATTTTGGGATAATTTGGGAAAGTAACTGAGAAATTCGGGGAAAATAACCGGGAAATTCAGGGAAAATCACTGGAGAAATAAATGGGAAAATAACCGGGAAATTTGGGTAAATAATTGGGAAATTTGGGAAAATAACTGGGAAAATAGCCAAGAAAAGAACTGAGAAAATAACCAGGAAATTTATGGGAAATTTCAGAAAATCCTGAAAAAAATTCAAGAAAATTAAAAAGAATAGTCTCAGAAAATTTGGGAAAATTTTGGAAAAAACAACCAGGGAAATCCAGGAAAAGAACTGGGGGATTTTGGGAAATAACCAGGAAAATTCCCAAAAATTACAGGAAAAATCACCGGGAAATTCGGGGAAAATTTCAGAAAATACTGGAAAAAAAATGGAGAAAATTTGGGAAAATTTTGGAAAAAACCAACCAGGGAAATCCAGGAAAGTTTTGTGAGAAATTTTGGGGTAAAATTAAAAAATTTTGTGGTGAAAAGTTGGGTGGGAAAATTGGGAATTCCGTGGGAATTTTGGGGGTTAAAAAATGGAATTTTGGCGTAAAATTACAATTTTTGTGGGAAATCGATGCGATTTTTTGGGTTAAAATTGTGAATTTTCTGGTAAATTGGAAATTTATGTATAAAATATGCAAATGAGATGCAAATTGTCTGTTTTCAGGCCCCAACCTGCAGGTGGCCAGGGGCACATCTTGGGGCATCTGGGGGAGATTTTGTGGGAAATTTTGTGAGAAAATTTGGGGATAAATTTGCAAATTTTGGTGAAAAATTTTGGGGTAAAATTGTGAATTATGAGCGAAATTTTGGGATACAATTGGGTGGGAAAATTGGGAATTTTGTGAGAAATTTGGGGATTTTTGGGTTAAAATTGTGAAATTTTTGGGGTAAAATCATTAAATCTGAGGGTAAATTTGTGAATTTTGTGAGAAATTTGGGGGTAAAATTGGGCGGGAAAATTCGGGTTTTGATGGGAAATTTTGGGGTAAAATGGGGAAATTTTAGCGTAAAATTGTGAATTTTCTGGAAAATTTTGGGGTAAAATTGTGAATTTTCTTGGAAATTTTGGGGTAAAATTGTGAATTTTCTTGGAAATTTTGGGGTAAAATTGGGAAAATTTGTGAGAAAATTTGGGGATAAATTTGCAAATTTTGGTGAAAAATTTTGGGGTAAAATTGCGAATTATGAGCGAAATTTTGAGGTAAAATTGTGAATTATGAGCAAAATTTAGGGGTAAAATTGGGTGGGAAAATTGGGAATTTTGTGAGAAATTTTGGGGATTTTTGGGCTAAAATTGTGAATTTTGTGAGAAATTTGGCGGGAAAATTGGGTGGAAAAATTGGGAATTCGATGGGAAATTTTGGGGAAAAATGGGGACATTTTAGCATAAAATTGTGAATTTTGTGTGAAATTTTGGGGCAAAATTGTGAATTCTGTGGAAAATTTAGGGGGAAAATTGGGTGGGAAAATTGGGAATTTTGTGAAAAATTTTGGGGTAAAATTGCGAATTTTGAGCAAAATTTTGGGGTAAAATTGTGAATTTTGAGCGAAATTTTGGGGTAAAATTGTGAATTTTGTGTGAAATTTAGGGGGAAAATTGGGTGGGAAAATTGGGAATTTTGTGGGAAAATTTGTGAGAAAATTTGGGGATAAATTTGCAAATTTTTGTGAAAAATTTTGGGGTAAAATTGTGAATTATGAGTGAAATTTTGGGGTAAAATTGGGTGGGAAAATTGGGAATTTTGTGGGAAATTTTGGGGTAAAATTGGGAAAATTTGTGAGAAAATTTGGGGATAAATTTGCAAATTTTTGTGAAAAATTTTGGGGTAAAATTGTGAATTATGAGCGAAATTTGGGGGTAAAATTGGGCGGGAAAATTGGGAATTTGATGGGAAATTTTGGGGTAAAATGGGGAAATTTTGGCGTAAAATTGTGAATTTTATGGGAAATTTTGGGGTAAAATTGTGAATTTCGTGGTAAATTTTTAAATTTATGTATAATATATGCAAATGAGATGCAAATTTTCTGTTTTCAGGCCCCAACCCGCAGGTGACCAAGGGGCACATCCTGGGACATGTGGGGGAGATTTTGTGGGAAATTTGGGGTAAAATTGGGAATTTTTGTGAGAAATTTTGGGGATAAATTTCCAAATTTTTGTGAAAAATTTTGGGGTAAAATTGCAAATTTTGAGCAAAATTTTGGGGTAAAATTGTGAATTTTGTGTGAAATTTAGGGGGAAAATTGGGTGGGAAAATTGGGAATTTTGTGGGAAATTTTGGGGTAAAATTGAGATTTTTATGGGAAATTTAGTGGAAAATTCTGGATTTTTTGGGGTAAAATTGGGAAATTTTGTGAGAAATTTTGGGGTAAAATTAAAAAATTTTGTGGGAAAGTTGTGTAGGAAAATTGGGAATTTCGTGGGAATTTTGGGTGTTAAAATCATGGAATTTTGGGGTAAAATTGCAGTTTTTGCGGGAAATCGATGGGATTTTTTGGGGTAAAATTGTGAATTTTGTGGTAAAATTTTAAATTTATGTATAATATATGCAAATGATATGCAAATTTTCTGTTTTCAGGCCCCAACCCGCAGGTGGCCAGGGGCACATCTTGGGACATCTGGGGGAGATTTTGTGAGAAATTTTGGGGTAAAATTGGGAAAATTTGTGAGAAAATTTGGGGATAAATTTGCAAATTTTTGTGAAAAATTTTGGGGTAAAATTGTGAATTATGAGCGAAATTTTGGGGTAAAATTGTGAATTTTGAGCTAAATTTTGGGGTAAAATTGTGAATTTTGTGTGAAATTTAGGAGGTAAATTGGGTGGGAAAATTGGGAATTTTGTGGGAAATTTTGGGGTAAAATTGAGATTTTTATGGGAAATTCAGTGGAAAATTCTGGATTTTTTGGGGTAAAAATGTAAATTCTGTATGAAATTTTTGGTATTTTTGTCTAGAATATGTAAATGAGATGCAAATTAGCTCCAGGCAGGCCCAATCCCGCATGTGGTCAAGGGCACATCCCAGGGCATGTGGGGGAGATTTTGTGGGAAATTTTGGGGTAAAATTGGGAATTTTTGTGAGAAATTTTGGGGTAAAATTGGGTGGGAAAATTGGGAATTCCGTGGAAATTTTGTGGGTTAAAATCATGAAATTTTGGCGTAAAATTGCCGTTTTTGTGGGAAATCGATGGGATTTTTTGGGGTAAAATTTTGAATTTCGTGGTAAATTTTTAAATTTATGTATAATATATGCAAATGAGATGCAAATTTTCTGTTTTTAGGTCCTAACCCGCAGGTGGCGAAGGGGACGCACGTCCTGGTGCCGCTCGGGGGCTCCTCCCCCACCGGTTGGTCGGCTGAGGTGGACGAGGGCGTGGCCGAGCCAATAGGGGGCGGGGCCAATTCTGGCCACGCCCTGTGGGTGGGGCTTACGGCCCCGCCCACGGCTCCCATTGGTCGGTACCGGCTGAGCGCCCGGACCAGGACCGAGGCCGGGGAATTCGCGGCGCCCTTCGAGCCCGACAACGACCTCGTGCTGCTCTTCAACCCCTGGTGCCAAGGTGGGTTTTGGGGGGAAAAAGGGGGATTTTGGGGAAAAATAATGGGGGAAATATGGGGGAAAATATGGGGGAAAAAATGGGGAAAAATCAGGCAAAAATGGGAATATAATGGGGGAAATATGGTGAAAAAATGGGGGAAAAATGGAGAAAAATTGGGGGGAAAATGGGGAAATAATGGGGAAAATAAGGGGAAAATGCAGGAAAAATTGGGGGAAAAAATGGGGAAAATGTGGGGAAAAATGTGGAAATAATGGGGGGAAATATGGGGGAAAATGGGGGGGAAATGGGGAAATAATGGGGGAAGATAAAGAAAAAATGGGGAAAAAATTGGGGAAAAATCAGGCAAAAAATGGGAAAATAATGGGAAAAATGGGGGGAAAATGGGGTAATAATGGAGAAAAATTGGGGGAAAAATGGGGAAATAATGGGGGAAATATGGGGAAAAATGGGGGGAAAATGGGGTAATAATGGAGAAAAATTGGGGGAAAAATGGGGAAATAATGGGGGAAAATAAATTTAAAAATGGGGAAAATATTGGGGAAAAATCAGGCAAAGATGGGAAAATAATGGGGAAAATGCAGGAAAAATATGGGAAAAAATGGGGTAAAAATGGGGAAAATGTGGGGAAAATGGGGAAATAATGGGGAAAGTAAATTTAAAAATGGGAAAAAAATTGGGGAAAAATCAGACAAAAATGGGAAAATAATGGGGAAAATGCAGGAAAAATATGGGGGAAATGGGGTAAAAATGGAGAAAAATCAGGGGAAAAATGGGGAAAAAATTGAGGAAAAATGGGGAAATTGTGGGGGAAAAAAGTGGAAATAATGGGGGAAAAATGGAGGAAAATATGGGGAAAATGCGGGGAAAAAATTAGAAATAACGGGGGAAATATGGGGAAAAATGGGGGGGAAATGGGGAAATAATGGAGATAAACAAAAAAAAAGGGAAAAAATTGGGGAAAAATCAGGCAAAAAATGGGAAAATAATGGGAAAAATGGTGGGAAATTGGGGAAAAATGGGGGAAAAAATACAGGAAAAATATGGAAAAAAATGGGGTAAAAATGGAGAAAAATTGGGGGGAAATGGGGTAAAATGGGGAAATAATGGGGAAAATATGGGGAAAATATGGGGTGAAATTGGGGGAAATAATGGGGAAAATAAGGGAAAAATGGGGAAAATGTGGGGGAAAAATGGGAAATGGGGAAATAATGGGGGAAAATAAATTAAAAAATGGGGTTAAAATGGGGAAAAATTGGGGAGAAATCAGGCGAAAAATGGGAAATAATGGGGGAAAATGGGGGAAATTGGGGGAAAAATGGGGAAAATAAAAGAAACAAATGCAGGGAAAAATGGGGTAAAAATGGAGAAAAATTGGGGGGAAATGGGGGAAAATGGGGAAATAATGGGGAAAACAAGGGGAAAATATGGGGTGAAATCTGGGAAAATAATGGGAAAATAAGGGGAAAATGGGGAAAATGTGGGGAAAAGAAGGAAAAAAATGGGGGAAAATTGGAGGAAATAAGGGAAAAATGTGGGGAAAAAATCAGGGAAATAATGGGGAAAATATAGAAAAAATGGGGCAAAAATGGGGTAAAATTGAGGGAAATGGGAAGAATAATGGGGGAAATAAGGGTAAAAATGGGGGGGGGAAACGGAAAAAAAAAGAGGAAAAAATGGGGAAAACAAGGCAAAAAAATGGGGGGGAAATGGGGAAATAATGGGGGAAAATAAATTTAAAAATGGGGTTAAAATGGGGAAAAATTGGGGGGAAATCAGGCAGAAAATGGAGAAAAACTGGGAAACAATATAGAAAAATATGGAGTAAAAATGAGGGAAAATTGGGCAAAATTTTGGAAAAATTGGGGGAAAATAAGGGATAAAGAATGGGATTTTTGTGCTTTTTAACCCCTGGTGTGAGGGTGAGACTGGGGAGAAAAAAGGGGATTTTGGGCAAAAAATAACGGGGAAAATATAGGGAAGAAATGGGGAAAATAAGGGGGAAATTGGGAAAAAAATCAGGGAAGAAATGGGGGAAATGGGGGAAAAGTCAGGGGGAAAAGGGGGAAAAATATAGAAAAAAGTGGAGTAAAAATGAGGGAAAATAGGCAAAATAAAAGTGGAAAATTGAGGGGAAATAAGATAAAATTGGAGGAAAATAATGGGAAAAAGGCAGGAAAATGGGAGGGAAATGGGGAAAAATTGGTAAAAATAAAGAAAAAATGAGAGAAAGTATAGGAAAAGATGGGGTAAAAATGAGGGAAAATTGAGGGAAAATAAGGGATAAAAAATTGGATTTTTGGGGAAATAATGGGGAAAATTCGAGAAAAAATAGGGAAAAAATCAGGGAATAAATGGGGGAAATAATGGGAAAAATAGGGAAAATATAGGGAAATAATGGGGGAAAAATGAAGGGAAATAATGGGGGGAAAATGAAGGAAAATATGGGGGGAAGTGGGGAAAAATTGGGGAAAATATAGAAAAAATGGGGTAAAATGTGGGAAAAAAGGGGAAAATATGGTGGAAAATCAGGGAAAATAATGGGGAAAATAAGGGGAAAATTGGGGGAAAATTGGGGGAAAATTGGGGAAATAAGGGGGAAAATAAGTAGAAAATGGGGTAAATATGGGGGAAATTGGGGAAATATAGAAAAAATGGGGGAAAATTGGGGAGAAAATGGGAAAAAATGGGGAGAAATGGGGAAAATCAGGGGGGAAAACTTGGATTTTTGTGCTCTTCAACCCCTGGTGTGAGGGTGATATTGGGGAGAAAAATGGGATTTTTGGGGAAATTGGGTAAAAAATAATGGGGGGGAGATCTGGGAAAATATGGGGAAAAAATTGGGGAAAAATCAGAGAAGAAATGGGGAAAATAATGGGAAAAAGGAGGGGAAAATGGGGAAAAATTGGGTAAATTGGGGGGGAAATTGGGGAAAATAAGGGGAAAATAATGGTGAAAATGGAGGGGGGAACAGGGAAAAAATGGGGGGAAATTGGGGGAAAATGGGGAAGAAATGGGGAAAAAAAAGGGGGAAAGTCAGGGGGAAATAAGGGAAAAAATGGGGAAAAAATGGGGGGAAATTGGGGGGAAAATGGGGAAAAATGGGGGAAATAAGGGAAAAAATGGGGGAAAAAATGGGGGGAAATTGGGGGGAAAATGGGGAAGAAATGGGGAAAAAATGGGGGAAAGTCGGGGAAAATAAGGGAATAAATTGGGGAAAATTGGGGAAAAATTGGGGGAAATAACGGAAAAATGGGGGAAAAATTGGGGGAAAGAAGGGAAAAATATGGGGGGAAATTGGGGAAAAATAAGGGGAAAATGGAGAAAAAAAGGGAAAAAATGGAGGAAAAATGGAGGAAAAATGGAGAAAAAATGGAGGAAAAAGGGAAAAAATGGAGGAAAAATGGAGGAAAAAAGGAAAAAAATGGAGGAAAAATGGAGGAAAAATAAGGGAAAAATGGAGGAAAAATGGGGGAAAAATAAGGGAAAAATGGAGGAAAAATGGGGGGAAAAAGGGAAAAAATGGAGGAAAAATGGATGAAAAAAGGGAAAAAATTGAGGAAAAATGGAGGAAAAAAGGAGAAAAATGGAGAAAAAAATGGAGGAAAAATGGAGAAAAAAATGGAGGAAAAATGGGGGAAAAAAGGGAAAAAATGGAGGAAAAATGGAGGAAAAAAGGGAAAAAATGGAGGAAAAATGGAGGAAAAAAGGAGAAAAATGGAGAAAAAATGGAGGAAAAATAAAGGAAAAATGGAGGAAAAATGGGGGAAAAAAGGGAAAAAATGGAGGAAAAATGGAGGAAAAAACGGAAAAAATGGAGGAAAAATGGGGGATAAAAGGGAAAAGATGGAGGAAAAAAGGGAAAATTGGAGGAAAAATGGGGGAAAAATAAGGGAAAAATGGAGGAAAAATGGGGGAAAAAAGGGAAAAAATGGAGGAAAAATGGAGGAAAAATAAGGGAAAAATGGAGGAAAAATGGGGGAAAAATGGGGGAAAAAAGGGAAAAAATGGAGGAAAAATGGAGGAAAAAAAAGGGAAAAAAAGGAGGAAAAAAGGGGGAAAAAAGGGAAAAAATGAAGGAAAAAAGGAGAAAAATGGAGAAAAAATGGAGGAAAGATAAGGGAAAAATGGAGGAAAAATGGAGAAAAAATAAGGGGAAAATGGGGGAAAAATGGAGGAAAAATAAGGGAAAAATGGAGGAAAAATGGGGGAAAAAAGGGAAAAAATGGAGGAAAAATGGAGGAAAAAAGGGAAAAAAAGGAGGAAAAATGGGGGAAAAAAGGGAAAAAATGGAGGAAAAATTGAGGAAAAAAGGGAAAAAATGGGCAAAAATTTTGGCAAAAAAGGGGGGGAACTAAAAAAGAGGGGAAATGGGATAAAAAGGATAAGAATGTTCAAAAAAGTGAATTTTGTGGCAGAGGACTCGGTGTACATGGAGCAGACGAGCGACCTGAGCGAGTACGTCCTCAACGAGAGCGGCCGCATCTTCTACGGCACCGAGGAGCAGATCGCCGAGCGCGCCTGGAACTACGGCCAGGTGGGCTGGGAGGGCAGGAAAATGGGAAAAAAACAGCACAAAAAATGCTCAAAATAGCCCCAAAATATCCCCCAAATATCACCAAAATATCCCCAAAATATCGCCCAGAATTCACAAAAAAATCCCACAAATATTGCCCAAATATCCCCCAAAAATCCAAAATATCAGCCCAAAAATCAGCCTAAAATATCCCCCAAAATATGCTCCAAATATCCCCCAAAATATGCTCTAAATATCACCAAAATATCGCCCAAAATTCTCAAGAAAAAATCCCAAAAAAATCCCACAAATATCGCCCAAATATCACCCAAATATCTCCAAAAAATCCCCCAAAATATCCCCAAAATATCCCCCAAAATTCACAAAAAAATCCCCAAAAAATCCCACAAATATCGCCCAAATATCCCCCAAAATATCCCCCAAATATTCCCCCAAATATCCCCCAAACACCACCCAGAGCCTACAGAAATATCACCCAAAATAGCCCCAAAATATTCCCCAAAATATTCCCCAAATATCACCAAAATATCCCCAAAATATCCCCCAGAATTCACAAAAAAATCCCCAAATAATCCCACAAATATCGCCCAAATATCCCCCAAAAATCCAAAATATCAGCCCAAAAATCAGCCCAAAAATCAGCCCAATATCCCCTAAATATCCCCCAAAATATTCTCCAAATATCCCCAAAATAGCCCCCAAATACTCCCCAAAATTTTCCCCAAATATCACAAAAAAAATCACCCAAAATGTCCCCAAAATATCGCCCAGAATTCACCAAAAAATCCCAAAACAATCCCACAAATATCGCCCAAATATCCCCCAAAAAATCACCCAAAAATCCAAAATATCAGCCCAAAAATCAGCCTAAAATATCCCCCAAATATCCCCAAAATATCCTCCAAATATCCCCCAAATATCACCAAAATATCCTTCAAATATCCCCCAAAATATTCCCCAAATATCACCCAGAGTCTACAAAAAAAAAAATCACCCAAAATAGCCCCAAAATAGCCCCAAAATATCCCCCAGAATTCACAAAAAAATCCCAAAATAATCCCACAAATATCGCCCAAATATCCCCCAAAAATCCAAAATATCAGCCCAAAAATCAGCCTAAAATATCCCCCAAATATCCCCAAAATATCCTCCAAATAGCCCCCAAATAGCCCCCAAAATATCGTCCAAATATCCCTAAAATAGCCCCAAAATATTCCCAAAATACTCCCCAAAAACTCCCCCAAAATATCCCCAAAATAGCCCCAAAATATTCCCCAAAATATTCCCAAAATATCCCCCAGAATTCACAAAAAAATCCCAAAAAAATCACACAAATATGGCCCAAATATCACCCAAAAAATCCCCCAAAAATCCAAAATATCAGCCCAAAAATCAGCCCAAAATATTCCCCAAATATCCCCAAAATATCCTCCAAATATCCCCCAAAATATCCCCCAAAATATCCCCCAAATATCCCCCAGAATTCACAAAAAAATCCCAAAAAAATCCCACAAATATCACCCGAATAGCCCTAAAAAATCCTCCAAAAATCCAAAATATCAGCCCAAAAATCAACCCAAAATATCCCCAAAACATCCCCCAAAAATCCAAAAAATACCCACAACAGTCTCCAAAAATCACCAATAAATACCCCTAAAAATGCCCAAAATCAGCCAAAAATATCTTTTCAAATATTCCCCAAAATATCCCCAAAATCCCCCAAAATTTCCCAAATTTTCCAAAAATCCCCAAAATCCCTCCAGAATTCCCAAAAATATCCAAAAATTCCCTAAAAATTCCCCAAAATTTCCCAAGACTTACCCCAAAATTTCCCAAAATTTCCCCAAATAATCCCCAAAATTCCTAGAAATTTCCAAAATTTGTAAAAATTCCAAAAAATTCCCAGAGAATTCCCAAAAAATCCCCAAAATTTCACCAAAAATGCCCAACAATTAAAAAAAAATGCCCAAAAATTCCCCAAAAATCCCCAAAATTCCTAAAAATTTCCAAAAATTCCCAAAGAATACCCAAAAAATCCTCAAAATTCCCTAAAAATGCCCAAAAGTCCCAAAAAAATCCCAAAAATCCCCCAAAATTCCCCAAAATTTGTTGAAAATCCCTGTTTGGAGCCGCCATTTTGGCCGTTTTTTCCCGGGTTTTTTCGGGGATTTTTCGGGTGAAATCCCCCAAAATCCCCCCAAATTTTCCAAAATTCCCAAAATTTTCGAAAAATCCCCCAAATTCCTAAAACTTTCCAAAAATTCCCAAAGAATTCCCAAAAAACCCCAAAGTTCCACAAAAAATCCCCAAAAATCCTCCAAATTTATTAAAATTTCCAAAAATTCCCGAAGAATTCCCAAAAAATCCACAAAATTCCCTCAAAATGCCCAAAATTCCTAAAAATTCCCTAAGAATTCCCAAAAATCCCCAAAGTTCCTAAAAATTTTTAAAAATTCCTAAAGAATTCCCAAAAAACCCAAGAGTTCCCTAAAGATTCCCGAAAAATCCCCAAAATTCCTAAAAATTTCCAAAGATTTCCAAAGAATTCCCAAAAAATCCTCAAAATTCCCCAAAAATGCCCAAAATTCCGAAAAAATCCCAAAAAAATCCCCAAAAATCCCCAAAATTCCCCAAAATTTGTTGAAAATCTCCGTTCGCCGCCATTTTGGCCGTTTTTTCCTGGGTTTTTTCCGGGATTTTTCGGGGGAAATCCCCCAAAATCCCCCAAAATTCCCAAATTTCCGCCAAAAATCCCAGAATTTTCCCCCAAATCCCTAAAATTTCCCGAAAATCCCAGGAATTTTCCTCAAAATTTCCCTAAATTACTGAATTTTCACCAAAATTTTAAAAAATCCTCAAATTTCCCACCAAATCTTCAATTTGTCTCCCAAAATTCCCCATTCCCCCAAAACCCCAGAATTCATCCCAAAATTCCCAAATTTTTTCCTAAAATTCCCAAAAAATTTCCCAAAAAATTCCCCAAATTTTCCAAAAATCCCCAAAATCCCTCAAGAATTCTCAAATATTTCCAAAACTTCCCTAAGAATTCCCCAAAATTTCCCAAAACTTACCCCAAAATTCGCCAAAAATCCCCAAAATTCCTAAAAATTTCCAAAATTCATAAAAATTTCCCAAAATTCCCAAAGAATTCCCCAAAACTCCCCAAAATGTCACCAAAAATGCCCCAAAAATTTTTAAAAGTCCCCCATATTCCCAAAAAATGCCCAAAATTCCTAAAATTTTCCAAAGATTTCCAAAGAATTCCCATAAAATCCTCAAAATTCCCCAAAAATGCCCAAAATTCCAAAAAAAATCCCCAAAATTCCCAAAAATTCCCCAAAATTCTCCAAAATTTGTTGAAAATCCCCGTTGGGAGCCGCCATTTTGGCCGTTTTTTTCCCGGGTTTTTTCTGGGATTTTTCAGGGGAAATCCCCCAAAATTCCCAATATTTCTCCAAAAAATCTCTCCAAAATTCCCCAAAATTCCCCCCAAAATCCCCAAAAAATCCCCAAAATCCCCAAAAATCCCCCAAATTCCCCAAGATCTGTTGACAATCCCCATTGGCAGCCGCCATTTTGTTGCCGTTCGCTGCCATTTTGGCCGTTTTTTCTCGGTTTTTTTCCGGAATTTTTCGGGGAAAATCCCCCAAAATTCCCAAAATCCCCATAATTTCCAAAAAACTCCCCAAAATTCCCAAAAATCCCCACAAAATTCCCCAAAATTTGTTGAAAACCCCCGACAGTCCCCATTGGCAGCCGCCATTTTGTTGCCGTTCGCCGCCATTTTGGCCGTTTTTTCCCCTTTTTTTTCCGGGTTTTTTTTTGGAAAATCCCCCAAAATCCCCCAAATCCCCAAAATCCCCAAAAAAATCCCCAAAATCCCCCAAAATATCCCCAAAAATCCCCCCAAAAAAATCCCCAAAATTTGTTGACAATCCCCGTTGGCAGCCGCCATTTTGTTTCCATTCGCTGCCATTTTTGCTGTTTTTTCCCGGATTTTTTCCTGAGTTTTTTGGGGGAAATCTCCCAAAATTCCCAAAAATTCCCAAAAAATCCCCCAAATTCTCAAAAATTTCCAAAGAATTCCCAAAAAATCCTCAAAATCCCCAAAAATCCCCAAAATTCCCCAAAATCTTTTTAAAACCCCCGACAATCCCCATTGGCAGCCGCCATTTTGTTGCCGTTCGCCGCCATTTTGGCTGTTTTTTCCCAGATTTTTTTGGGGGAAATCCCCCCAAATTCCCAAAATCCCCATAATTCCCAAAAAAATCCCCAAAAAATCATCAAAATTCCCCCAAAATCCCCAAAATTTCCCAAAATCTGTTAAAAATCTCCCTTAGCAGCCGCCATTTTGTTGCCGTTTGCCGCCATTTTGTCCATTTTTTCCCGGATTTTTTCCAGGATTTTTCGGGGAAAATCCCCCAAAATCCCCCTAAATTCCCAAAAATTCCCAAAAAACCCCTAAATTTCTAAAAATGTCCAAGAATTCCCAAACAAAACAGAAGTTCCCCAAAAATTCCCCAAAAAAATCCCCAAAATTCCTAAACATTTCCAAAAATTGCCAAAGAATTCCCAAAAAATCCCCAAAGTTCCCCAAAAATTCTCTAAAAATCCTCAAAATTCCCCAAAAATGCCTAAAATTCCCCCAAAAATCCCCAAATTCCCAAAAAATCCCCTGGAATTTGTTGAAAACCCCAAAAATCCCTGTTGCCAGCCGCCATTTTGTTGCCGTTCGCCGCCATTTTGGCCTTTTTTTCTCGGGTTTTTTTGGGGAAAATCCCCCAAAATCCCCAAAAATCCCCCCAAAATCCTCCAAAAATCCACAAAATTCCCCCAAATTCCCAAAAAATCCCCTGGAATTTGTTGAAAACCCCCACAAACCCCATTGGCAGCCGCCATTTTGCTGCTGTTCGCCGCCATTTTGGCCGTTTTTTCCAGGATTTTTTGGGGGGAAATCCCCCAAAATACCCCCAAATTCCCCAAATCCCCAAAATTCCCAAAAATTTCCCCAAAAAATCCTCAAAATCCCCAAAATTCCCCAAAATCTGTCGAAAACCCCCGACAATCCCCTTTGGGAGCCGCCATTTTGTTGCAGTTTGCCGCCATTTTGGCCGTTTTTTCCCGTTTATTTCGGGGATTTTTTTTGGAAAATCCCCCAAAATCCTCCAAAATTCCCAAAATCCCCAAAAATTTCAAAAAACCCCCAAATTTAAAAAAAAAACCCAAATTACTAAAAATTTCTAAAAATTTCCGAAGTATTCCCAAAAAAAATCATCAAAATTTTCTAAAAATGCCCAAGATTCCCAAAAGAATCCCAAAAATTCCCCAAAATTCCCAAAAAATCCCCAAAATTCCACAGAAATGCCAAAAATTCCAAAAAAAATCTCGAAAATACCCAAAAAATTCCTAAAAATCTCAAAAAATCCCCCAAAATTCCCAAAAAAATCCCCAAAATTCCAAAAAAAATCCCCAAAATTCCTCAAAAATTCCCCAGAATTCCCCAATTTTTCCCTGAAATCCTGGGAATTTCCCACAAATTTTAAAAAAATTTCCAAAAATTCTTCCAAAATTCCCCAGAAAATCCCCCAAATTCCCAAAAATCCCCAAAATTCCCCAAAATCTGTTAAAAATCCCCGTTGGCAGCCGCCATTTTGTTGCTGTTCGCTGCCATTTTGTTGCCATTTGCCGCCATTTTGGCCGTTTTTTCCCATTTTTTTTCCGGAATTTTTCGGGGAAAATCCCCCAAAATCCTCCAAAAATCCCCAAAATTCCCCAAAATTTGTTGAAAACCCCCACAAACCCCATTGGCAGCCACCATTTTGCTGCCGTTTTTTCCCGGGTTTTGTGGGAAATTTCCCCAAATTCCCAAATTTTCTCCCAAAATCCCTCAAAAAATTCCCCAAAATTCCCCCAAAATCCAAAAAAAACCCCAAAATCCCCAAAAATCCCCCAAATTCCCCAAAATCTGTTGACAATCCCCGTTGGCAGCCGCCATTTTGTTTCCATTCGCCGCCATTTTGGCCGTTTTTTCCCGGGTTTTTTCCGGAATTTTTCGGGGAAAATCCCCCAAAAATCCCCAAAATCCCCATAATTCCCAAAAAACTCCCTAAAATTCCCCAAAATTCCCCAAAATTTGTTGAAAATCCCCATTGTCAGCCGCCATTTTGCTGCCGTTCGCCGCCATTTTGGCCGTTTTTCCCCGTTTTTTTTTCCGGAATTTTTCAGGGAAAATCCCCCAAAATCCCCCAAAATTCCCAAAAATCCCCCAAATTCCCAAAACAATCCCAAAAATTTGCCAAAAATCCCCAAAATTTGTTGACAATCCCCATTGCCAGCCGCCATTTTGCTGCCTTTCGCCGCCATTTTGTTGCTGTTTGCCGCCATTTTGGCCGTTTTTTCCCGGGTTTTTTCCGGGATGTTTCGGGGGAAATACCCCAAAATCCCCGAAAATTCCCAAATTTCCCCAAAATTCCTAAAAGTTTCCCAAAATTCCCAAAGAATCCCTCTAATTCTTAAAAATTTCCAAAAATTCCCAAAGAATTCCCAAAAAATCCCCAAAGTATCCCCAAAATTCCTAAAAATTTCCAAAAATTCCCTAAGAATTCCCAAAAAATCCTCAAAATTCCCCAAAAACAGCAAAAATTCCTAAAAAATCCCCAAAAATCCCAAAAATTTGTTAAAAATCTCCCTTAGCAGCCGCCATTTTGTTGCCATTTGCCGCCATTTTGTTGCCGTCCGCCGCCATTTTGGCCGTTTTTTCCCGTTTTTTTTCCGGGATTTTTCGGGAAAAATCCCCCAAAATCCCCCAAAACCCCCCAAAATCCCCAAAATTTCCCAAAATTCCCAATTTTCAGTTCGAGCCGGGCGTGCTGGACGCGTGCCTGTTCATCCTGGACCGGCGGGGGATGCCGCACGGCGCCCGCGGGGATCCCGTCATGGTGGCGCGCGTCGTCTCCGCCATGGTGAGAGAATTCGGGAATTACGGGAATTTCGGGAAAATTTGGGAAAATTCGGGGCTTTTGGGGGGAATAATCGGAAATTTTGGGATTTTTTGGGATTCGGGAGGAATTTTTGGGGAAAATTTGGGGAATTTTTTTGAAATTTCGGGATCTTTGGGGAAATTTGGGGGAAAATTGGGGGTTTGGGGGGAAATTTGGGAGTTTTGTGGGAAATTTTGGGGAATTTGGGAATTTTGGGGAAATTTTGGGGGTTTTTTTTTGAAATTTGGGGAATTTTTGGGGAAAAATTGGGGTTTTTGGGGGTGAAATTTGGGAGTTTTGCGGGAAAATTTGGGGAAATTGGGAAAATTTTTGGGATTTTTTTGAAATTTGGGGAATTTTGGGGAAATGTGGGGGGAAAATTGGAAGTTTTGGGAGGAAATTTGGGAGTTTTGAGGGAAATTTTGGGGAAATTGGGAATTTTGGGGATTTTTTGGAAATTTGGGGATTTTGGGGAAAATGTGGGGGAAAATTGGGGTTTTTGCGGGGGGAAATTTGGGAGTTTTGTGGGAAAATTTGGGGAAATTGGGGAATTTTGGGGAACTCTGGGGAAATTTTGGGGGATAATTTGGGGGAAATTCCAGGATTTTGGGGGAAATTTGGGGATTTTTGGGGAGAATTTGGAAATTTTGGGGGAAAATTGGGATTTTTGGGGAAACATCTGGAATTTTGGGGGAATTCGGGAATTTTTTGGGAAAATTTGGGGGAAATTTATGGAATTTTTGGGAAATTTTGGGAATTTGGGTAAAGATTGGGGAGAATCTCTGGGATTTGGGAAGAATTTTTGGGGTTTTTGGAGAAAATTTGGGAATTTCTGGGGAAATTTCCAGGATTTGGGGGAGAAATTTGGAGTTTTTTGGGGGGAATTTTGGGGAAAATTTCTGAAATTTTGGGGGGAATTCGGGATTTTTTTTGGAAAATTGGGGATTTGGGGGAATTTAGGGGAAAATTTGGGAAACTATGGGAAAATTTCTGGAATTTTGGGGGAAATTTGGGTTCTTTTTGGAAAACTGGGGATTTGGTGGAATTTTGGGGAAAATTTTGGGATTTGGGGGAAATTTCTGAAATTTTGGGGAAATTTCGGAAATTTTGGAGAAATTTCTGGAATTTTGGAGGGAGTTTGGGAATTTTTTTTTGAAAATTTGGGATGTGGGGAAATTTTGGGGAATTTTGGGGAAATTTCCGTGATTTGGGAGGGAATTTGGGACTTTTTGAGGGAAATTTGGGGGGATTTGGAGAAAAATTAAAAAATTTTGGGGGGATTTGGGAATTTTGGGAAAATTTGTGGGGAAATTTTGGATTTTTTTGGAAATTTGGGGGAAAATTTGGGAATTTTGGGGGAAATAATGGAATTTTTGGCAAAAATTTCTGGGAAATTCTGGTGATTTTGGGGAAATTAAGGAATTTAGGGAAGAATTTCAGGGATTTGGGAGGAATTTTTATCAATTTTTGGGAAAATTGTTGGAATTTTCTTAAAAATTCAAGAATTTTTGGAAAAATTGGAGATCTTGGGGGAAATTTGGGAACTTTTGGGGAAATTTCTGGGATATTCCTGGAATTTTAGGGAACTTTCCAGAATTTTGGGGAAATCTGCGGATTTTTGGGAATTTCTGAGAATTTTGGGGGAAATACAGGAATTTTTGGGGGCAATTTGGGGTTTTTGGGGAAATTTTGGATTTTTTGGGAATTTTTAGGGGAGAATTTTGGGAATTTCAGGATTTTCAGGATTTTTACTTTTTCCCAAGAATATTTTCCGGAATTTTGGCATCTTTGGGGCAGATTTTTGTGGGAATTTTCGGCCATTTTGAGGTGGAATTTCCTCAATTTTGGGCAAAAAATTTGGGATTTTTTTTGGATTTTTTGGGGGATTTTTTTGAATTTTTGGGAATTTCAGGATTTCCCCATTTCCCAGGAATAATTTTGCCAATTTTGGCATCTTTAGGACAGATTTTTCCTGGGAATTTTCGGCCATTTTGAGATGCAACTTCCGCCATTTTGAGGTGGAATTTCCCCAATTTTGAGCCAAATTTTTGGGATTTTTTTGGGGGAATTCTGGGGAATTTTGGGAATTTCAGGATTTCAACATTTCCCAAAAATATTTTCAGAAATTTTTGGCAACTTTTGAGTGGATTTTTGTGGGAATTTTCGGCCATTTTGCGATGAAACTTCCGCCATTTTGAGGTGGAATTTTCCCAATTTTGAGCCAAATTTTTCAGGAATTTTGGGGATTTTTTTGGGGAATTTTGGGGAATTTGGGGATTTTCAACATTTCAACTTTTCCCAGGAATAATTTTGCAAATTTTGGCATCTTTAGAGGGGGTTTTTGCTGGGAATTTTCGGCCATTTTGAGATGCAATTTCTGCCATTTTGAGGTGGAATTTTCCCAATTTTGGGCAAAAAATTTTGGGATTTTTTTGGGGGATTTTTTTGAATTTTTTGGAATTTCAGGATTTCAGCATTTCCCAAGAATATTTTCAGGAATTTTTGGCATCTTTGGGGCAGATTTTTGCTGGGAATTTTCGGCCATTTTGAAATGAAACTTTTCTCATTTTGGGTTGGAATTTTCCCTATTTTGGGCAGAACTTTTGGAATTTTTGTCCCAAATTTTTCAGGGATTTTTTTGAATTTTTGGGAATTTCAGGATTTCAACATTTCCCAAAAATATTTTCAGGAATTTTTTGGCATCTTTAGGGAGATTTTTGCTGAGAATTTTCGGCCATTTTGAGATGACATTTTCGCCATTTTGAGATGGATTTTCCCCCATTTTGAGCCGAATTTTTGGGGAATTTTTGGGAATTTTTTGGGGAATTTTTGGGAGGTTTGGTATTTTCATGATTTTGGCTTTTCCCAAAAATATTTTCAGGAATTTTTGGCATCTTTTGAGTGAATTTTTGCTGAGAATTTTCGGCCATTTTGAGATGCAACTTCCGCCATTTTGAGGTGGAATTTTCCCAATTTTGGGCCAAATTTTTCAGGAATTTTTGGGAATTTTTTGGGGGGAATTTTGGGGAATTTGGGGATTTTCAACATTTCACCATTTCCCAAGAATATTTTCATGAATTTTGGCATCTTTTGAGTGGATTTTTACTGTGAATTTTCAGCCATTTTGAGATGCAATTTCCGTCATTTTGAGGTGGAATTTTCTCCATTTTGGGCAAAAATTTTGGGATTTTTTTGGGGCAATTTTGGGGAATTTGGGGATTTTCAACATTTCAACTTTTCCCAGGAATAATTTTGCCAATTTTGGCATCCTTAGGGGGGATTTTTGTTGGGAATTTTCGGCCATTTTGAGATGCAACTTCTGCCATTTTGAGGTGGAATTTTCTCAATTTTGGGCAAAAATTTTGGGATTTTTTGGGGATTTTTTTGGGGATTTTTTTTAATTTTTGGGAATTTTGGGATTTCAACATTTCCCCAAAATATTTTCGGGAATTTTGGCATCTTTAGGGAAGATTTTGCTGGGAATTTTCGGCCATTTTGAGATGCAACTTTCGCCATTTTGAGGTGGAATTTTCCCAATTTTGAGCCGAATTTTTGGGGAATTTTTGGGGGAATTTTTGGGAATTTTTGGATTTTCAACATTTCACCATTTCCCAAGAATATTTTCAGGAATTTTGGCATCTTTAGGGCAGATTTTTGTGGGAATTTTCGGCCATTTTGAGATTACATTTTCACCATTTTGAGATGGATTTTCCCCAATTTTGAGCCAAATTTTTCGGGAATTTCGGGATTTTCGTGATTTTCAAAATTTCCACTTTTTTCCTCCAAATTTCCAGAATTTTTGTCATCTTTATCTCAAAATTCAGGGAGTTTTTGGCAGAAATTCCCACATTTGGATCCGTTTTTTGCTGTAATTTTGGCGTTTCCCACCCGATTTACATGAAATTTTCGCGATTTTTTCCCAAAATTCCCGTTTTTCACCCCAAAATTCCCGTTTTTTCCCTTTTCCAGGTGAATTCCCTGGATGACAGCGGCGTGCTGGTGGGGAACTGGACCGGGGATTATTCGCAGGGCACCAACCCCTCGGCCTGGGCCGGTTCCGTGGGGATCCTGCGCAGCTTCCACGGCACCGGCAGCCCCGTCCGCTACGGCCAGTGCTGGGTCTTCGCCGGCGTGGTCACCACTGGTTCGTACTGGTTTGTACTGGTTTATACTGGGAAGGGGGAGAGGGCGAAACAATGGGGAAAAACGGTGAAAAAATGGTGAAAAACGGGCAAAAAATGGGGAAAACATGGGGAGATAAAGGGTTAAAAATGGGGGAAAAAGGGGTTTGGGGTTACTGGTTTGTACTGGTTTATACTGGTTTATACTGGTTTGTACTGGGACGGGGCAGAGGGCGAAAAAATGGGGGAAAAACGGCGAAAATTGGGCGAAAAACAGGCGAAAAATGGGGAAAATACGGGGCAGAAAGGGTTAAAAATGGAGGAAAAGGGAGTTTGGGGTTACTGGTTTGTACTGGTTTATACTGGTTTCATACTGGTTTATACTGGTTTGTACTGGGAGGGACTGGGAGGGGGGAGAGGGTGAAAAAATGGGGGAAAACGGTGAAAAAATGGGGAAAAACGGGCGAAAAATGGGGAAATACGGGGGAAAAAAGGGTTAAAAATGGGATAGAAGGGGTTGGGGGTTACTGGTTTATACTGGTTTGTACTGGTTTATACTGGTTTATACTGGTTTTATACTGGTTTATACTGGGAGGGACTGGGAGGGGAAAATGGGGGAAAAAATGGGGGGAAATGGTGAAAAAATGGGGAAAAACGGTGAAAAAATGGTGAAAAACGGGCGAAAAATGGGGAAAATAGGGGGAAATAAAGGGTTAAAAATGGGGGAAAGGGGGTTTCGGGTTACTGGTTTATACTGGTTTGTACTGGTTTATACTGGTTTATACTGGGAGGGACTGGGAGGGGGGAGAGAGCGAAAAAATGGGGAAAAACGGTGAAAAAATGGGGAAAAACGGTGAAAAAACGGTGAAAAACGGGCAAAAAATGGGGAAAATATGGGGAAATAAAGGGTTAAAAATGGGGAAATGGGGATTTGGAGTTACTGGTTTGTACTGGTTTGTACTGGTTTGTACTGGTTTATACTGGTTTGTACTGGTTTCATACTGGTTTGTACTGGGAGGAACTGGGAGGGGAAAATAGGGGGAAAATGGGGGGAAAATGGTCAAAAACGGGCGAAAAATGGGGAAAATATGGGGAATAAAGGGTTAAAAATGGGGGAAAAGGGGGTTTGGGGTTACTGGTTTGTACTGGTTTGTACTGGTTTGTACTGGTTTATACTGGGAGGGACTGGGAGGGGAAAATGGGGGAAAAAACGGGGAAAAACGGTGAAAAAATGGTGAAAAATGGGTGAGAAATGGAGAAAAAATGGGGTAGAAGGGGTTTGGGGTTACTGGTTTGGACTGGTTTATACTGGTTTCATACTGGTTTGTACTGGTTTATACTGGGAGGGGGAAAATGGAGAAAATTCGGTGGAAATTTGGCAAAAATTGGGTCAGAATCGGGTCAAAATGGGTATTAAAGGGTTAAAATATGGTAAGGAAAGGGTTAAATGGGGATTTGGGGTTACTGGTTTGGACTGGTTTACACTGGTTTATACTGGTTTATACTGGTTTGTACTGGTTTCATACTGGTTTATACTGCTTTGTACTGGGAGGGACTGGGAGGGGGCAGAGGGTGAAAAAATGGGGAAAAACGGTGAAAAAATGGTGAAAATTGGGCAAAAAATGGGGAAAATATGGGAAGAAAAGGGTTAAAAATGAGGAAATGGGGATTTGGAGTTACTGGTTTGTACTGGTTTGTACTGGTTTGTACTGGTTTCATACTGGTTTCATACTGGTTTATACTGGGAGGGAGTGGGAGGGGGGAGAGGACGAAAAAATGGGGAAAAACGGTGAAAAAATGGTGAAAAATGGGTGAAAAATGGGGGAAATATGGGGAAATAAAGGGTTAAAAATGGGGGAAAAGGGGTTTGGGGTTACTGGTTTGTACTGGTTTATACTGGTTTGTACTGGTTTCATACTGGTTTATACTGGGAGGGACTGGGAGGGGAAAATGGGGGAAAAACGGTGAAAAAATGGTGAAAAATGGGTAAGAAATGGAAAAAAATGGTTAAAAATGGGGGAAAAGGGGGTTAGGGGTTACTGGTTTGTACTGGTTTATACTGGTTTGGACTGGTTTCATACTGGTTTGTACTGGTTTCATACTGGTTTGTACTGGGAGGGACTGGGAGGGGCGAGAGGGCGAAAAAACGGGGAAAAACGGTGAAAAAATGGTGAAAAACGGGCAAAAAATGGGGAAAATATGGGGAAATACAGGGTTAAAAATGGGGGAAAAGGGGGTTTGGGGTTACTGGTTTATACTGGTTTATACTGGTTTATACTGGTTTATACTGGTTTATACTGGTTTCATACTGGTTTGTACTGGTTTATACTGGGAGGGGGCAGAGGGCGAAAAAATGGGGAAAAACGGTGAAAAAATGGTGAAAAATGCGGTAGAAGGAGTTTGGGGTTACTGGTTTATACTGGTTTTACCGGTCCTTACTGGTTTATACTGGTTTATATTTACTTCTATTGCCCCATACTGGTCCATACTGGTTCAAACTGGTTTATACTGGTTTGTACTGGTCTGTACCGGTTTTACAGGTCCATACTGGTTTATACTGGTCCATACTGGTTTATACTGGTTTATACTGGTCCATACTGGTAGAAAGCCAACCCACAACTCAATATTTTGGTGGTTTATACTGGTTTGTACTGGTTTGTACTGGTTTATACTGGTTTATACTGGTCCATACTGGTCCATACTGGTTTCACCGGTCCTTACTGGTCTATACTGGTTCATACTGGTTTATACTGGTTTATACTGGTTTATACTGGTCTATACTGGTTTTTACTGGTTTTTCCAGTCCATACTGGTATTTCCGATCCTTACTGGTCCATACTGGTTTATACTGGTTTATACTAGTTTATACTGGTCCATACTGGTTTCCCCGGTCCTTACTGGTCTATACTGGTTTATACTGGTCCATACTGGTCCATACTGGTTTATACTGCTCCATACTGGTCTATACTGGTTTTCCCAGTCCTTACTGGTTTATACTGGTTTATACTGGTTTATACTGGTTTATACTGGTCTATACTGGTCCATACTGGTTTTCCCAGTCCTTACTGGTTTATACTGGTTTATACTGGTCCATACTGTTTTTTCCAGTCCTTACTGGTCCATACTGGTCCATACTGGTTTATACTGGTAGAAACCCATCCCATAACTCCATATTTCAATGCTTTATACTCATTTATATCAATTCCTATTGCCCTATACTGGTTTATACTGGTTTATACTGGTTTATACTGGTTTATACTGGTCCATACTGGTTTTTACTGGTCCATACTGGTTTTCCCGGTCCTTACTGGTCTATACTGGTTTATACTGGTCAGTGCTGCGCTGCCTGGGCCTCCCCACCCGCACCGTCACCAACTACAACTCGGCCCACGACACCGACACCTCCCTGACCACCGACATCTACCTGGACGAGGCCATGAGACCCCTGGAGCGCCTCAACACCGACTCCGTCTGGTACTGGTTTATACTGGTTTATACTGGTTTATACTGGGACGGGGCAGAGGGCGAAAAAACGGGGAAAAACGGCGAAAATTGGGCGAAAAACGGGCGAAAAATGGGGAAAATATGGGGGAGAAAGGGTTAAAAATGGGGGAAATGGGGGTTTGGGGTTACTGGTTTGTACTGGTTTATACTGGTTTATACTGGTTTGTACTGGTTTATACTGGTTTATACTGGGAGGGACTGGGAGGGACTGGGAGGGACTGGGAGGGGGAAAAGGGTGAAAAAATGGGGGAAATGGTGAAAATTGGGCAAAAAATGGGGAAATATGGGGGAAAAGGGTTAAAAATGGGGTAAAAAGGGGTTTGGGGTTCCTGGTTGATACTGGTTTATACTGGTTTTATACTGGTTTGTACTGGTTTCATACTGGTTTATACTGGTTTATACTGGGAGGGGATTTTGGGGCCATTTTGGGGCGATTTTCGGGGGATTTGGGGCACCAAAAGGGTCAAAAATGGGGAAAAATCGGATTTAAATTCAGGTTTTGGTACTGGTTTATACTGGTTTATACTGGTTTGTACTGGTTTGTACTGGTTTATACTGGTTTGTACTGGTTTATACTGGGAGGGACTGGGAGGGACTGGGAGGGGGAAAAATGGGGAAAATTGGGTGAAAATTGGGCAAAACATGGGGAAAAAAGGGTTAAAAATGGGGTAAAATGGGGCTTTGGGGTTACTGGTTTATACTGGTTTATACTGGTTTGTACTGGTTTGTACTGGTTTATACTGGTTTATACTGGGAGGGGATTTAGGGGCGTTTTGGGTCACAGAAAGGGTCAAAAACGGGGGAAAATTGGGAAAAATTGACATTTTTTTCTGGTTTATACTGGTTTATACTGGTTTTACTGGTTTATACTGGTTTGTACTGGTTTATACTGGTTTATACTGGTTTGTACTGGTTTGTACTGGTTTATACTGGTTTGTACTGGTGCAGGAACTTCCACGTGTGGAACGACTGTTGGATGAAGAGGCCGGACCTGCCCGAGGGCTACGACGGGTGGCAGGTGGTGGATGCCACCCCCCAGGAGACCAGCAGCGGTACTGGTTTATACTGGTTTATACTGGTTTATACTGGTTTAGACTGGTTTAGACTGGTTTAGACTGGTTTATACTGGTTTATACTGGGAGGGGACTGGGATGAACTGGGAGGGGGTTTGGAGGGACTGGGAGGGGATTAAAGGGTTAAAAATGGGGGAAAATGGGGATTTTTTTTTATACTGGTTTATACTGGTTTATACTGGTCCATACTGGTTTATACTGGTCCATACTGGTCCATACTGGTCCATACTGGTCCATACTGGTCCATACTGGTCCGTACTGGTTTATACTGGTTTATACTGGTTTATACTGGTCAGGGCTGTTCTGCTGCGGGCCGTGCTCCGTTAAGGCGGTGAAGAACGGCGACGTCTTCCTCAAGTACGACACGCCCTTCGTCTTCGCCGAGGTAATTATGCAAATGAGCGCTTAATGAGCCCCTAATTACCCTCTGCGGGTGGTGGTGGTAAAAAGGGGTGGGGTTAATTATGCAAATGAGGCAGTTAATTATGCATATGAGGGGAGGAGGATGAGGAGTTCTGCTGGTGGTTGTAGCGGATAGGGGCCTAATATGCAAATGAGGGGTTAATTAATTATGCAAACGAGGGTTTAATTAGGGGGATTTGAGGCGTGGCTAATGTTGTTTAAAATGTAGTAAATGATTATGCAAATAACATAATTAATTATGCAAATGAGGCAGTTCATTATGGATATGAGGGGAGGAGGATGAGGAGTTCTGCTGGTGGGGGTTGTGGGTAGAGGCGGAATATGCAAATGAGGTGTTAATTAACTATGCAAACGAGGGTTTAATTAGGGGGATTTAAGGCGTGGCTAATGTTCAAAATGTAGTAAATGATTATGCAAATAACATAATTATGCAAATGAGCCGCTGAGCAACGCTGGCGCGTTCATGAGACGAAGTTTGGGGTGTGGCTTTATTATGCAAATGAGCGGTTATGTATTCCAATTAATATCTATAATTAATGATGTTATGGGGTGATTATTAGCTATGCAAATGAGGCAGTTAATTACAGAAATTATCACCCGAACAATGCCAGTCTGCTGGCAGCTGGCGGGGATTAATTATGCAAATGAGGGGCTTGCTTATGCTAATGAAGAGGTGTAATTAACTGTGCTGCTGAGGGGTATAAATCATTATGCAAATGAGGTAGTTAATTAGGGAAAGGTGACGATCAGCAAAGCAGCGCACTGGTGGTGGGTGTGGCGTAATTATGCAAATCACGCCTTATTTATGCTAATTAGCAGATGTAAGTAATGGCGCTGAGGGGGTGATCACTAATTATGCAAATGAAACCATCAGGGACGTGGACTAATTACACAAACTGGGGTTAATTAATTTAACAATTAACGACAAATGACAATGCTGCTATGAGGGGATATTAGCCACACTAATAACCTAATTAACCATGCAAATGAGCCGATTAATTACACAGGTGAACAACTACAAGGTGCCCTGGCAGCACCAGGGGCATGGACTAATTACACAAACCGGGGTTAATTACTTTAACAATTAACGACAAATAACAACGCTGCTATGGGGGGGATATTAGCCACACTAATAACCTAATTAAATATGCAAATGAGGCGGTTAATGATGCAGGTGAACAACTAGAAGGTGCAGCAGTGGCACGGACTAATTAGACGAACCGGGGTTAATTACCTTAATGACAAACCACAATTAACAATGCTGCTATGGGGGGATATTAGCCACACTAATAACCTAATTAAATATGCAAATGAGGTGGTTAATTATGCAGGTGAACAACTACAAGGTGCCCTGGCAGCACCAGGGAGATGGATGAATGACACGAACCGGGGTTAATTACTTTAACAATTAACGACAATTAACAACGCTGCTATGGGGGGATATTAACCACACTAATAACCTAATTAACTATGCAAATGAGCCAATTAATGATGCATGTGAACAGCCACAAGGTGCGCTGTCAGTTGTGGTGGGCGCGCCTAATTACACAAACTGAGGTTAATTACCTTAATGACAAACCACAATTAACAACGCTGCTATGGGGGGATATTAGCCGCACTAATAACCTAATTGAATATGCAAATGAGGCGATTAATTACGCAGGTAAACAACTACAAGGTGCACTGGCAGCACCAGTGACATGGACTAATTACAGAAACCAGGGTTAATTACCTTAACAATTAACGACAATTAACAACGCTGCTATGGGGGGATATTAGCCGCACTAATAACCTAATTAAATATGCAAATGAGCCGATTAATTACATAGATGAACAGCCACAAAGTGCGCTGTCAGTTGCAGTGGGCGCGCCTAATTACACGAACCGGGGTTAATTATCGTAACAATTAACGACAATTAACAATGCTGCTATGGGGGGATATTAGCCGCACTAATAACCTAATTAAATATGCAAATGAGCTGATTAACGATGCAGACGAACCACTACAAGGTGCCCTGGCAGCACCAGGTGCATGGACTAATTACACAAACCGGGGTTAATTACCTTAATGAAGAACCACAATTAATACTGCTGCTATGGGGGTATATAAGTAGCTTGAATAACCTAATTAATTATGCAAATGAGCCGGTTAATTACGCAGTTGAACAGCCACAAGGTGCACTATTGGTGGTAATGTGTGAACGCAATGACACAAAGCGGCGTCAATTACTTTAACGACGAAACGCAATTAACAATGCTGCTATGGGGGGATATTAACCGCACTAATAACCTAATTAAATATGCAAATGAGGCTGTTAATTATGCAGGTGAACAGCGACAAGGTGTACTGGCAGCGGCAGGCGCACGGCGGGTTCGCGGTGGTGCACGTGGAGGAAGGAGCCATCGGCCGCAGGATCAGCACCTTGGGGGCCACCGGCCACGCCAGAGTGGACATCACTGACCAGTACAAACACCCCGAGGGTCAGTGTGACCTCTGACCCCTGAGTGACCACTGAGTGACCAATGAGTGACCACTGAGTGACCAATGAGTGACCCTGAGTGACCACTGAGTGACCCTGAGTGACCACTGAGTGACCACTGAGTGACCAATGAGTGACCACTGAGTGACCAATGAGTGACCATAGAGTGATCAATGAGTGACCACTGAGTGACCACTGAGTGACCACTGAGTGACCACTGAGTGACCACAGAGTGACCATAGTGACCATAGAGTGACCATAGATTGACCATAGAGTGACCAATGAGTGATCAATGAGTGACCAGTGAGTGACCACAACCCCAAAAATCCCCTAAAAATGCCCCAAAATGCCCCAAAAATGACCAAAAATGGCCCCTGAGTGACCACTGAGTGACCACTGAGTGACCAATGAGTGACCATAGAGTGACCATAGAGTGACCAATGAGTGACCACTGAGTGACCAATGAGTGATCAATAAGTGACCAATGAGTGATCAATGAGTGACCACTGAGTGACCAATGAGTGACCAATGAGTGACCACTGAGTGACCAATGAGTGACCACTGACCACACAGTGACCAATGAGTGACCACAACCCCAAAAACCCCTAAAAATGCCCCAAAAATCCCCTAAAAATGACCCAAAATGACCCAAAAATGACCCAAAATTGCCCTCTGAGTGACCACTGAGTGACCACTGAGTGACCAATGAGTGACCAATGAGTGACCAATGAGTGATCACTGAGTGACCAATGAGTGACCAATGAGTGACCACTGAGTGACCACTGAGTGACCACAACCCCAAAAATCCCCTAAAAATGCCCCAAAATGACCCTGAGTGACCACTGAGTGACCACTGACCACTGAGTGACCAATGAGTGACCAATGAGTGACCGCAGGATCAGCACCTTGGGGGCCACCGGCCACGCCAGAGTGGACATCACTGACCAGTACAAACACCCCGAGGGTCAGTGTGACCTCTGACCCCTGAGTGACCCTGAGTGACCACTGAGTGACCACTGAGTGACCAATGAGTGACCCTGAGTGACCCTGAGTGACCACTGAGTGACCAATGAGTGACCAATGAGTGACCAATGAGTGACCAATGAGTGACCAATGAGTGACCACTGAGTGACCACTGAGTGACCACTGAGTGACCATAGAGTGACCCTGAGTGACCAATGAGTGACCCCTGAGTGACCACTGAGTGACCAATGAGTGACCAATCAGTGACCAATGAGTGACCACAGAGTGACCAATGAGTGACCAATGAGTGACCACAACCCAAAAATCCCCTAAAAATGCCTTAAAATCATCCAAAAATGACCTAAAATGGCCCCTGAGTGACCAATGAGTGACCAATGAGTGACCAATGAGTGACCAATGAGTGACCAATGAGTGACCAATGAGTGACCATAGAGTGACCAATGAGTGATCAATGAGTGACCAATGAGTGACCAATGAGTGACCAATGGGTGATCAATGAGTGACCAATGAGTGACCACTGAGTGACCACTGAGTGACCAATGAGTGTTCAATGAGTGACCAATGAGTGACCAATGAGTGACCATAGAGTGACCACTGAGTGACCACTGAGTGACCAATGAGTGACCCTGAGTGACCACTGAGTGACCAATGAGTGACCAATGAGTGACCAATGAGTGACCAATGAGTGACCAATGAGTGACCAATGAGTGACCAATGAGTGACCAATGAGTGACCATAGAGTGACCAATGAGTGATCAATGAGTGACCAATGAGTGACCAATGAGTGACCAATGGGTGATCAATGAGTGACCAATGAGTGACCACTGAGTGACCACTGAGTGACCAATGAGTGTTCAATGAGTGACCAATGAGTGACCAATGAGTGACCATAGAGTGACCACTGAGTGACCACTGAGTGACCAATGAGTGACCCTGAGTGACCACTGAGTGACCAATGAGTGACCAATGAGTGACCAATGAGTGACCACTGAGTCACCACTGAGTGACCACTGAGTGACCACTGTGTGACCATAGAGTGACCACTGAGTGACCACTGAGTGACCATAGTGACCATAGAGTGACCAATGAGTGACCACTGAGTGACCAATGAGTGACCACTGAGTGACCCTGAGTGACCAATGAGTGACCAATGAGTGACCACAACCCCAAAAATCCCCCAAAAATGACCCAAAATGACCCTGAGTGACCAGTGATCGACCAATGATCGACCAATGAGTGACCAATGAGTGACCACTGAGTGACCACTGAGTGACCACTGAGTGACCATAGAGTGACCAATGAGTGACCAATGACCCAATGACCCAACCAGTGACCACTTAACCCAACCATTGACCAATGACCAATGACCCAACCAATGACCAATGACCCAACTCTTGACCAAACCAATGACCAATGACCCAACCATTGACCAATGACCCAACCAATGACCAATGACCCAACCAATGACCAATGACCCAACCAATGACCAATGACCGCATCGATGACCACTGACCCAACCCTTGACCACTTAACCCAACCAATGACCCAACCAATGACCAATGACCCAACTCTTGACCTCTTGACCCAACCATTGACCACTTAACCCAACCAATGACTCAACCAATGACCAATGACCGAACCAATGACCAATGACCCAACCAATGACCAATGACCAATGACCCAACCAATGACCAATGACCCAACCAATCACCATTGACCCAACCCTTGACCCAATGACCCAATGAATGACCAATGACCCAACCCTTGACCAATAACCCAATCCTTGACCAATGACCCAACCCTTGATCAATGACCCAACCAATGACCAATCAATCACCCAACCAATGACCAATGACCAATGACCCAACCCTTGACCACTTAACCCAACCAATGACCCAACCATTGATCAATGACCCAACCAATGACCAATGACCCAATCCTTGACCACTTGACCAAACCAATGACCCCATCGATAACCCCTTGACCCAACCAATGACCAATGACCCAACCATTGACCCATTGACCCAACCAATGACCCCTTGACCCAACTCTTGACCCAATCATTGACCCGTTGACCAATGGCCCAACCCTTGACCAATGACCCCATCGATGACCCAATGACCCAACCAATGACCAATGACCCAACCAATGACCATTGACCAATGACCCAACCATTGACCACTTAACCCAACCAATGACCCAACCATTGATCAATGACCCAACCAATGACCAATGTCCCAATCCTTGACCAATGACCCAATCCTTGACCAATGACCCAACCCTTGACCAATGACCCAACCCTTGACCAATGACCAATGCCCAACGACCCAATGACCAACACCCCAATGACCAACGACCCAATGACCAACAACCCAATGACCAACGACCCAATGACCAACGACCCAATGACCAACAACCCAATGACCAACACCCCAATGACCAACGACCCAATGACCAACAACCCAATGACCAACGACCCAATGACCAACACCCCAATGACCAACAACCCCACCAACGACCCAATGACCAACACCCCAATGACCAACAACCCCACCAACGACCCAATGACAATGTCCCCACCAATGACCCCTTGACCAACGACCCAATGACCAACAACCCCACCAACACCCCAATGACCAATGACCAACGACCCAATGACCAACAACCCAATGACCAACGACCCAACCAATGACCCAATGACCAATGACCCAACTCTTGACCTCTTGACCCAACCCTTGACCAATGACCCAACCAATGACCAATGACCCCACCAATGACCCAATGACCAACGACCCAATGACCAATGACCCAACCCTTAACCCAATGACTGAACGCTTGACCAATGACCCAACCAATGACCAATGACCCAACCAATGACCAATGACCCATTGACCCAACTCTTGACCTCTTGACCCAACCAATGACCAATGACCCAACCAATGACCAATGGCCCAACCAATGACCAATGACTCAACTCTTGACCTCTTGACCCAACCATTGACCAATGACCCAACCAATGACCAATGACCCCATTGATGACCCCTTGAACCAACCAATGAGCAATGACCCAATGACCCAACCATTGATCAATGACCCAATCAATGACCAATGACCCAACCAATGACCAATGACCCAACCCTTGACCGCTTGACCCAACCAATGACCCAAACAATGACCCATTGACCCAACTCTTGACCTCTTGACCCAACCCTTGACCAATGACCCAACCCTTGACCGCTTGACCCAAACAATGACCCAAACAATGACCCATTGACCCAACCTTTGACCCCTTGCCCGAACTCTTGGCCCAATCATTGGCCCCTTGACCAATGACCCAACGAATGACCAATGACCCCCCAATGACCAATGACCCAACCAATGATCAATGACCCAACCCTTGATTAATGACCCAACCCTTGACCAAACCAATGACCAATGACCCCATTGATGACCCAATGACCCAACCCTTGAACGATGACCCAACTCTTGGCCCAATGACCCAACCCTTGATCAATGACCCAACCAATGACCAATGACCCAACCAATGACCAATGGCCCAACCCAATGACCAATGACCCAACCCTTGACCCCTTGACCCAATGACCCAACTAATGACCAATGACCCAACCAATGACCAATGACCCCATCGATGACCACTTGACCCAGTCAATGACCCAAACAATGACCCATTGACCCATTCTTTGACCCCTTGACCCAACTCTTGGCCCAATCATTGACCCATTGACCAATGACCCAACCAATGACCAATGACCCAACCCTTGACCAATGACCCAACCCTTGACCAATGACCCAACCAATGACCAATGACCCAACCAATGACCCAATGACCCAACCAATGACCAACAACCCAATGACCAACACCCCAATGACCAACAACCCCACCAATGACCCAATGACCAACACCCCAATGACCAACAACCCCACCAATGACCCAATGACCAACAACCCCACCAATGACCCAATGACCAACAACCCAATGACCAACAACCCAATGACCAACAACCCAATGCCCAACACCCCAATGAGCAACAACCCAATGAGCAACAACCCAATGACCAATGACCCAATGACCAACGACCCAATGACCAACAACCCAATGACCAACGACCCAATGACCAACAACCCAATGACCAACGACCCAATGACCAACAACCCAATAACCAATGACCCAATGACCAACGACCCAATGACCAACAACCCAATGACCAACGACCCAATGACCAACAACCCAACCAATGACCAATGGCCCAACCCTTGACCAAACCAATGACCAATGACCCCATCGATGACCCCTTGTCTCAAACAATGACCAATGTCCCAATCCTTGACTAATGACCCAATCAATGACCAATGACCCAATGACCCAACCCTTGACCAATGACCCAACCCTTGACCAATGACCCAACCCTTGACCAAACCAATGACCAATGACCCCATCGATGACCGCTTGACCCAACCAATGACCAATGACCCCATTGATGACCCAATGACCCAACCAATGACCCAACCAATGACCAATGACCAAACCAATGACCAATGACCCAACCATTGACCAAACCAATGACCCAACCAATGACCAATGACCCCATCGATGACCCCTTGACCCAACCCTTGACCACTTAACCCAACCAATGAGTCAACCCTTGACCAATGACCCAACCAATGACCCAACCCTTGACCCAATGACCCAATCAATGACCAATGACCCAACCAATGACCATTGACCCAACCAATGACCAATGTCCCAATCCTTGACCAAACCAATGACCCCATCAATGACCAATGACCCAACCATTGACCACATAACCCAACCAATGACCCAACCATTGATCAATGACCCAATGACCAATGACCCAACCAATGACTCAACCAATGACCAACGACCCAACCAATGATCAATGACCCAACCATTGACCAATGACCCCATTGATGACCCAATGACCCAATCAATGACCAATGGCCCAACCAATGACCAATGACCAATGACCCAACCAATGACCAATGACCAATGACCCAACCAATGACCAATGACCCAACCAATGACCAACCCCCCAATGCCCAACGCCCCCCACTGACCGCCGCCCCGTCGTCCCGCCAGGCTCGGAGGAGGAACGCCGCGCCGTCTCTGCGGCCACGTCCCACGGCTCCCGTCCGCGCCAGCGTGGCCCGACCTCGGGCGGGGAGGTGACAATGACCGTCGGGTCCGGTCCGGCGGTGGCCGGAGCCGATCTGGAGCTTCGGGCGGTGCTGAAGAACGGCGGTTTGGAGCCTCGGACGCTGCGGCTGCGCTTCTCCCTCTGCGCCGTCCGCTACACCGGCGTGGCCGGAGCCGCCTTCCGGCAGGAGCAGCACCGCCGGACGCTGCCGCCGGGGCAGGGTGAGACGGGGTTTATACTGGTTTGTACTGGTTTGTACTGGGAGGGGGATAATGGCGAAAATTCGGTGAAAATTCGGTGAAAAATGGGTGAAAATTGGGTGAAAAACAGGTAAAGAAAGGGTTAAATTTGGATTTTGGGGTTACTGGTTTGGACTGGTTTGTACTGGTTTATACTGGGAGAGGGAAAATGGGGAAAACTCAATGAAAATTGGGCGAAAATTGGGTGAAAAACGGGTGAAAAACGGGTGAAAAATGGGTAAGGAAAGGGTTAAAATTGGATTTTGGGGTTACTGGTTTGGACTAGTTTAGACTGGTCCGTACTGGTTTATACTGGTTTATACTGGGAGGGGGAAAACAGGGAAAATTCGGTGAAAATTTGGCAAAAATTGGGTGAAAATTGGGTTAAAATATGGTAAGGAAAGGGTTAAATTTGGATTTTGGAGTTACTGGTTTAGACTGGTCCATACTGGTTTATACTGGTTTATACTGGTTTATACTGGGAGGGGAAAACGGGAAAAATTCGGCGAAAATTCAGCGAAAATTGGGATAAAATGGGTAAGAAAGGGTTAAATTTGGATTTTGGGGTTACTGGTTTATACTGGTGCATACTGGTTTATACTGGTCCATACTGGTCTGTACTGGTTTATACTGGGAGGGGAAAATGGGGAAAATTCGATGAAAATTCGGCGAAAAATGGGTGAAAATTGGGTGAAAAATGGGTAAAGAAAGGGTTAAATTTGGATTTTGGGGTTACTGGTTTGTACTGGTTTATACTGGGAGGGACTGGGAGGGGGAAAATGGGGAGAATTCGGTGAAAATTCGGTGAAAATTGGGCGAAAATTGGGTGAAAAATGGGTGAAAATTGGGTAAAGAAAGGGTTAAATTTGGATTTTGGGGTTACTGGTTTGTACTGGTTTAGACTGGTCCATACTGGTTTATACTGGGAGGGGGAAAACGGGGAAAATTTGGCGAAAATTCGGCAAAAATTGGGTGAAAATTGGGTGAAAATATGGTAAGGAAAGGTTTAAATTTGGATTTTGGGTTTACTGGTTTGGACTGGTTTAGACTGGTCCATACTGGTTTAAACTGGTTTATACTAGTCCATACTGGTTTGGTACTGGTTTGGTACTGGTTTATACTGGCCCATACTGGATTATACTGGTTTGTTCTAGTTTATACTGTTTTTTTACTGGTTTTGTACTGGTTTAAACCGGTTTAAAGTGGTTTATACTGGTTTTGTACTGGTTTAAACTGGTTTATACTGGTTTAAAGTGGTTTAAACTGGTTTAAGCTGGTTTATACCGGTTTATACTGGTTTAAACTGGTTTTTACTGGTTTATACTGGTTTTGTACTGGTTTAAACTGGTTTATACTGATTTATACTGGTCCATACTGGTTTGGTACTGGTTTGATACTGGTTTGATACTGGTTTATACTGGTTTAAACTGGTTTATACTGGTTTTATACCGGTTTATACTGGTTTTATACTGCTTTTCTACTGGCTTAAACTGGTTTATACTGGTTTATACTGGTTGATACTGGATAACCAGGACGGTCCCACCCTTCAATGCCCCCCAGAACCACCAAAATATCCCCAAAATGTCCCCAAATTCTCCTCCCATTGATCTCCAACACAACCGCTGATTTCGGGGCCACCTCAGGGCCACCCATGGGTGTCCCCAATGTCCCCTGAGGGTGTCCCCAATGTCCCCTGGGGGTGTCCCCAATGTCCCCACGTGTCACTGTCCCCACAGAGGACACGGTGACGATGACGGTGACCTACACCGAGTACCAGCCCCACGTTGGTGACCAGGACGCGCTGAAGTTGACGGTGGCGGCGGCGGTGCAGGAGAGCGGCCAAGTGTTGGCCAAGGAGCTGCTGGTGCGGCTGCACACGCCCGAGCTGACCCTGACGGTAAGGAAATCCTAAAAAAATCCCAAAAAAATCCCCAAAAAAAATCCCAAAAAAATCCCAAAAAAATCGCCAAAAAAATCCCACAAAAATCGCCAAAAAATCGCCAAAAAAATCCGCAAAAAAATCCCAAAAAAATCCCAAAAAAATCCCTAAAAAAATCGCCAAAAAAATACCCAAAAATAAATCCCCCCAAAAAAACCCCAACAGGAATCCCAAAGGAATCACAAACAAATCCCCCAAAAAAATCCTAAAAAGGAATTTGGGATAATCCCAAAAATTTGGGGTTTTCAAATAGAGAGGGGGTGATGGCCTGAAATCCCCATTGGGTTTAATGGGTAGACCTGGTGTCCCTAAATCCCCATTGACTTTAATGGGTAGACCTGGTGTCCAAAAAATCCCCATTGACTTTAATGGGGTAGACCTGGTGTCCCTAAATCCCCATTGGGTTTAATGGGTAGACCTGGTGTCCAAAAATCCCCATTGACTTTAATGGGGTAGACCTGGTGTCCCTAAATCCCCATTGATTTTAATGGGTAGACCTGGTGTCCCTAAATCCCCATTGGGTTTAATGGGGTAGACTTGGTGTCACTAAAATCCCCATTGATTTTTAATGGGGTAGACCTGGTGTCCAAAAATCCCCATTGACTATAATGGGGTAGACCTGGTGTCCCGTGTCTCCATTGACTTCAATGAGTGAAAAAATTGGATTTTTGGAGGCATTTTTTGAGGTGAAAAATGGGATTTTTTGGTGAAAATGGGATTTTTTGGGGTGAAAAATGGGATTTTTGGTGGTGATTTTTAGGGTGAAAAATGGGATATTTTGGTGAAAAACGCAATTTTTTGGGGATGAAAAATGGGATTTTTGGGGTGAAAAACGCGATTTTTTGGGGGTGAAAATGGGATTTTTTGAGTAAAAAATGGGATTTTTGGTGGGATTTTTGGGGTAATTTTTGGGGTGATTTTTGGGGTGAAAAATGAGATTTTTGGGGGGATTTTGTGGGTACTTTTGGGGTGAAAATTTGGATTTTTTTTGTGAAAAACGTGATTTTTTGGGGGGCGAAAAATGGGATTTTTGGGGTGAAAAACGCAATTTTTTTGGGGTGAAAAATGGGATTTTGGGGTGAAAAATGGGATTTTTGGGGGGATTTTTCGGGGTGATTTTTAGGGTGAAAAATGGGATTTTTTTGGTGAAAAACATGATTTTTTGGGGGCGAAAGTGGGATTTTTGGGGTGAAAAATGGGATTTTTGGGCGAATTTTGGTGTAAAAAATGGGATTTTGTGGGCATTTTTTGAGGTGAAAAATGGGATTTTTTGGGGCAAAAAATGGGATTTTTGGGGTGGAAAACGCGATATTTTTGGGGTGAAAAATAGGATTTTTGGGTAAAAATGGGATTTTTGGGGGGAATTTGGGGTAATTTTGGGGTGAAAAATGGGATTTTTGGGGGCTTTTTTGAGGTGAAAAATTGAATTTTTACAGGAATTTTTTGAGGTGAAAAATGGGATTTTTTTTGGGATGAAAATTTGAATTTTTATGGGAATTTTTTGAGTGAAAAAATGGGATTTTTAGGGTGAAAAATTGGATTTTTGGGTCGATTTTTCAGGGTGATTTTTGGGGGGAAAAATGGGATTTTGGGGGGACTTTTGGGTGATTTTTGGGTGAAAAATGGGATTTTTGGAATGAAAACTGGGATTTTTGGGGTTAAAAATGGTATTTTTGGGCTGAAAAATGGGATTTTTTGAGTAAAAAATGGGATTTTGGGGGGGAATTTTGGTGTGAAAAATGGGATTTTGGGAGCATTTTTTGAGGTGAAAAATGGGATTTTTGGGGGAATTTGGGGCTGATTTTTGGGGTGAAAATGGGATTTTTTGGTGAAAAACATTATTTTTGGGGGCAAAAATTGGGATTTTTGGGGGAATTTTGGTGTAAAAAATGGGATTTTTTGGGGGGTGAAAACTTGAATTTTTACGGGAATTTTTTGAGTAAAAAATGGGATTTTTTGGGTAAAAAACTACATTTTTGGGGGGATTTTTCGGGGTGATTTTTGTGGTGAGAAATGGGATTTTTGGGGCAATTTGGAGATGAAAATTTGGAATTTTGGGCATATTTTTGGGGTGAAACCCGGGGTTTTTTGGGGGGAATTTTGGGGTGAAAAACACGATTTTTTTGGGGTGATAAATGCGATTTTTTTGGGGTGAAAAATGGGATTTTTCGGGTAAAAAAATGGGATTTTTGGGGGGAATTTGGGGATGATTTTTGAAGTACTTTTGGGGCGAAAAATGGGATTTTTTGGTGAAAAATGTGATTTTTTGGGGGCGAAAGTGGAATTTTTGGGGTGAAAAATGGGATTTTTTGGGTAAAAAATGGGATTTTTTGGGGGGAATTTTGGGGGTACTTTTGGGGTGAAAAATGGGATATTTTGGTGAAAAACGTGATTTTTTGGGGGCAAAAGAAAAGGGATTTTTGGGTAAAAAATGGGATTTTGGGGGTGATTTTTGGGGTACTTTTGGGGGCAAAAAATGGGATTTTGGGGGTGAATTTTGGTGTGAAAAATGGGATTTTGGGGGGGAATTTTGGTGTGAAAAATGGGATTTTGGGGGGGAATTTTGGTGTGAAAAATGGGATTTTGGGGACATTTTTGGAGTTGAAAAATGGGATTTTTTTGTGAAAATGGGATTTTTTGGGGTGAAAAATGGGATTTTTGGGGTGAAAAAACGTGATTTTTTTTGGGTGAAAAATGGGATTTTTTGGGTAAAAAATAGGATTTTTGGGGGGATTTTGGGTAATTTTTGGGGTGAAAAATGGGATTTTTGGGGGAATTTTCTGGGGTGAAAAATGGGATTTTTGGGGCGAAAAATGGGATTTTTTGGGTAAAAAATGGGATTTTTTGAGGTGAAAAATTGAATTTTTACCGGAATTTTTTGCGTAAAAAATTGGATTTTTGGGGCAATTTTTCAGGGTGATTTTTAGGGTGAAAAATGGGAATTTTGGGCTGATTTTTGGGGTGAAAAATGTGATTTTTGGTGCAGCTCCTGGGCCCTGCCGTGGTCGGCCGCCCCGTGTCGGTGCAGGTCGTGTTCCAGAACCCGCTCCCGGCGCCGCTGCCCTCGGCCTCGCTGCGCATGGAGGGCGCCGGCATCGCCTGCCCCAAGCCCCTGGCCCTGGGGTGAGACTGGTTATACTGGTTTATACTGGGAGGGACTGGGAGGGCAAAAACGGCGAAAATTCGGTGAAAATTGGGTGAAAAACGGGCGAAAATTGGGCGAAAAACGGGTGAAAATTGGGTTAAAATGGGTAAGGAAAGGGTTAAATGTGGATTTTGGGGTTACTGGTTTATACTGGTTTATACTGGGAGGGACTGGGAGGGCGAAAACGGCGAAAATTCCGTGAAAATTCGGTGAAAATTCGGTGAAAATTGGGTGAAAATTGGGTGAAAAACGGGTGAAAAATGGACGAAAAACTGGTGAAAAGTAGGTAAGGAAAGGGTTAAATTTGGATTTTGGGGTTACTGGTTTATACTGGTTTATACTGGTCCATACTGGTTTATACTGGGAGGGACTGGGAGGGAAAAATGGGAAAAATTTGGTGAAAATTTGGTCAAAATTGGGTGAAAATCAGATCAAAATGGGTAAGAAAGGGTTAAAATATGGTAAGGAAAGGGTTAAATGTGGATTTGGGGTTACTGGTTTGGACTGGTTTATACTGGTTTATACTGGTTTATACTGGTTTATACTGGTTTATACTGGGAGGGGAAAAACGGAGAAAATTCGGTGAAAATTCGGCAAAAATTGGGTGAAAATTGGGTTAAAAATGGGTAAAGAAAGGGTTAAATTTGGATTAGGGGTTACTGGTTTGGACTGGTTTATACTGGTCCATACTGGTCCATACTGGTTTATACTGGGAGAGACTGGGGGGGAAAATGGGGAAAATTTGGTGAAAATTGGGTGAAAAATGGACAAAAAATGGGCAAAAAATGGGTAAGGAAAGGGTTAAATTTGGATTTTGGGGTTACTGGTTTGGACTGGTTTGGACTGGTTTATACTGGTCCATACTGGTTTATACTGGTTTATACTGGGAGGGACTGGGAGGGGAAAAATGGGGAAAATTCGGTGAAAATTCGGCAAAAAACGGGCGAAAATTGGGTGAAAAATGGACGAAAAACGGGTGAAAAATGGGTAAGGAAAGGGTTAAATTTCGATTTTGGGGTTACTGGTTTATACTGGTTTATACTGGTTTATACTGGTTTATACTGGGAGGGACTGGGAGGGGAAAATGGGGAAAATTTGGTGAAAATTGGGTGAAAATTGGGTGAAAAACGGGTGAAAAATGGGTTAAAAATGGGTAAGGAAAGGGTTAAAAGTGGATTTGAAGTTACTGGTTTATACTGGTTTGGACTGGTCCATACTGGTTTATACTGGGAGAGACTGGGAGGGGAAATTCTGTGAAAATTGGGTGAAAATTGGGTGAAAATTGGGTGAAAAATGGATGAAAAACGGGTGAAAAATGGGTAAAGAAAGGGTTAAATTTGGATTTTGGGGTTACTGGTTTGGACTGGTTTATACTGGTTTATACTGGTTTATACTGGGAGGGGAAAAACGGCGAAAATTCGGTGAAAATTGGGTGAAAAACGGGTGAAAAATGGCTGAAAAATGGACGAAAAAACGGTGAAAAGTAGGTAAGGAAAGGGTTAAATTTGGATTTTGGGGTTACTGGTTTATACTGGTCCATACTGGTTTATACTGGGAGAGACTGGGAGGGAAAAATGGGGGAAATTTGGTCAAAATTTGGCAAAAATTGGGTGAAAATCAGATCAAAATGGGTAAGAAAGGGTTAAAATATGGTAAGGAAAGGGTTAAAAGTGGATTTGAAGTTACTGGTTTGTACTGGTTTATACTGGTCCATACTGGTTTATACTGGTTTATACTGGGAGGGCAAAAACGGCGAAAATTCGGTGAAAATTGGGTGAAAATTGGGTGAAAATTGGGTGAAAAATGGATGAAAAACGGGTGAAAAATGGGTAAAGAAAGGGTTAAATTTGGATTTTGGGGTTACTGGTTTGGACTGGTTTATACTGGTTTATACTGGTTTATACTGGGAGGGGAAAAATGGGGAAAATTCGGTGAAAATTGGGTGAAAATTGGGTGAAAAACGGGTGAAAAATGGGTAAAGAAAGGGTTAAATTTGGATTTTGTGGTTACTGGTTTATACTGGTTTATACTGGGAGAGACTGGGAGCGAAAAATGGGGAAAATTTGGTCAAAATTTGGCAAAAATTGGGTGAAAATCAGATCAAAATGGGTAAGAAAGGGTTAAAATATGGTAAGGAAAGGGTTAAAATTGGATTTTTGGGTTACTGGTTTGTACTGGTTTGGACTGGTCCATACTGGTTTATACTGGTTCGTACTGGTTTATACTGGGAGGGAAAAATGGGGAATATTTGGTGAAAATTTGGTAAAAAATGGATGAAAAACCGGTGAAAAGTAGGTAAGGAAAGGGTTAAATTTGGATTTTGGGTTACTGGTTCTTACTGGTTTATACTGGTTCATACTGGTCCATACTGGTTTATACTGGTTTATACTGGGAGGGGAAAAATGGGAAAATTGGGCAAAAATTGGGTCAAAATGGGTAAGAAAGGGTTAAAGTATGGTAATGAAAGGGTTAAATGTGGATTTGGGGTTACTGGTTTATACTGGTTTATACTGGTCCATACTGGTTTATACTGGTTTATACTGGTCCATACTGGTTTATACTAGTTTATACTGGGAGGGACTGGGAGAGGGAAAATAGGGGAAAATGGGAGAAAATTGAGTCAAAATTGGCTAAGAAAGGGTTAAAATATGGTAAGGAAAGGGTTAAATTTGGATTTTGGGGTTACTGGTTTGGACTGGTTTAGACTGGTCCATACTGGTCCATACTGGTTTGTACTGGTTTATACTGGGAAGGGGGAAATGAGGAAAATTGGTGAAAATTTGGCAAAAATTGGGTGAAAATTGGGTTAAAAATGGGTAAAGAAAGGGTTAAATTTGGATTACTGGTTTGTACTGGTTTATACTGCTCCATACTGGTTTATACTGGTTTATACTGGTTTGTACTGGTCCATACTGGTTTATACTGGGAGGGACTGGGAGGGGGAAAAAGGCGAAAATTCGGTGAAAATTCGGTGAAAATTGGGTGAAAAACGGGTGAAAAATGGGTTAAAAACGGGTTAAAAATGGTTAAAAATGGGTAAGGAAAGGGTTAAAAGTGGATTTTGGGGTTACTGGTTTGTACTGGTCCATACTGGTTTATACTGGTCCGTACTGGTCCATACTGGTCCGTACTGGTCCATACTGGTTTATACTGGGACGGAAATATGGGAAAAATTCGGTGAAAATTTGGTGGAAAACGGGTGAAAAACGGGTAAAGAAAGGGTTAAAAGTGGATTTGAAGTTAGTGGTTTATACTGGTTTATACTGGTTTATACTGGGAGGGGGAAAATGGGGGGAAAATGGGAAAAAATGGGGAAAATTGGGTGAGAAATGGACAAAAATTGGGGCAAAAATGGGAAAAAAATGGAAAAAATGGGGAGAAAATGGTTAAACTGGTTTGTACTGGTTTATACTGGTTTGGACTGGTTTATACTGGTTTATACTGGGATTTTGTGCGGGGGAGAGCACCAAAATTGGGAAAAATGGGAAAAATTGGGAAAAAATTGGAAAAAAATGGGAAAAAATTGGGAAAAAAAGAGGAAAATTTGGGTTAAACTGGTTTATACTGGTTTATACTGGTTTATACTGGTTTATACTGGATTTTGTGTTTGGGAGAGCACCAGAAATGGGAAAAAATGGGGGAAAATGGGAAAAAATGTGAAAAATTGGGGAAAAAATGGGAAAAATTGGGAAAAAAAAGGGAAAAATTGGGTTAAACTGGTTTATACTGCTTTGTACTGGTTTGTACTGGTTTATACTGGTTTATACTGGTTTTTACTGGGATTTTGTGCACCAAAAATGGGAAAAAATGGGGGAAAATAGGAAAAAATTGGGAAAAAATGGGGAAAAAATGGGAAAAAAAGGGGAAAAAAGTGGTTAAACTGGTTCATACTGGTCTATACTGGTTTATACTGGTTTATACTGGGATTTTGTGTGGGGGAGAGTAACTGGGAGCACCAAAAATTGGGCAAAAATGGGGAAAAATGGGAAAAAATTGGGAAAAATTGGGAAAAAATTGAGAAAAATTGGGAAAAAAATGGGTTAAACTGGTCCATACTGGTCCATACTGGTCTATACTGGTTTATACTGGTTTATACTGGTTTATACTGGTTTATACTGGGATTTTGAGCGGAGGAGAGCACCAAAAATGGGAAAAAATGGGAAAAAAAATGGGAAAAAAATGTGAAAAAATGGGGAAAAAATGGGAAAAAGTGGGGAAAAAAGTGGTTAAACTGGTTTATACTGGTTCATACTGGTTTATACTGGTTTAAACTGGGATTTTGTGCGGGGAAGAGCACCAAAAACGGGGCAAAAATGGGAAAAATTGGGAAAAAATGGGAAAAAAAGGGGAAAAAAGGGGCAAAAGTGGCTTATACTGGTTTATACTGGTTCTTACTGGTTTTTACTGGTTTATACTGGTTCATACTGGTTTTTACTGGTTTATACTGGTTTATACTGGGATTTTGTGCGGGGGAGAGCACCAAAAATGGGAAAAAATGGGGGAAAATGGGAAAAAATGGGGAAAAATTGGGAAAAAAGGGGAAAAAAAGGGTTATACTGGTTTATACTGGTCCATACTGGTTCATACTGGTTCATACTGGTTTATACTGGTTTATACTGGTTTATACTGGTTTATACTGGGATTTTGTGCGGGGGAGAGCACCAAAAATGGGAAAAAATGGGAAAAAATTGGGCAAAAATGGGAAAAAGTGGGGAAAAAATGGGTTATACTGGTTCATACTGGTTTATACTGGTTTATACTGGTCTATACTGGTTTATACTGGTTTATACTGGGATTTTGTGCACCAAAAATGGGTCAAAAATGGTGAAAAATGGGAAAAAATGGGAAAAATTGGGGAAAAAATTGGGGAAAAAAGGGCAAAAATGGGAAAAAAATGGGCAAAACTGGTCCATACTGGTCCATACTGGTCTATACTGGTTCATACTGGTTTATACTGGTTTATACTGGTTTTTCCCCCCCACAGCTCCCTGGGGGCGGGGCAGACGCTCCGGCTCAGCCAATCAGTGACGCCGCTCCGGGCCGGGCAGCGCCGCCTCGTGGCCACCTTGGAAAGCGCCGCCCTCCCCCCCCTGAGCGGCTGCGTCCAGTTCAGCGCCCAAACTGGGAGCACTGGGAGCACTGGGAGCCTTACTGGGGATACTGGGAGGGAGGAGAATCATACTGGGAGCACTGGGAATGGCGGCAGGCGGCTGCGCAGGAGGAGGGGGAGGCCCGGCGGGAGTACGGGGGGTTAACTGGGAGCACTGGTTTGGACTGGGAGGGGGTTTGTGTTATACTGGTCCATACTGGGAGCACTGGTTTGTACTGGGAGGGGGTTTGGGTCATACTGGGAGCCATACTGGGAGCACTGGGAGCCATACTGGGAGCACTGGGAGCCATACTGGGAGCACTGGTTTGTACTGGGAGCCATACTGGGAGCACTGGGAGCCAAACTGGGCCATACTGGTCCATAGTGGGAGCACTGGGAGCAGTCACTGGGTCATACTGGGAGCACTGGGAGGGGTTACTGATTCATACTGGGAGCACTGGGAGCCAAACTGGGAGCACTGGGAGCCATACTGGGCCATACTGGGTCATACTGGGAGCACTGGGAGCAGTCACTGGGTCATACTGGGAGCACTGGGAGCCATACTGGTCCATACTGGGAGCACTGGGAGCCATACTGGTCCATACTGGGAGCACTGGGAGCCAGACTGGGAGTACTGGGAGGAGTTACTGAGCCATACTGGGAGTACTGGGAGCCATACTGGGCCATACTGGGAGGAGTTACTGGGCCATACTGGGAGTACTGGGAATGCCAACCCCATACTGGGAGCAAAACTGGAACATACTGGGAGCACTGGAAGCCATACTGGGAATGTCAACCCCATACTGGGAGCACTAGGAGCCAAACTGGGCCATACTGGGAGCACTGGGAGCCAAACTGGGAGTACTGGGAGGGGTTACTGGTCCATACTGGGAGCACTGAGAACCAAACTGGGCCATACTGGTCCATACTGGGAGCACTGGGAGAGGGTTTGGGCCAAACTGGTCCATACTGGGAAGGACTGGGAGCCATACTGGGAGCACTGGAAGTCAAACTGGTCCATACTGGGAGCACTGGGATGGGGTTTGGGGTCATACTGGGAGCACTGGTTTGTACTGGGAGAGGCTTTGGGCCATACTGGGCCATACTGGGAGCTGTTACTGGTTCATACTGGGAGCACTGGGAGCGGTCACTGGTCCATACTGGGAGCACTGGGAGCCAAACTGGGTCATACTGGTCCATACTGGGAAGGACTGGGAGCCAAACTGGGAATACTGGGAGTGGTTACTGGTCCATACTGGGAGCACTGGTTTGTACTGGGAGGGGGTTACTGGTCCATACTGGTCCATACTGGGAGCACTGGGAGCCAAACTGGTCCATACTGGGAGCACTGGGAGCCCTGGGGGGTATTACTGGTTCATACTGGGAATACTGGGATGGGGTTTGGGGTGATACTGGGAGCACTGGTTTGTACTGGGAAAGGGTTTGGGTCATACTGGTCCATACTGGGAGCACTGGGAGCCATACTGCCATACTGGTCCATACTGGGAGCACTGGGATCCATACTGGGAGCACTGGGAGCCAAACTGGGAATGCCAACCCCATACTGGGAGCACTGGGAGCTGTCACTGGTTCATACTGGGAGCACTGGGAGCCAAACTGGGTCATACTGGTCCATACTGGGAACACTGGGAGCCATACTTGGAATACTGGGAGAGGGTTTGGCCCATACTGGTTCATACTGGGAGCACTGGGAGAGGGTTTCGGTCATACTGGGCCATACTGGGAGCACTGGGAGGAGTTACTGGTCCATACTGGGAGCACTGGGAGGAGTTACTGGTCCATACTGGTTCATACTGGGAGCACTGGGAGCGGTCACTGGTCCATACTGGGAGCACTGGGAGCCATACTGGGAGCACTGGGAGGGGTTACTGGTCCATACTGGGAAGGACTGGGATGCATACTGGGAGCACTGGGAGCGGGGAGAATCATACTGGGAGCACTGGGAGCCTTACTGGGAGCACTGGGAGAGGGTTTGGCCCATACTGGACCATACTGGGAGCCAAACTGGTCCATACTGGGAGCACTGGGAGCTGTTACTGGTCCATACTGGTCGCACTGGTTTGTACTGGGAGCCCCGGCGATGACGTCACCGCCCCGCCCGCCAATAAAATCGCTCTTCTAACCCCGCTTCGTGCATGACGTCATTCAGTGGGCGTGGCTAAAGGGGGGCGCAGCGCCGCTCCGGATTGGCCGAAGCGGCGGCCAATAGGAAGGGAGGGAGCGCGGCGCGGCGCGATGACGTCACTCGCAGCGCGCCGCCGCCGCCGCCGCTACCGGAGCGCGGCGGGAGCGGAGCGGGAGCGCGGCGGAAGTGACGTCACGGAGAGCGCGGGATGGGCGGGAGTGACGTCAGGTGAGGGGGGAACTGGGAGGGACTGGGAGGGACTGGGAGGGGGTACTGGTTTATACTGGTTTGGGGTTTGGGGGTGCTGGGAGCGACTGGGAGGGGACTGGGCCATACTGGGATGGACTGGGAGTTACGCGTTTGGGGTTTGGGGTTACTGGGATGGACTGGGAGGGAACTGGGAGGTGACTGGACCATACTGGGAGGGACTGGGAGTTACTGGGATGAACTGGGAGGGACTGGGATGAACTGGGAGGGGGTTTGGGGGTACTGGGAGGTTACTGGGCCATACTGGGATGAACTGGGAGCTCACTGGGATGAACTGGGAGGGACTGGGAGTTACTGGGATAAACTGGGAGGGACTGGGAGGGACTGGGAGGGGGTTTGGGGGTACTGGTTTGTACTGGTTTGGGGTTTGGGGTTACTGGGAGGGACTGGGAGGGCACTAGGCCATACTGGGATGGACTGGGAGCGAACTGGGATGAACTGGGAGTTACACGTTTGGGGTTTGGGGTTACTGGGATGGACTGGGAGGGAACTGGGAGGTGACTGGACCATACTGGGAGGGACTGGGATGGACTGGGAGTTACTGTTCCCTACTGGGAAGGCACTGGGAGGGTACTGGGAGTTACTGGGATGAACTGGGAGGGACTGGGATGAACTGGGAGGGGGTTTGGGGGTACTGGGAGGTTACTGGGCCATACAGGGATGAACTGGGAGCTCACTGGGATGAACTGGGCCATACTGGGAGGAACTTGGAGGGGGTTTGGGGGTGCTGGGAGGGGACTGGGCCATACTGGGATGGACTGGGAGCGAACTGGGATGAACTGGGAGTTACTGGGATGAACTGGGATGGACTGGGAGGGGACTGGGCCATACTGGGATGAACTGGGAGGGGGTTTGGGGTTACTGGGAGGGACTGGGAGGGCACTAAGCCATACTGGGATGAACTGGGACATACTGGGAGGGACTGGGATGGACTGGGATGGACTGGGATGTTACTGGTTTGGGGTTTGGGGTTACTGGGAGGGCACTGGGCCATACTGGTTTATGCTGGGATGAACTGGGAGGGAACTGGGACGTGACTGGACCATACTGGGAGGGACTGGGATGAACTGGGAGGTCAGTGGGGGTTACTGGGATGGACTGGGAGTTACTGGTTTGGGGTTTGGGGTTACTGGGAGGGACTGGGAGGGCACTGGTTTGGGGTTTGGGGTTACTGGGATGGACTGGGACGCACTGAGACCTTACTGGGCCATACTGGGCCAAACTGGGAGCGAACTGGGAGCGAACTGGGACCATACTGAGATGAACTGGGAAGAACTGGGAGGGGGTTTGGGGTTACTGGGATGAACTGGGAGCTCAGTGGGAGTTACTGGGATGAACTGGGAGGTAACTGGGCCATACTGGGATGAACTGGGATGTTACTGGTTTGTGGTTTGGGCTTACTGGGACCAACTGGGACCTCACCAGTCCAAACCGGTTTCTCTCCCCCCACCCCCCCCCCCAGCCCCTCCCCCTCCCTGCGCTTGGCCCTGGCCGGGGCCTGGTGGGCGCTGAGGGGGCGTGGCCTGGAGGGGCGTGGCCGCGGTGGGCGTGGCCTGGAGGGGCGTGGCTGGGGGCGTGTCCTGGCGCTGCTGGAGGCCGTGGGGGGCGGGGCCCCGGCGCTGCTGCGGCCCCGGCACCGCGCCCGCCTCAGCCTGGGGCTGAGGGCTCAGGTAGGCCACGCCCACCCCCGGCAGGCCACGCCCTTTCCTTGTTAGACCACGCCCATTCCTCGTTAAACCACGCCCTTTCCTTGTTAGGCCACACCCACTCCCCGTTAGGCCACGCCCATTCCCCGTTAGGCCACGCACCCTCTTCGTTAAGCCATGCACACTCCCGTTAGGCCACGCCCATCCCGTTAGACCACGCCCCCTCCCCGTTAAGACATGCTCACTCACCGTATAAGCCACGCCCACCCGTTAAACCACGCCCCCTCTCCGTTAAACCACGCCCCCTCTCCGTTAAGCCACGCCCATTCCTGGTAAACCACGTCCCCTCCCCGTTAAGCCACGCCCACTCCCGTTAAATGATGCCCCCTCCCAGTTAGACCACGCCCATTCCCATTAGGCCACACCCACTTCCGTTACGCCACACCCCCGTTAGGCCGCGCCCACTCACTGTTAGACCACGCCCCCTCTTCATTAAGCCGCACCCATTCTCGTTAGGCCACGCCCACTCCCTTTAAACCACGCCCACATTATTCACGTTAAACCACGCTTCCTCCCCGTTAAGCCACGCCCCCTCCCGTTAGGCCACGCCCACCCCGTTAAACCACGCACACTCCATTTAAACCACGCCCCCAGACGTTAGGCCACGCCCACTCCCGTTAAACCACACCCACTCTCCGTTAAGCCATGACCATTCCCGTTAGACCACACCCATTACCGTTAGGCCACTCCCCCTCCCATTAGGACACGCCCACTCACGTTAGACCACGCCCACACCCATTAGGCCACGCCCACTCCCGTTAGGTCACGCCCCTCCCTGTTAGACCACGCCCACTCCCGTTGGGCCACGCCCATTCCAGTTAAACCACGCCCAGCACCGTTAGACCACGCCCCCTCTCCCTGTTAGACCACGCCCCCTCCTCTTAGGCCACGCCTGCTCCCTTTAAACCACGCCCATTCCCGGTAGACTACGTCCCCTCCCTGTTAGGCCACGCCCATTCCCGTTAAACCACGCCCCCTTCCCGTTAAGCCACGCCCACTCCTGTTAAGCCGCGCCTAATTCCGTTAGACCACGCCCACTCCATTTAAACCACGCCCACCGCCATTAGGCCACGCCCACATCGCAAATTCCCACCAGTTGTGGTTAAACCACGCCCATTTTGAGATAGACCACGCCCACTCTGTGCTAGGCCACACCCACCGCGGATAATTGATGCTTATGCCACGCCCACCCCTCTAAACCACGCCCATTATGCATATTAATGTGTTTAAGCCACGCCGTCCTTGCTATAAGCCACGCCCACCTATCTAAGCCACGCCCACTGTGTGAATTATTGGTTAGGCCACACCCATTCTGGGATTTAATTCTTAGACCACGCCCACCCCTCTAAACCACGCCCATTCTGCATATTAATGTGTTTTAGTCACGCCCATATTGTCACAAAGCCACGCCCTCCCTGCTATAAGCCACGCCCACTTAGTTAAGCCACGCCCATTGTGGTAATTATTGCATTAAGCCCCGCCCATTGTGGGAATTAATTATGTTTAGGCCACGCCCACTCATCTAAACCCCGCCCATTCTGGTAAATAATGATGTTAGGCCACGCCCACTCCTTTAAACCCCACCCACTGTGGGTTTAGGCCACGCCCACTCCTCTAAACCCCGCCCATTGTAGGAATTAATGAGTTTAGGCCACGCCCATTCATCGAAACCCCACCCATTGCGAGTTTAAGCCACGCCCACCCGTCCCCAAGCCACGCCCACCCATTTAAGCCCCGCCCCCAAGCCCTGGCCCCGCCCCCAGGTGGTGACGTCACTGCTGCGGGAGCTCGGCCCCGCCCCCGCCGTGCTGGACGCGCTGGATTGGCTGTTCCCAGAGGGGGCGGGGCCAGCGGGAGGCCACGCCCTCGGGGTGAGACTGGGATAGACTGGGAGGGACTGGGAGGGACTGGGAGGGACTGGGAGGGAACTGGGAGGGACTGGGAGGGACTGGGAGGGAACTGGGAGGGACTGGGAGGGAACTGGGAGGGACTGGGAGGGAACTGGGATGAACTGGGAGGGACTGGGAGGAACTGGTTTATACTGGGAGGGACTGGGAGGGACTGGGAGGGAGTGGGAAGGACTGGGAGAGAACTGGGATGAACTGGGATGGACTGGGAGGGCACTGGGATGAACTGGGAGAAACTGGGAGGGACTGGGAGGGACTGGGAGGGGACTGGTTTATACTGGGAGGGGACTGGGAGGGACTGGGAGGGACTGGGATGAACTGGGACATTACTGGGATGGACTGGGATCATACTGGGATGAACTAGAGGGGACTGGGTGGAACTGGGATCATACTGGGATGAACTGGGATGAACTGGGAGGGAACTGGGATGAACTGGGAGGGAACTGGGATGAACTGGGATGAACTGGAAGGGCACTGGGGCCACACTGGGATGAACTGGGACGTTACTGGGATGGACTGGGGCCATACTGGGAGTTACTGGGATGGACTGGGATGAACTGGGACGGCACTGGGTTGAACTGGGATGAATTTGAGACATACTGGGATGAACTGGGATGAACTGGGAGGGCACTGGGGCCATACTGGGATGAACTGGGATGAACTGGGAGGGCACTGGGATGAACTGGGACATTACTGGGATGGACTGGAAAGAACTGGGATGAACTAGAGGGGACTGGGGCCATACTGGGATGAACTGGGACATTACTGGGTTGAACTGGGATGGACTGGGAGGGCACTGGGGCCACACTGGGATGGACTGGGACGTTACTGGGATGAACTGGGGCCATATTGGGAGGGACTGGGGCCATACTGGGATGAACTGGGATGGGACTGGGAGGGCACTGGGATGGACTGGGGCCATACTGGGATGAACTGGGACGTTACTGGGAAGAACTGGGATGAACTGGAAGGGCACTGGGGCCACACTGGGAGTTACTGGGATGAACTGGTTTGAACTGGGATGAATTGGAGCCATATTGGGATGAACTGGGACGTTACTGGAATGAACTGGGACCATACTGGGATGAACCGGGAGGGTACTGGGGCCATACTGGGAGTTACTGGGATGAACTGGTATGAACTGGGAGGGCACTGGGACCATACTGGGCTGAACTGGTTTGAACTGGGAGCCCCCCTAAACCCCTCCCGGGGGGGCGTGGCCAACCCCAGCCCCGCCCTCCCCTCCCTCATTAACATATATGCCCTAAAGGGGGCGTGGCCTGATCAAGCCCCGCCCTCTCCTCCCTCATTAACATATATTGCCAAAAGGGGGCGTGTTCTGAGCAAGCCACGCCCCTCATTAACATATATACCCCAAAGGGGGCGTGGCCTGATCAAGCCCCGCCCCCTCAGCCCCCCCAGGAGCTGCCCCTGGTGGGCGTGGCCGAGGAGCACTTCCGGGAGCAGGTGCTGGGAATTCTGGGAAGTGGGCGGGGCCTGGAGCCCTTCCTGCAGGTGAGACCAGTATAAACCAGTTCGTCCCAGTATAAACCAGTAACGCCCTGGGGGCCTCCCAGTATGGCCCAGTGACCCTCCCAGTATAAACCAGTATGGCCCAGTCACCTTCCAGTTCATCCCAGTATGGCCCAGTGACCCTCCCAGTATAAACCAGTAACGCCCTGGGGGCCTCCCAGTATGGCCCAGTGCCCTCCCAGTTCATCCCACTATGGCCCAGTCACCTTCCAGTATAAACCAGTATGGCCCAGTCCCCTCCCAGTTCATCCCAGTATGGCCCAGGCCCCTCCCAGTTCATCCCAGTATGTCCCAGTCCCCTCCAAGTCCCTCCCAGTTCAAACCAGTGACCCTCCCAGTATAAACCAGTATGGCCCAGTCACTCCAAACCCCATCCCAGTTGATCCCAGTTCCCTCCCAGTTCATCCCAGTTCAAACCAGTGACCCTCCCAGTATAAACCAGTATGGCCCAATCACCTCCCAGTAACCCCAAACCCATCCCAGTTGATCCCAGTCCCCTCCCAGTTCATCCCAGTATGGCCCAGTCCCCTCCCAGACCCTCCCAGTTCAAACCAGTGACCCTCCCAGTATATACCAGTATGGCCCAGTCCCCTCTCAGTCCCTCCCAGTCCCCTCCCAGTTCATCCCAGTACGGCCCAATCCCCTTCCAGTTCATCCCAGTATGGCCCAGTCCCCTCCCAGTATAAACCAGTATGTCCCAGTCACCTCCCAGTAAACCCAAACCCATCCCAGTTGATCCCAGTTCCCTCCCAGTCCCTCCCAGTCCTCTCCCAGTTCAATCCCAGTCCCTCCCAGTCCCTCCCAGTCCCTCCCAGTACAAACCAGTTGCCCCCAGGAGTACGGGCCGTGTTTCCGCCGTTCCCTGTTCCGCCTTTTCCTGGAATTTTTGGGCCGTGTGGAGAGCGCCCTTCCCCCCCCCGACCTGCCCCAGGTGAGTCTGGGGGCGTGGCTTCACCTAAACCACGCCCCTTTTGTCCCAAACCACGCCCATTTTGTCCTAAACCACGCCCCTTTTGTCTTAAACCACGCCCATTTTGTCCTAAACCACGCCCCTTTTGTCTTAAACCACGCCCCTTTTGTCTTAAACCACGCCCATTTTGTCTTAAACCACACCCCTTTTGTCCTAAACCACGCCCATTTTTATGTAAATCACGCCCACGTTGTCCTAAGCCACGCCCCTTTGTCCCAAACCACGCCCACTTTGACCTAAGCCACGCCCCCTTTATGTAAAACCACTTCCACTTGTCATAAGCCACGCCCCTTTTATCGTAAGCCACACCCCTCTGTTCTAAACCACGCCCCCTTTGTGATAAGCCACGCCCATTTGTTTAAAACCACGCCCCCTTACGGCAAAACCACGCCCCCAAGCGGGAAGCCACGCCCCCTTCATTAAGCCACGCCCCTTTCCCTCATATGCACAAAATGGCGGAACAAAACAAAATGGCGGAATGGGGATAGAGAAGGGGAAACTGAGGCAGCGAAATTGGGGAAAATTAATGGGAATTAGGGAAAATTCAATAAAAATTAAGGGAGATTTTAGGGAATTTAATTAAAATAGGAAAAAATGGTGGAAAATTTAGAGATTTTAAGTAAAATTTAGTGAAGTTTTAATGAAAATGGTGGAAAATAAGGAAAGTTCAAGGAAAATTTAATAAAAAATTTAAGGAAATGGAAGAAAATTTAGACAAAATTAATTAAAATGACAGAAAATTTAAGTGGAATTAGCAGAAATGGCAGAAAATTCAGAAAATAAATATCAACAAAAAAATTAATGAGAATGACAGAAAATTTATGTGGAATTAGGAAAAATGGCAGAAAATTCAGAAAATTCACCCCAAAATCACCTAAAATTTGCCCCAAAATTCGCAAAAATTCACCCAATATTCACCCCAAATTCACCCAAAATTAATGAAAATCACCAAAAATTCACAAAATTCCCCCAAAATCACCCAAAATTCTCCCCTAAATCACCCAAAATTTGCCTCAAAATTCATCCAAAATTCACAAAAATTTCCCAAAATTCACCCAAAATTTCCCCAAGTTCTTTAAAATCACCCCAAATTCACCCCAAAAAAATCGAGAATTTACAAAAATCCTCCAAAATTCCTCCAAATATCCCGAAATTCACCAAAATCACCCAAAATTTTTCAAAATCACGCAAAATTCACCACAAAAGAACCAGAGATTAACAAATTTGCCCCAAAATTCCCAAAAATCACCCAAAACCCACCAAAATTCACAAAAATCACCAAAAATTCCTCCAAAATTCACAAAAATCCCCCAATATTCACCCCAAATTCACCCAAAATTAATGAAAATCACCAAAACTTCACCCAAAAATTCACGAAATTCCTTCAAAATCACCCAAAATTTGCCTAAAAATTCATCCGAAATTCACAAAAATATCCCAAAATTCATCCAAAATTTCCCCAAGTTTTTTAAAATCACCCCAAATTCACCCCAAATTCAGCCAAAATTAATGAAAATCACCAAAAATTCATCCAAAAATTCACAAAATTCCCCCAAAATCACCCAAAATTTGTTTCAAAATTCTTGCAAAATTCACAAAAATTTCCCAAAATTCACCAAAAATTTCCCCAAGTTCTTCAAAATCACCACAAATTCACCCAAAAAAATCGCGAATTTACAAAAATCCCCCAAAATTCCCCGAAATATCCTGAAATTCACCAAAATCACCCAGAATTTTTCAAAATCACCCAAAATTCACCACAATAGAATCAAAGATTAACAAATTTGCCCCAAAATTCGCAAAAATCACCCAAAATCACCCAAAATTTGCTTCAAAATTCATGCAAAATTCACAAAAATTTCCCAAAATTCACCCAAAATTACCCCAAATTTTTCAAAATCACCCCAAATTCACCCCCAAAAAATCGAGAATTTACAAAAATCCCCCAAAATTCCCCCAAATATCCCGAAATTCACAAAAATCACCAAAATTTTTCAAAATCACCCAAAATTCACCACAAAAGAATCACAGATTAAAAAATTTGCCCCAAAATTCGCAAAAATCACCCAAAATCCCCCAAAATTCGCAAAAATCACCCAAAATTCACCCAAATTCACAAAACCCCCCAATATTCACCCCAAATTCACCCAAAGTTAATGAAAATCACCAAAAATTCACCAAAAATTTACAAAATTCCCCCAAAATCACCCAAAATTTGCCTCAAAATTCATGCAAACTTCACAAAAATTTCCCAAAATTCACCCAAAATTACCCCAAATTCTTCAAAATCACCCCAAATTCACTAAAAAAATCAAGAATTTACAAAAATCCTCCAAAATTCCCCGAAATATCCCAAAATTCACCAAAATTACCCAAAAATTTTCAAAATCACCCAAACTTCACCACAAAAGAATCAAAGTTTAACAAAATTACCCCAAATTTCACCCCAAAATCAACTAAAATTTGCACCAAAATTCACAAAAATCACCCAAAATTCCCCCAAATTCACAAAAATCACCCAATATTCACCCCAAATTCACCCAAAATTAATGAAAATCACCAAAAATTCACCCAAAAATTCACAAAATTCCCCCAAAATCACCCAAAATTTGCCTCAAAATTAGTGCAAAATTCACAAATATTTCCCAAAATTCACCCAAAATTTCCCCAAGTTCTTCAAAATAAACCAAAATTCACCCCAAAAAAATCGAGAATTTACAAAAATCCCTCAAAAAATTCGAAAATTTACAAAAATCCCCCCAAAAAGCCCCAAAATTCCCCCAAAATTGGCCCCGAATCCCCTTGGCCTCCCCTGGCCCCGCCCCTTTCACAAGCTCCGCCCCTTTTACAAGCCCCGCCCCTTTAACAAACCCCGCCCCTTCACAAGCCCCGCCCCTTTCCCCTGATTGGCGCAGCTGGAGCGGCTCTGCCGAAGCCACGCCCCTCCCGGCTCCAGGCCACGCCCCCTTTCCCGCCTGCAGCGTTACTTCGCGGAGGTTCGCCACGCCCACCCAGGTAGGCGGGGCTTCGAGGGGGTGGGGCTATCTATGCAAATGAGCCGCCTCATTTAATGCAAACCCCGCCCTCAGCTCCATTGCCACGCCCACTCCCGGCTGAGAAAACGCCGCTCACGTGAGTAGCCACGCCCATTATGCTCCCCGCCTAATTGATTCGCTAATTAATATGCTAATTAGCGTTATATTAATGCAGGAGAAAGCCCCGCCCCTGCCGCCGCAGGCTCCGCCCACTCCGCATGGCCCCACTAGGTGAGTTCCCCTCATTAGCATGGAGCGAACCATTCTCACAGCGGGGGGAGGCTTGGGCGGCCAATGAGCTTTTGAGGGTGGATTTTGGGAGCCAATCGCAGCGCGACGCGGTAGGGGAGCGCTATGACGCATGACGTCACCCAACTAACGTTTCAACAGCGAAATTTGGGGTTAAAAACGGGATTTTTGGGGTTCCCCCTCACACCGCCACGACGCAAAATGGCGGGCGCTAAATGGCGTTGATTGACAGCGCGTTTAACCAATCAGGCGCGTTGAGAACCAGGAAGCGCTGTCGGAACTACAAACGGCGCCATTTTTATTGCTGGCAAAAGGCGGGCGCAACGCGCTGATTGGTGGATAGCCCGGAAGCGCTTCGTCCGCCATTTTAGTTAAGGGCAGTGCGGGCACTGCGGGAGGGGCTTCACTTCCGCTTCCGCCCGGCGGCTCCGAAGGCGCCGCAGCTGCCACGATGCTGATCAAAGTCAAGGTTGTTTTTGGGGCAAAAAACGCGGATTTCGGGCAAATTTAGCCATTTTCCTCCTTTACTGAGGGGGGTGGGGAGGCGCTGGGGGGGATTTGGGGTGAAAAACGCGGATTTGGGGCGGGTTTGGGGCGGTGAGGGGGCGCGCGGTGCATTGTGGGATGATGGCGGCCCCACAGACGCTGACGGGGAAAGAGATCGAGATCGACATCGAACCCACGGACAAGGTGAGCGCCCAGTATGGACCAGTACGGACCAGTACGGACCAGTATGGACCAGTACGGGGCACTGGGGGGAGGGGAGGAGCGGATTAAGGGGAGGGGGGAAGCGCCAAGGGGCTCCCAGTTCATCCCAGTTTGATCCCAGTTCATCCCAGTATGGCTGAGTCTCCTCCGAGTTCATCCCAGTATGGCCCAGGGCCCTCCCAGTCCCCTCCCAGTATATCCCAGTATGGCCCAGGGCCCTCCCAGTCCATCCCAGTTCATCCCAGTTTGATCCCAGTCCATCCCAGTCCATCCCAGTATGGCCCAGGGCCCTCCCAGTCCATCCCAGTATGGCCCAGGGCCACCCCAGTCCATCCGAGTATGGTTCAGTCTCCTCCCAGTTCATCCCAGTATGGCCCAATCCCCTCCCAGTTCATCCCAGTTTGATCCCAGTCCATCCCAGTTCATCCCAGTATGGCTCAGGGCCCTCCCAGTTCATCCCAGTATGGCCCAGGGCCCTCCCAGTTCATCCCAGTCCATCCCAGTCCCCTCCCAGTTTATCCCAGTATGGCCCAGTCCCCTCCCAGTTCATCCCAGTATGGATCAGGGCCCTCCCAGTCCATCCCAGTTCACCCCAGTATGGTTCAGTCTCCTCCCAGTCCATCTCAGTGCCCTCCCAGTTCATCCCAGTATGGTTCAGGGCCCTCCCAGTTCATCCCAGTTTGATCCCAGACCATCCCAGTTCATCCCAGTATGGCCCAGGGTCCTCCCAGTTCATCCCAGTTTGATCCCAGTACATCCCAGTTCATCCCAGTATGGCCCAAGGCCCTCCCAGTCTATCCCAGTTCATCCCAGTATGGCCCAGGGCCCTCCCAGTACATCCCAGTTTGATCCCAGTCCATCCCAGTATGGTCCAGTCCCCTCCCAGTCCATCCCAGTATGGTCCAGGGCCCTCCCAGTTCATCCCAGTATGGCCCAGGGTCCTCCCAGTTCATCCCAGTTTGATCCCAGTACATCCCAGTTCATCCCAGTATGGCCCAAGGCCCTCCCAGTCTATCCCAGTTCATCCCAGTATGGCCCAGGGCCCTCCCAGTACATCCCAGTTTGATCCCAGTCCGTCCCAGTATGGCTCAGTCCCCTCCCAGTTCGTCCCAGTATGGCCCAGAGCCCTCCCAGTCCATCCCAGTCCATCCCAGTATGGCCCAATCCCCTCCCAGTTCATCCCAGTATGGCTCAGTCCCCTCCCAGTCCATCCCAGTTCATCCCAGTATGGCCCAGTCCCCTCCCAGTCCATCCCAGTCCATCCCAGTCCCTCCCAGTTCCTCCCAGTTCCCCCCCAGTCCCTCCCAGTTCATCCCAGTTTGATCCCAGACCATCCCAGTTCAAACCAGTATGGCCCAGTCTTCTCTCAGTTCATCCCAGTATGGATCAGGTCCATCCCAGTTCATCCCAGTATGGCCCAGTCCCATCCCAGTCCATCCCAGTTTGATCCCAGTGCCCTCCCAGTCCATCCCAGTATGGTTCAGGGCCCTCCCAGTCCATCCCAGTTCATCCCAGTCCATCCCAGTTCATCCCAGTATGGTCCAAGGCCCTCCCAGTCCATCCCAGTATGGCTCAGTCTCCTCCCAGTCCCTCCCAGTACATCCCAGTACATCCCAGTTTAATCCCAGTTCATCCCAGTATGGCCCAGGGCCCTCCCAGTCCATCCCAGTGCATCCCAGTATGGCCCAGTCCCCTCCCAGTTCATCCCAGTATGGTTCAGTCTCCTCCCAGTCCATCCCAGTTCATCCCAGTTTGATCCCAGTTCATCCCAGTATGGTTCATGCCCCTCCCAGTTCATCCCAGTATGGATCAGGGATTTCCCAGTTCATCCCAGTCCCACCCAGTCCATCCCAGTTTGCTCCCAGTATGGCCCAGTCCCCTCCCAGTCTATCCCAGTTCATCCCAGTATGGCCCAGGGCCCTCCCAGTTCATCCCAGTTCATCCCAGTCCATCCCAGTTCATCCCAGTATGGCCCAGGGCCCTCCCAGTTCATCCCAGTATGGCCCAGGGCCACCCCAGTCCATCCCAGTATGGCTCAGTCCCCTCCCAGTCCATCCCAGTATGGCTCAGTCCCCTCCCAGTTCCTCCCAGTCCATCCCAGTTCATCCCAGTATGGCCCAATCCCCTCCCAGTCCATCCCAGTCCCCTCCCAGTTTGTTCCCAGTTCCTCCCAGGGCCCTCCCAGTCCATCCCAGTATGGCTCAGGGATTTCCCAGTTCATCCCAGTATGGCCCAGGGCCCTCCCAGTTCATCCCAGTTTGGTTCAGGCCCCTCCCAGTTCATCCCAGTTCCTCCCAGTCCCCTCCCAGTCCATCCCAGTGCATCCCAGTCCATCCCAGTATGGCCCAGTGCCCTCCCAGTTCATCCCAGTCCATCCCAGTATGGTTCAGGGCCCTCCCAGTTCATCCCAGTTTGATCCCAGTCCATCCCAGTTTATCCCAGTATGGCCCAGAACCCTCCCAGTTCATCCCAGTATGGCCCAGGGCCCTCCCAGTTCATCCCAGTTTGATCCCAGTATGGCCCGGGGCCCTCCCAGTCCATCCCACTTCATCCCAGTATGGTTCAGGTCCCTCCCAGTTCATCCCAGTATGGCCCAGGGCCCTCCCAGTTCATCCCAGTATGGCTCAGTCTCCTCCCAGTACATCCCAGTGCATCCCAGTATGGTTCAGGTCCCTCCCAGTCCATCCCAGTATGGATCAGGGACCTCCCAGTTCATCCCAGTTTGATCGCAGTCCATCCCAGTTCATCCCAGTATGGATTAAGGCCCTCCCAGTCCATCCCAGTTCATCCCAGTATGGCCCAGGGCCCTCCCAGTCCATCCCACTATGGCCCAGGGCCCTCCCAGTTCATCCCAGTATGGCTCAGTCTCCTCCCAGTACATCCCAGTGCATCCCAGTATGGTTCAGGTCCCTCCCAGTCCATCCCAGTTCATCCCAGTATGGCCCAGGGCTCTCCCAGTGCCCTCCCAGTCCATCCCAGTTCCTCCCAGTGCCCTCCCAGTTCATCCCAGTATAGCCCAGGGCCCTCCCAGTCCATCCCAGTCCCTCCCAGTCCCTCCCAGTCCATCCCAGTTTATCCCAGTTCATCCCAGTCCCATTCCCCCCCCACAACCACAGACGAGTCCTCCAATCCGCCCCTCCCCTCCCCTTTCCCCTCCACTTCCGGCGGCCGCTCCGCTCCACTTCCGTTTCTCTATGCTCAAAATGGCGGCGCCCATATACTCCCTTCCAAACACCGATTCCCTCACGGCGCGGCGCTGCCGTAACTCGGCCCAGATGTGCCCCAAATGTGCCCAGATGTTCCCCAGATGTGCCCAGATGTTCTCCAGATGTTCCCCAGCTGTGCCCAGATGTGTTTTTTGGGCCGCAGGTGGAGCGGATCAAGGAGCGCGTGGAGGAGAAGGAAGGGATCCCCCCGCAGCAGCAGCGGCTGATCTACAGCGGCAAGCAGATGTGGGCGGGGCTTGGGGCGAAGGGGCGGGGCTTGAGGGGAAGTGGGCGGGGTTTGTGAATAACGGGGCTATGGAAAGGGGGCGGGGCTAAGGGGAAGGGGCGTGGTTTGCGGGGAGCGGGCGTGGCTAATTGGAATGGGCGTGGTTTGTGGATGAGTGGGCGTGGCTTGATGTGAAATAGGCGGGGTTTGTGGGGAAAGGGGCGGGGCTAACGGAAAGGGGGTGTGGCTTCAGGGAAAGGGGGAGGGGCTTGAGGGAAATGGGGAAAAGAGTTGAGGGGAAATTTGGGTAAAATGGGAAATTTTGGTTAAATTGGGAAAATTTGGGGGAAATTTGGGTTAAATTGGGGAAATTTGGGGGAAGTTTGGGTTAAAATGGGGGAATTTGGGTTAAAATTGGGGAAATTTGGGTTAAAACCGGGATATTTGGGTTAAAATTTGGAAATTTGGGTAAAAATTGTGGAAATTTGAGGGAAATTTGGGTTAAAAACTGGGAAATTTCGATTAAAATGAAGAAATTTGGGGGAAGTTTGGGTTAAATTGGGGAAATTTGGGTTAAAATTGGGGAAATTTGGGTTAAAATGAAGAAATTTGGGTTAAAAATGGGGAAATTTGGGTTAAAAATGAGAAATTTGGGGGAAATTCGGATTAAATTTGGGTTAAATTGGGGAAATTTGGGTTAAAATTGGGGAAATTTGAGAGAAATTTGGGTTAAAAATTGGGAAATTTCGGTAAAATGGGGAAATTTAGGTTAAAATTGGGGAAATTTGGGGGAAATTTGGATTAAATTTGGGTAAAATTGGGAAATTTGGGTTAAAATTTGGGAAACTTCAGTTAAAATGGGGAAATTTGGGTTAAAATGGGGAAATTTGAGGGAAATTTGGATTAAGTTTGGGTTAAAATTGGGAAATTTGGGTTAAAATTGGGAAATTTCAGAAAAATGGGGTAATTTGGGTTAAAATGGGGAAATTTGGGGGAAATTTGGGCTAAAAAAATGGAGAAATTTAAGGGAAATTTGGATTAAGTTTGGGTTAAAATGGGGAAATTTGGGTTAAAATTGGGGAAATTTGAGGGATATTTGGGTTAAAAATTGGGAAACTTCAGAAAAATGGGGAGATTTGGGTTAAAATTTGGGAAATTTGGGTTAAAATTGTGGAAATTTGGGGGAAATATGGGTAAATTGGGGTAAAATTGGGAAATTTTGGTTAAATTGGGCAAATTTGGGGGAAGTTTGGGTTAAAATGGGGAAATTTGGGTCAAAAATGGAAAAATTTGGGTTAAAATTGGGGAAATTTGAGGGAAATTCGGGTTAAAAATTGTGAAATTTCGGTTAAAATGGGGAAATTTGGGGGAAATTTGGATTAAATTTGGGTAAAAATTGGGAAATTTGAGGGAAATTTTGGTTAAATTGGGGTTTAATTGGGAAATTTGGGTTAAAATTGGGGAAAATCGGGTTAAAATGGGGAAATTTCAGGGGAAAAGGGGAAGTTTGGGTGAAAAGGTGGAAACTTCTGTAAAAATGGGGAAATTTGGGTTAAAATGGGGAAATTTGGGGGAATTTGGATGAAATTTGGGATAAAATTGGGAAATTTTGGTAAAATGGGGAAATTTGAGTTAAAATGGCGAAATTTGGGAGAAATTTGGATTAAATTTGGGTTAAAATGGGGAAATTTGGGTTAAAATGGGGAAATTTGGGTTAAAATGGGGAAATTTGGGGGAAATTTGGGTTAAATTGGGGTAAAATTGGGAAATTTGGGTTAACATTCGGGAAATTTGAGGGAAATTTGGGGTAAAATGGGGAAATTTGGGTTAAAAATAGGGAAACTTTGGTAAATTGGGGAAATTTGGGGTAAATTTGGATTAAATTTGGGTAAATAGGGGAAATATGGGGGAAATTTGGGTTAAATTGGGGTAAAATTGGGAAATTTGGGTAAAAATTGCGGAAATTTGGGGGAAATTTGGGTAAATTAGGGTAAAATTGGGAAATTTCGGTTAAAATGCGGAAATTTGGGGGGAAAATTGGGAAAGTTGGGTGAAAAGGTGAAAACTTCTATAAAAATGGGGAAATTTGGGTTTAAATGGGGAAATTTGGGGGAAATTTGGATGAAATTTGGGTTAAAATTGGGAGGTTTGGGTTAAATTGGGGAAATTTGGGGGAAATTTCGGGTTAAAAATTGGGAAACTTCGGTACAAATAGGGAAATTTGTGTTAAAAATGGAGAATTTGGGGGAAAATTGGATTAAATTTGGGTTAAAATAGGGGAATTTGGGTTAAAATTGGGGAAATTTGAGGGAAATTTGTGTTAAATTGGGGTAAAATTGGGAAATTTTGGTTAAAATTGGGAAATTTGAGTTAAAAATTGGGACACTTTAGAAAAATGGGGTAATTTGGGTTAAAATTGGGGAAATTTGGGGGAAATTTGGATTAAATTTGGGTTAAAATCGGGAAATTTGGGCAAAATTGGGGAAATTTGGGGGAAACTTGGGTAAATTGGGGTAAAATTGGGAAATTTGGGTTAAAATTGGGGAAATTTGGGTGAAAATGGGGAAATTTCAGGGAAAAATGGGGAAGTTTGGGAGAAAAGGTGGAGACTTCTGTAAAAATGGGGAAATTTGGGTCAAAATGGGGAAATTTGGGTTAAAATTGGGAAAATTGGGTTAAAATTGTGGAAATTTGAGGAAAATTTGTGTTAAAAATTGGGAAACTTCGTTTAAAATGGGGAAATTTGGTTTAAAATGGGGAAATTTGGATTAAATTTGGGTGAAATCGGGAAATTTGGGCTAAAATTGTGGAAATTTGGGTTAAAACGGGGAAATTTTAGGGGACAATGAGGAAATTTGGGAGAAAAAGTGGAAACTTCTGTAAAAATGGGGAAATTTAGGTTAAAAATGGAGAAATTTTGGGGAAATTTGGACTAAATTCGGGTTAAAATGGGGAAATTTGGGTTAAAAATTGGGAAACTTCAGAAAAATGGGGTAATTTTGGTTAAAATTGGGGAAATTGGGGGGAAATTTCGGGTTAAAAATTGGGAAACTTCGGTTAAAATAGGGAAATTTGGGTTAAAAATGGAGAAATTTGGGGGTAATTTGGATTAAATTTGGGTTAAAATTGGGAAATTTGGGTTAAAATTGGGGAAATTTGAGGGAAATTTGGGTTAAAAATTGGGAAACTTCGGTTAAAATGGGGAAATTTGGGTTAAAATGGGGAAATTTGGGTTAAAATTGGGAAATTTGGGTTAAAATGGGGAAATTTGGGGGAAATTGGGTTAAAAGGGGGAAATTTGGGTCAGAAATGGGGAATTTTGGGGAAAATTGGGGAAATTTCAGCATAAATTTCGGTTAAAATGGGGAAATTTGGGTTAAAATCGGGGAATTTGCATTACAAATGAGAAAATTTGGGGGAAATTTGGGTTAAAATTTGGAAATTTGTGCTAAGATGGCTGAATTTGCATTAAAAATGGGGAAATTTGGGTTAACATGGGGAAAATTTGGGTTAAAAATAAGGAAATTTGGGTTTTTAATGGGAAAATTTGCATTAAAATTGAAAAATTTGGGCTGAATTTGGATTAAAATTGGGAAATTTGGGGGAAATTCGGGTTAAAAATGGGGAAATTTTGGTTAAAAAATGGGGAAATTTGGGGTAATGGGAAATTTGGGTTAAAATGTGGAAATTTGTGGGAAATTTGGGTTAAAATGGGAAAATTTAGAGGGAAATATGGATTAAATTTGGGTAAAATTGGGAAATTGGGTTAAAATGGGGAAATTTGGGGGAAATTTGGGGTTGTGTTTAAAGGAGTAATTTGGGTTAAATTTGGGGTAAATTTGGGTTAAAATGTGGAAAATTTGGGTGCAAAAATCCTGATTTTTTTCATTAAAATTCGGGCCAGAAATGAACAAATCTCGATTTAAAATTGGGGTGAAAATGAGGCAAAAATTGACAAATTTGGTACAAAATTTTGCTTAAAATGGGATTTATGAAAGTGGGCGTGGCCATGGGTGGGCGGAGCCAAAGTGGGTGTGGCCAACACTATGGGCGTGGCTTTAGACGCCATTTTGGACTGGGTGTGGTGTATTGTGGGCGTGGCATCGGTATGCTAATTATGGGCGTGGCTTTGCACCGGAAGTGGGCGTGGCCTCAGGGTGATAAATATAAAATGGGTTTGCAAATGAAGTGGGCGTGGCCTAAGTGGGCGTGGCCTCTTTTTTGGGCTCCTCCCCCAGGAACGATGAGAAGACGGCGGCCGACTACAAAATCCAGGGGGGCTCCGTCCTCCATCTTGTCCTGGCGCTGCGAGGGGGCGTGGCCAGGCCCTGAGGGGGCGTGGCCAACAACAGGCCACACCCCCTCCCCCCTTAAACCACGCCCACCCCCCTTTCCCCCACCCCTGAGCTCATTTCCTATTGGTGGATCCGTTATTATTTAATAAAGTTCGTCTGATGACGTCATCGCCGCGTTGGTGACGTCATAACCGTCTCGGTGATGTCATTTCCTGCATCGAAAATCGCGGTGGGCCCCAGTTTGCGGCGGCGTTGCCCTTTTAAGGCGGCGTTGCCCCTTTAAGAGCCGTGTGGGCCCCACTTTGTGGCGGCGTTGCCCTTTTAAGGCGGCGTTGCCCCTTTAAGTGCGTTGCCCCTTTAAGAGCCGTGCGGGCCCCACTTTGTGGCCGCGTTGCCCTTTTAAGGCGGCGTTGCCCCTTTAAGAGCCGTGTGGGACCCACAGGCGGCGTTGCCCTTTTAAGACCGTTCCAAAAATCCCCATTTTTGCCCCAAAATTCTCCATTTTTCGCCCCAAAATGTCGATTTTTAACCCCAAACCACCCAATCCCACCCTAAAAATTAAAATTTGATCATTTTACCTCTCAAATCCTCATTTTGTGCCTCAAAAATCCGACGTTTTGCTGCCCAAATCTCAATTTCAGTGCATAGAAAACCCAAAATCGCCGTTTTTACACCCAAAATCAACATGACGATTCCAAAATCTTGTTTCATCCCCAAAACTAAACAAAAAAAATATTTTCAACTCCAAAATTCTGATTTTTCACCCCAAATCCCCCATTTTTAACCCTTTATTTTCCCTCAATACCCAAACCTAAACACTGAAGCCCCAAAATTCCCATTTTTCACCCCAAACTCACCATTTTCCCCTCAAAAAAAACCCTTTCACCCTCCATCCTCTTACTTCTCACCCCAAATTATTCATTTTTATCCCCAAACCGACTTATTTTTACCAAAAATCGCCGATTTTACCCCAAAATCGCTTTTTTTAAGCATCGCCCCTTTAAGAGCGGTCCCCACCCTCCATTACCGCTTTAAGAACCATCAAGAAGTCCTCCAAGAGGACCAGAGCGGCTTTAACCACGCCCACTTCCGGCGGCGCTCTACCCCACTTCCGCTCTTTTTCCGTAACCAAAATGGCCGCTTCCGTTTCGCCTAAAATGGCGGCGGCCACATTGGAGCGGCTCCTTGAGGAGCTCCTGGAGCCCGACAGCGCAAAAATCCGTCAGGTTTGGGAAATTTTGGGCAAATTTGGGCGGATTTGGGGGAATTTGGGGATTTTGGGGGGTTTAGGTGAGGTTGGGGGTGTTTTTTAGGCCTCGGAGCGGCTGCGGGAGGCGCTGATGGAGCCGGACGGGCCCGAGGCGCTCGCGGAGGTGCTGAGGGGAGCGGAGAGGCCGCAGGTAACGGGATTTTGGGGGAATTTGGGGAATTTTGGGGAAAATTTGGGATTTTAGGGGAATTTTGAGGGAAATTGGGGGATTTTGGGGGAAATTTGGGGGGAATTTTGGGGATTTTGGGGGAATTTTGGGGGAAATTTAGGGATTATGGGGGGGGCCTGAGGGGAGTTTGGGCGGCCTTGAGGGGATTTTGGGGGGATTTTTGGGAATTTTTGGGGGATTTTGGGGATTTTGGGGGAAATTTTGGGATTTTAGAAGTTTTGGGGGGATTTTGGCGGAAGTTTTGGGGGGATCTGAGGGGATTTTGGGGGGGCCTGAGGAGATTTTAAGGGGGTTCTTGAGGAGATTTTGGGGGAAATTTTGGGATTTTTGGAGATTTTGGGGGGAATTTTGGGGATTTTAGGGGATTTTGGGGGGACCTGATGGGATTTTGGGGGAAATTTTGAGGATTTTTGGGGATTTTAGGGGATTTTGGGGGATCTTGAGGGGATTTTAGGGGGACGTGAGGGGACTTTGGGGGGTCTTGAGGGGGTTTTGGGGGAATTTTGGGGAATTTTGGGGGAAATTTTTGGATTTTAGGGGGAAATTTGGGAAATTTTGGGGATTTTGGGGGAAATTTTGGGATTTTAGAAGTTTTGGGGGAAATTTTGAGGATTTTGGGGGAAATTTTGGGAATTTGGGGGATTTTGGGGGGACCTGAGGCGATTTTAGGGGGTCTTGAGGGGATTTTGGGGGGAATTTTGGGGATTTTTGGGGGAATTTTGGGGGAAATTTTGGGGATTTTGGGGAAAATTTGGGGGTTTTGGGGGATTTTTGGGGGGGAATTTTGGGGATTTGGGGGGAATTTTGGAAAGAATTTTGAGATTTTAGGGGATTTTGGGGGGACCTGAGGGGACTTTGGGGGGAATTTTGGGGGTTTTGGGGGATTTTGGGGGGAATTTGGGGGAGTTTTGGGGGGATTTTGGGGTGAATTTTGGAAGTTTTCAGGGGATTTGGGGGGAAATTTGGGGATTTTGGCGGGAATTTTGGAAGTTTTGGGGGATTTTGTGGAAATTTGGGGAAATTTTGGGGATTTTGGGAAAATTTGGGGGGTTCTGAGGGGATTTTTGGGGGAGTTTGGGGATTTTGGGGAGATTTTGGCGGGAATTTTTGGATTTTGGGTGGAATTTGGAGATTTTTGGTGGAATTTTGGGAATTTTGTGGAATTTTGGGGATTTTAGGGGGATGTTGTGGGAAATTTGGGGTTTTGGGGGAATTTGGGGCATTTTGGGGTGAATATGGGAAGTTTTCGGGAGGATTTGGGGTGAATTTGGGGATTTTAGGGGGAAGTTTAGAAATTTTTGGAAAATTTTGTGGAAATTTGGGGGAATTTTGGCGATTTGGGGAATTATGGGGGGTCTTGAGGGGATTTTGGGGAGAATTTTGGGGATTTTTGGGGAATTTTGGGGATTTTGGGGGGAATTTGGAGGATTTGGGGGGAATTTTGAGGATTGTTGGGGAATTTTGGGGGAAATTTTGGGATTTTAGGGGATTTTGGGGGAAGTTTTGGGGATTTTGGGGGAAATTTTGGGCGGATTTTGGGGATTTGGGGAAATTTTGGGGATTTTGGGGGAATTTTGGGATTTTAGAAGTTTTGGGGGAAATTTTGAGGATTTTTGGAGAATTTGGGGGGAAATTTTGGGATTTGGGGGATTTTTGGGGGAAATTTTGGGGATTTTGGCGGGAATTTTGGGATTTTAGGGGATTTTGGGGAGAATTTTGGGGGAATTTTGGGGGAATTTTGGGATTTTAGGGGAAATTTTGGGGATTTTAGGGGATTTTGGGGGAAATTTTGGGAATTTAGGGGATTTTTGGGGGATTTGGGGGGATTTTGGGGAATTTTGGGGGAAATTTTGGGGATTTTGAGGAAAATTTGGGGGGTTTGGGGGATTTTTGGGGGGGAATTTTGGGGATTTGGGGGGAATTTTGGAAAGAATTTTGAGATTTTAGGGGATTTTGGGGGGACCTGAGGGGACTTTGGGGGGAATTTTGGGGGTTTTGGGGGATTTTAGGGGGAATTTGGGGAAGTTTTGGGGGGATTTGGGGGAAAATTGGGGATTTTAGGGGGAAGTTTAGGAAGTTTTGGGGAATTTTGTGGAAATTTGGGGGAATTTTGGGAAATTTTGGGGATTTTGGGGAAATTTGGGGATTTTTGTGGATTTTGGGGGATTTTTGGAGAAATTTTGGGGATTTTGGGGGTCTTGAGGGGATTTTGGGGGAATTTGGGGGATTTTTGGGGGAATTTTGGGATTTTAGGGGAATTTTGGGGGAATTTTGGGAAATTTTGGGGATTTTGGGGGAATTTGGGGGGGATTTTGGCGGAAGTTTTGGGGGCATCAGAGGGGATTTTAGGGGGACGTGAGGGGATTTGGGGGGGATTTTGGGGAAATTTGGGGATTTTGGGGGGAATTTGGAGGATTTGGGGGGAATTTTGAGGATTGTTGGGGAATTTTGGGGAAAATTTTGGGATTTTAGGGGATTTTGGGGGGTCTTGAGGGAATTTCGTGGGAATTTTGGGGGAAATTTGTGGGAATTTTGGGGGAATTTTGGGGGAATTTGGGGAAATTTTGGGATTTTGGGGGAATTTTGGGGAAAATTTTGAGACTTTAGGGGATTTTGGGGGGAATTTGAGGGATTTGGGGGGAATTTTTGGGGAAATTTTGGGTGAAATTTTGGGATTTTAGGAGGACCTGAGGGAATTTTGGGGAAAATTTTGGGATTTTAGGGAATTTTGGGGGAAATTTTTGGATTTTGAGGGAAATTTGGGATTTTGGGGGAATTTTGAGGGAAATTTTGGGATTTTTGGGATTTGAGGGGAAATTTTGGGGATTTTTGGGGATTTTGGGGGGAATTTGGGGGAATTTTTGGGATTTTAGGGGATTTTGGGGATTTTTGGGGGTTTTGGGGGAATTTTGGGATTTTGGGGGATTTTGGGGGGAATTTGGGGGATTTTAGGGGAATTTGGGGGATTTTGGGAGGAAATTTTGGAGATTTTGGGGGAAATTTTGGGGACTTTGAAGGGAATTTTGGGCACATTTTAGGGGAAATTTTGGGCGGATTTTGGGGGGAATTTGGGGGGAAATTTTGGGATTTTAGGGGAAATTTGGGGGAAATTTTTGGGAATTTTGAGGATTTTGGGGAATTTTGGAAGGAATTTTGGGATTTTAGGGGATTTTGGGGGGACCTGAGCGGATTTTAGGGGGTCTTGGGGGGATTTTGGTGGAATTTTGGGAATTTTGGGGGAAATTTTGGGATGTTGGGGGAAATTTTGAGGATTTTTGATGAATTTTGGGGGAAATTTTGGGGATTTTGGGGGAAATTTTGGGGGAACTTTGGGGATTTTGGAGGAAATTTTGGGGATTTTTAGGGGAATTTAGGGGATTTTGGGGAAAATTTAGGGATTTTGGGGAATTTTGGGGGAAATTTTGGGGGAATTTTGGGGAATTTGGGGGATTTTGGGGGGACCTGAGGGGATTTTGGAGGAATTTTGGGGGAAATTTTAGGGATTTTTGGGGGAATTTTGGGGGAAATTTTGGGATTTTGGGGGACCTGAAGGGATTTTGGGGGGAATTTTGGGGATTTCGGGAAAATTTGGGGGTTTTGAGGGGATTTTGGGGGGAGTTTGGGGATTTTTGGGAGATTTTGGCGGGAATTTTTGGATTTTGGGAAATTTTGGGGGAAATTTTGGGATTTTGGGGGAATTTTGGGGATTTTTGGGGAATTTGGGGGAAATTTTGGGATTTTAGGGGATTTTGGGGGAATTTTGGGGGAAATTTTGAGGATTTTTGGGGAATTTTGGGGGAAATTTTGGGATTTTTGGGGGAATTTTGGGGATTTTTGGGGGAATTTTGAGGGAATTTTGGGAAATTTTGTGGAAATTTGGGGGAATTTTTGGGATTTAGGGGGGATTTGGGGAAATTTTGGAGGAAATTTTGGGGATTTCGGGAAAATTTGGGGGGTTCTGACGGGATTTTGGGGGGAGTTTGGGGATTTTGGGGAGATTTTAGCGGGAATTTTTCGATTTTGGGGGATTTAGGGATTTTGGGGGGAATTTTGGGGAATTTTGGGGGGATTTTGGGGATTTTAGGGGGGATTTTGGGGGAAATTTGGATTTTGGGGGGAATTTAGGGATTTTGGGTGGATTTTGGGGAAATTTGGGGGATTTTGTGGAAATTTGGGGGAATTTTTGGGATTTAGGGGGGATTTGGGGAAATTTTGGGGGAAATTTTGGGGATTTCGGGAAAATTTGGGGGGTTCTGAGGGGATTTTGGGGGGAATTTTGTGAGGAATTTTGATGTAAAATGAGGGGATTTTGGGGTGAATTTGGGATATTTGGGGTAAATTTGGGTAATTTGGGGTTCCCGGGTAAATTTTGGGGTGAATTTTGGGGATTTTGGGGCGAATTTTGGGGATTTTGGGGCTCCCAGATCCGACATTTGGCCGCGGTTCTGCTCCGGAGGCGCCTCCGGAAATTCCCCTCAGAGTTGATTGACAGGTGGGCGTGGCCTGAGCCCCATTGGGATCAATGGGAGGGGGCGTGGCTTGTGGGAAGTGGGCGTGGTTTAACCCCAATTGAAATCAATGGGAGGGGGCGTGGCTTGTTAAAAGTAGGCGTGGTTTAACCCCAATTGAAATCAATGGGAGGGGGCGTGGCTTGTTGAAAGTGGGCGGGGTTTAAACACAATTGAAATCAATAGGAGGGGGCGTGGCTTGTGGGAAAGTGGGCGTGGCTTAACCCCAATTGAAATCAATGGGAGGGGGCGTGGCTTGTCCATAATTTGAATTAATGAGGACTGATTGAATATGCTAATGAGGGGGCGTGGCTAACTTTGGCCCCGCCCCTTCCCAGGCTCCCTCACGTCTTGGTCGAAGCTTTGGAACGGGAGACGGAGTGAGTGAAAATTTCCCCAAAATTCCCAAAATTTCCCCAAATTTTCCCCAAAATTTGGGACATTTTTGGAAAAAATGTGGATGGGGGGAGGGGCCGGGAAAAAATGGGGGAAAAATTTGGGATTTTGGGAAAAAATTTGGGGATTTTGGGCGGAAAAATGGGAATTTTGGGCTGAAAATTGGGGATTTTTTGGGGAAAATTTGGGATTTTTGGGAAAAAATTGGGGGGTTTTATGGGGAAATTTGGGATTTTGGGTTGAAAATTGGGAATTTGTGGAAAATTGGGGATTTTTTGGGGAGAATATTGGGAATTTTGGGAATATTTGGGGTTTTGGAAGGGAAAAATCGGAATTTTGGGGGAAAATGTGGGAATTTCGGTGAAAATTTGGATTTTTTTGATTGAGAAATGGAAGTTTGGTGAAAAATTTTGTAAAAATTGGGATTTGGGGGTGAAAATTGGAGTTTTTTGATTAAAAATCGGAATTTTGGGTAAAAAATGGGGAATTTAGGGGAAAACGGGAATAATCTGTGTGAAAATTGGGATTTTTGGGGAAAAAAAAGAGAATTTGGAATTAAAATTGGATTTTTTTGGGCAAAAATTGGGAATTCTGGGTTAAACCCAAAAATTGGGGGAAAAATTGGAATTTTGGGCTGAAAATGAGGGGAATAAATCCCAAAAAAATCAGATTTTTTTCACTAAAAAATGCGAATTTTGGTGAAAAAATGGGATTTTTTTGGCTAAAAAATCAGATTTTTTTGCTGAAAAGTTGGGATTTTATCCTAAAATTCGTGGATTTTGGGTAATTTTGGGAATTTTGGAATTTTTTCTCCCCAGCTCGTCCAGCAGAGGGTCCCTGGCCCAACTCGGGGCGCGGCTGCTGCTCCTGGGGGGCCTCAAATTTTGGGAACCGGTGGAAAAATGGATCCAGGAGGCGGCAAAAGACCCCCAAAAAATAGAGGTGAGAACCCCAAAAATTTCGGAAAAAACCCAAAAATAATTTGGAAAAATTTTCACAAAAATCCTTTTTAAAAATCTCCCAAAATGTTAAAAATCCCCCCAAAAAAAACTAAAAAAATAACCAAAAATTCAATATAATTCTCCTAAAAATTCTCCCAAAATTCACCACAAATGCCAACAAAAAGTCCCCCAAAATTTTTTTAAAATCCCCAAAAAATCCCCAAAAATTCAACGTAATTCCCTTTAAAATTCCATAAAATTCCTAAAAAATTCTCCTAAAATCCCCCAAATCTCCCAAAAATATTTTTAAAAATCCCTCAAAAATTCCTAAAATATCCACAAAAATGTCCCCAAAAAAATCCCAAAAAAATCCTTCAAAATTCTAAAACAATTCCCCCCAAATTCCCAAACAATTCCCAAAAAATTCCACCAAAAATCAAAAAAAAAAATTGGCAAAAAATCCCAAAAAAATCCCCAAAAATCCCCCCAAAATCCCCAAAAAACCCTTAAAAAATCCCCCAATAAATTTTCAAAAGAAACTAAAAAAATCCCCAAAAATTCCACAAAATTCTCAAAAAATTTCCCCTAAAATTCCCCAAAAGTTCCCCTAAAAATCCCCCAAAACTTCCTAAAAAATCATTAAAAAATCCTCAAAAATAACTCAGAAATTCCCAAAAAATTCTCCAAAAAATCCCCAAAAATAGAAAAACAAATTTGTAAAATTTTCCAAAACCTCTCTGAAAAATCCTCAAAAAATTCTCCCAAAAATTTCCCTTAAAATCCTTAAAAATCCCACCAAAAAATACTAAAAAATTTTTTAAAATTCATACAAAATCCCTAAAAATCCCCTCAAAAATTCCTCAAAAATCTTCTAAAAATCCCCCGAATTTTCTCAAAAAATTAAAAAAAAATCCCAAAATGTAATCAGAAATCCCTACAAAAATCCCAAAAAAATCCCTAATAATCCCCTAAAATTTCCCTTAAAATTAATTAAAAATCCCCAAAAACACCCTAAAAACCCCAAAAAATTTCTCAAAAAATCTGAAAAAAATTCCCAAAACTTTCTAAAAAGAAAAAAAAAAAATCCCAAAATTCCCAAACATAAATCCAAAAATCCCTAAAAATTCTTTAAAAATCCCCAAAAAATCCCTAAAAACACCCTAAAAATCCCCGAAAATTTCTTAAAAATTCCGAAAAAAATTCCCAAAAATTCCTCTAAAAATCCTTAAAAAATTCCCAAAAATTCCTCTAAAAAGTCCTTAAAAAATCCCCAAAAATTCCCCTAAAAATTCATTAAAAATCCCCAAAAATGCCCTAAAAACCCCAAAAATTCCCAAAAAAATCCTTTCAAAACTCCCAAAAATCTTTCCTTAAAAATTCTTCAAAAATCCCCAAAAATCCTTCTAAAAAATCCCCAAAAATCCCCAAAAACACCCTAAAAACCCCAAAGATTTCTGAAAAAAATCTGAAAAAAATTCCCAAAATTTCTCAAAAAATCCTTAAAAAATTCCCAAAAATTTCTTAAAAAAATCCTTCAAAATTCCCAGAATTTCTTTTAAAAAATCCCAAAAAAATCTGAAAATTTCCAAAAATTTCTTTAAAAAATCCTAAAAAATCCCCAAAAAATCCTTCTAAAAATTCTAAAAAAATCCTAAAAATCTGATAAAAATCCCCAAAAACGCCTTAAAAACCCCAAAAGAATTTCTTAAAAAATCCGAAAAAAATTCCCAAAAATCCCTCTAAAAATCCTTTAAAAATCCCCAAAAATCCTTCTAAAAAATCTTTTAAAATCCTAAAAAATTCCCCAAAATTTTCAAACATTAATCTAAAAATCCCCAAAAATCCTAAAAAAAACCAACAAAATTCACTAAAAACTTTCTCAAAACTTTCAAAAATTCCATCCAAAAAATCCCAAATTCCTTTTAAGAAATCCAAAAAATTTCTCAAAAAATCCGAAAAAAATTCCCAAAAATTCTCCAAAAAATCTTCTAAATATCCTAAAACAATCACCATAAATTCACTAAAATTCCCAAACATTAATCTAAAAATCCCCAAAAATCCCCAAAAATCCCTAATAATTCCCAAAAAATTCCGCAAAAATCACCCAAAAATTCTAAAAAAATCCCCAAAAATTCCCCTAAAAATTCTAAAAAAATCCCCCAAAACGCCCTAAAAATCCCAAAAATTTCTTAAAAACTCTGAAAAAAATTCCCAAAAATTTCTCAAAAAAATCCTTTAAAAAATCCCCAAAATCCTTCTAAAAATCCTAAAAAATCCCCAAAATTTCCTCTAAAAAATCCTAAAAAAGTCCCCCAAAATTCCCTAAAAATTCATTAAAAATCCCCAAAAACACCCTAAAAACACCAAAATATTCTTAAAAAATCTGTAAAATTTCCCAAAAATTCCTTCTAAAAAATCCTTTCAAAATTCCCAAAAATCTTTCCTTAAAAATCCTTTAAAAATTCCCAAAAATCCTTCTAAAAAACCCTTTAAAAATCCCCCAAAACCCCCTAAAAACCCCCAAAAAATTCTTAAAAAATCCTAAAAAATTCCCTAAAATCCTTCTAAAAAATCCTAAAAAATTCCCAAAAAATCCCCAAAAATCCCCCAAAATTGCCGAATATTAATCTAAAAATCCCAAAAAATCCCAAAAAATCCCTAATAACTCCCAAAAAATTCCCCAATAATCACCCTAAAAATTCATTAAAAATTGCCAAAAACGCCCTAAAAACCAAAAAAATTTCTTAAAAAATGTGAAAAAAATTTCTCAAAACAATCTGAAAAAAATCAGAAAAATTTTCCAAAAAATACTATAAAAGTCCCAAAAAATTCCCAAAAATTCCCAAACATTAATCTAAAAATCTCTCATAATTCCCGAAATATCCTAAAAAAAGCCATCAATATTCATCAAAAAATGTCTCAAAACTTTCCAAAAATTCCACCCAAAAAATCCCAAATTCCTTTCAAAAAAATCCCAAAAAATCCCAAAAAATTCCCCTAAAAATTCTAAAAAAGTCCCCAAAACTGCCTTAAAAATCCCCCCAAAAAATCTTAAAAAATCCGAAAAAAATCCCCAAAAATTTATCAAAAAATCCTTTAAAAACTCCCAAAAAATCCTCTAAAAATTCCTTTAAAAATTCCCAAAAATCCTTCTAAAAAATCATTAAAAACCCCCAAAAATCCTTCTCAAAAATCCCCAAAAAATTCCCAAAAATCCCTCTAAAAAATCCTTTAAAAATCCCCAAAAATCCTTCTAAAAAATCCTTTAAAAATTCCCAAAAATCCTTCTAAAAATCCTTTAAAAATTCCCAAAAACGCCCTAAAAACCCTAAAAATTCCCAAAAAAATCCTTTAAAAACTCCCAAAAATCTTTTAAAAAATCCTTTAAAAATCCCCAAAAATTCCTCTAAAACTCCTTAAAAAATTCCCAAAAATCCTTCTAAAAATTCATTAAAAATCCCCAAAAACGCCCTAAAAACCCCAAAAAAATTCCTCCAAAAATCCGAAAAAAATTCCCAAAAATTTCTTCTAAAAAATCTTTTAAAAATTCCCAAAAATTCCCCTAAAAATTCATTAAAAATCCCCAAAAACGCCCTAAAAACCCCCAAAAATTCCCAAAAAAATCCTTTAAAAATTCCCAAAAATCCTCCAAAAAATCTTTAAAAATTCCCAAAATTTCATCTAAAAAATCCTTTAAAAATTCCCAAAAATCCTTCTAAAAAATCCTTTAAAAAATCCTAAAAAATTCCCCATATTCCCAAACATTAATCTAAAAATCTCGAAAAATCCTAAAAAAAAGTCAAAATTCAACTAAAAATTTCTAAAAAATCTCCAAAAATTCCACCCCAAATTTACAAAATTCCTTGTAAAAGATCCCAAAAAATCCCAAATAATTCCCAAAAAATCACCCAAAAACTCCTATAAAAATTCTAAAAAAATTTCCATAAGCGCCCTAAAAACCCCCAAAAAATTCTTAAAAAATCTGAAAAAAATTCCCAAAAATTTTTTAAAAAATCCGAAAAAAACTCCCAAAAATCCTTCTAAAAATCCTCTAAAAATCCCCAAAAATCTTTCTAAAATTCTTCTAAAAATCCCAAAAAATCCCCCCAAACTCCCAAACATTAATCTAAAAATCCCCAAAAATCTCCAAAAATCCTAAAAAAACCTGTCAAAATTCCCAAAAAAATTTCTTAAAAAATCCGAAAAAATTCCCAAAAATTCCTTCTAAAAAATCCTTCAAAAATCCCCAAAAATCCCCAAAAAATCCCCAAAAACCCCCAAAATCCTCTAAAAAAACCCCGAAAATTCAGATTTTTTCCCCTCCATCCCGCAGGGGGCGCTGCGGCTGGTGGGCGTGGCCGTGGGCGTGGCCGGCCCCGCCCTTTCCGGCCTTGGCCCCGCCCACCTGCGGCTGTGCCGGGGGGGGCTCCGGGCCCGGGGGGACCCCAAAACTCTGGGGGCGGCCCTGGGGACCCTCGGGGCGCTGCTGGGGACCCTCCGACCGGTGAGTGAATTTGGGGTGAAATTCCGGGGTTTTGGGAAAAAATTCGGAAATTTTAGGGCAAAATTTGGCGATTTTAGGCCAAAATTTGGGGATTTTAGGGTGAAATTTGGGGGTTTTACGTCGAATTTTGGGGTTTTTCGTGATGAAACTTGGGGTTTTCAGGCTCGAATTTGGGAATTTTGGGATGAAATTTGAGAACTTTGGGGCTAAATTTGAATTTGGGGTGAAATTTGGGGATTTAAGGTAAAAATTTGGGATTTTTGGGATGAAATGTGGGATTTTTTTCGGGTGAAATTTGGGGGTTTGGGGAGAAAATTTGGGGGCTTTTGAGGTAAAATTTGGGGGTTTGGGGTAAAATTTTGGGAATTTGGGGTGAAATTTGGGGATTTTGGGAAAAAATTCAGAAAATTTTAGGCCAAAATTTGGCGGTTTCAGGGCAAAATTTGGGGATTTTAGGGCGAAATTTGGGAGTTTTATGTTGAATTTTGGGGCTAAATTGGGGAATTTGGGGCGAAATTTGGGGAATTTGGGGTGAAATTTGGGGGTTTTAGAGCAAAATTTGGGGGTTTTATGTTGAATTTTGGGGGTTGTATTTTGAATTTTGGGGTATTTCATGATGGATTTTGGGGGTTTTCGTGATGAAATTTGGGATTTTCAGGCTCGAATTTGGGATTTTTGGGATAAATTTGGGGGTTTGGGGTGAAATTCCGGGATTTTGGGAAAAAAATTCGGAAATTTTACGGCAAAATTTGGGGGTTTTAGGGCAAAATTTGGGGGATTTTAGGGCAAAATTTGGGGGTTTTACGTCGAATTTTGGGGGTTTTATGTTGAATTTTGGGGCTAAATTGGGGAATTTGGGGTGAAATTTGGGGATTTTGGGAAAAAATTCGGAAATTTTAGGGCAAAATTTGGGGGTTTTAGGGCGAAATTTGGGGGTTTTAGGGCAAAATTTGGAGGTTTTCAGGCTCGAATTTGGGGGTTTTTATGTTGAATTTGGGGATTTTATGTTGAATTTTGGGGTTTGGGGGATGAAATTTGGGAATTTTGGGGATAAATTGGGGATTTTGGGCTGAAATTTGGGGATTTTAGGGAAAAAATTCAGAAATTTTAGGGCAAAATTTGGGGATTTTAGGGCAAAATTTGGGGATTTTCAGGTAAAATTTTGGGGTTTTCAGGATGGAATTTGGGATTTTTGGGATGAAATTTGGGGGTTTTGGGGTAAAATTTGGGGATTTTGGAGTGAAATTTGGGATTTTAGAGAAGAAATTTGGGGATTTTGGAATTTGGGGGCAAAATTTGGGATTTTCAGGTTGAAAATTTGGAGGTTTTGGGTCAAAATTTGGGGGTTTTGGGGTGAAAATTGGGATTTTCACGACAAATTTTGGGGGTTTTGGGTCAAAATTTGGGATTTTTGGGGCAAAATTTGGAGGTTTTGGGGCAAAATTTGAAATTTTCAGGAGGAAATTTGGGGGTTTTGAGGGAAAATTTGGGATTTTTGAGTGAAAATTTGGGATTCTGGAGCCAAAATTTGGGATTCCCCAAAATTCCCGATTTTTCCCCATTTTTGACCAAATTCCCCAATTTTTTTTCCCAATTTCGCCCAATTTAACCCAAATTTCCAAATTTTTTCCAATTTTTTTCCCATTTTCCCCCAATTTTCTCCATTTTTTTTTCAATTTTCACCCAAATTTTCCCAAATTTTTCCCCAATTTTCCCAAATTTTCCCCAAAATTCCCCCAAATTCCAAAAATTCCCAATTTTCCCCCATTTTGACCCAAATTTCCCCATTTTTTACCCATTTTTGCTTAAAATTCCCCATTTTTTCCCCATTTTTGCCCAAATTCCCCCAAATCCCAAAAATTCCCACATTTCCCAATTTTTTCCTGATTTCCCCCAATTTAACTCAATTTTTTCCCATTTTCCCCCAATTTTTTTCCAACTTTTTCCCAATTCTTCCCCAAATTTTCCAATTTTTTCCAAATTTTTGCTCATTATCCCCCAATTTTTGTCGAAAATTCCCATTTTTCCCCCATTTTTACCCAAATTTCCAATTTTCCCCCATTTCCCCCTAATTTCCCCATTTTTTCCCAAATTATCCCAAATTTTTCCCAATTTTCACCAAATTTTCCCCAATTTTTCCCAATTTTTCCCCAAATTTCCAATTTTTCCCCATTTCCCCCCAAATGTCCCATTTTCCCCCATTTCCCCCTAATTTCCCCCATTTTTTCCCAAATTTTCCCCAATTTTTCCCCATTTTTCCCCAAATTTTCCCCAATTTCCCCCATTTTTTTCCCAAATTTCCCCATTTTTCCCAATTTTTTCCCAAATTTCCGAATTTTTCCCTATTTTTTACCCAAATTTCCCGTTTTTCCCCATTTCCCCCTAATTTCCCCAATTTTTTCCCAAATTTTCCTCAATTTTTCCAAATTTTTCCCCAATTTTTCCCCATTTTTTGCCGTATTTCCCATTTTCCCCCAAATTTCCCATTTTTCCCCATTTCCCCCTAATTTCCCCCATTTTTTCCCCAAATTTTTCCCAAATTTTTCCCAATTTTTCCCAAATTTCCCCCAATTTTTCCCAATTTTCCCCAATTATTCCCCAAATTTTCCAATTTTCCCCCATTTTCCCCCAAATCTCCAATTTTTCCCCATTTTCCCCTAATTTCCCCAATTTCCCCCAATTTTCCCCCAAATTTCCCCCATTTTTTCCCCAAATTTCCCATTTTTCCCCATTTCCCCCTTATTTCCCCCATTTTTTTCCAAATTTTCCCCCATTTCCCCCAATTTCCCCAATTTTTACCCAAATTTTCCCAATTTTTCCCTAATTTTCCCAAAATTTTTCTGCACATTCCAAAAATTCCCAATTTTCTCCCATTTTTGCCCAAATTCCCCAATTTTTTACCCATTTTTGCGTAAAATTCCCCGGTTTTCCCCCATTTTTGCCCAAATTCCCCCAAATCCCAAAAATCCCCAAATCCCCAATTTTTTCCTGATTTCCCCCAATTTAACTCAATTTTTTCCCATTTTCCCCCAATTTTTTCCAATTTTTCCCAATTATTCCCCAAAATTTCCAATTTTTTCCAAATTTTTCCCCATTTCCCCCCAATTTTTCCCCATTTTTTACCAAATTTCCCCCAATTTTTCCCAATTTTCCCCCAATTTTTCCCCATTTTCCCCCAAATTTCCCAATTTTCCCCAAAATTTCCCATTTTCCCCTATTTCCCCCTAATTTCCCCCAAATTTTCCCAAAATTTTCCCCCAAATTTCCCCCAATTTTTCCCAATTTTTCCCTATTTCCCCCAAATTTCCCATTTTCCCCCAAAATTTCCCATTTTCCCCTATTTCCCCCTAATTTCCCCCAAATTTTCCCAAAATTTTCCCCCAAATTTCCCCCAATTTTTCCCAATTTTTCCCCAATTTTCCCATTTTTCCCCCATTTTCCCCCAAATTTCCCTTTTACCCCATTTTTGCCCAAAAATCCTCATTTTCACCCCAATTTCCCCCAAATTTTCCCAAATTTTCCCCAGTTTTTCCCAATTTCCCCCAAATTTTCCCCAAATTTCTAATTTTCCCCATTTTTCCCCGTTTTTCCCCCAATTTCCCAATTTTCCCAAATTCCAATTTTTTCCAAATTTTTCCCCATTTTTCCCCAATTTTCCCCAATTTTTCCCAATTTCCCCCAAATTTTCCCCAATTTTTCCCTATTTTAACCCAAATTTCCCATTTTTCCCCATTTCCCCCTAATTTCCCCAATTTTTTCCCAAATTTTCCCCAAATTTTCCCCAATTTTCCCCCATTTTTCCCCAAATTTTCCCCAATTTTTCCCCATTTTTCCCAAAATTTCCCGTTTTTCCCCAAATTTTCCCCAATTTTTTCCAATTTTTCCAAAATTTCCCATTTTTTCCCAAATTTTCCCCAATTTTCCCCAAAATTCCCATTTTTCCCCATTTTCCCCAATTTTTCCCAATTTTTCCCCAAATTTCCCATTTTTCCCTATTTTTTCCCCAAATTTCCCATTTTCCCCCGTTTCCCGCTAATTTCCCAAATTTTTTCCCAAATTTTCCCCAATTTTTCCCAAATTTTCCCTAATTTTTCCCTATTTTCCCCCATTTTTTCCCAATTTTTCCCCAAATTTTCCCCAATTTTTCCCCATTTTTGCCCAATTTTCCCAATTTTTCCCCATTTTCCCCAAATTTCCCATTTTTCCCCATTTTTCCCCAAAATTTCCTCATTTTCTCCCCAATTTCCACAATTTTCCCCCAAATTTTCCCAAAATTTCCCCATTTTCCCCCAAATTTTCCCAAAATTTCCCCAAATTTCCCCATTTCCCCCCAATTTAATTCAAATTTTTTCCTCATTTTCCCCCCGTTTTTTTTGAATTTTATCCCAATTTTTGCCCAATTTTCACCCAATTTTCACCCAAATTTTCCCCAATTTTTTCCTATTTTTCCCCAAATACCAAAAATTCAATTTTTTCACCCGTTTTTTACCAAAATTCTGTTTTTTCAGCCCATTTTGCGCTCGCTGCTCCCGGACGTCCTCGAGGCCCTTCAGGAGCTGCTGAGCCTGGACGAGGTAAAACCTGAAATTTGGGGAATTTGGGAAAATTTGGGCTGAAATTGGGGAATTTGGGGAAAAAGTGGGCAAAAAAATTGAAAATTTGGAGAAAATTTAATGAAAATTTGGGATGAAAATGGGAAAAATTGGGTAAAAATTGGGTAAAAATTGGGAAAATTCAGGCAGAAAATTGGGAAATTTGGGCTGAAATTGGTGAAAATTGAGAAAAAAATTGGAATAATTTGGAGCAAAATTTAGGAAAAAAAATAAATTCAGGGAAAATTTGGGAAATTTTGGATGAAAATGGGAAAATTTGGGCTGAAATTGGGGGAAATGGGAAGAATTTGGAGCAAAATTGAAAAAAAATTCAAAATTTGGGGGAAATTTGGAGAAAATTTGGGGGAAATTGGGGAAATTTGGAGAAAAAGTGAAAAAAAATGAACATTTTGGGAAAATTGGAAAATTTGGAGGAAAATTTTGGGAAAATTGGGGAAAATTGGAGAAAATTTGAATAAATTGGGATTAAAATGGGAAAAAATTGGGGAAAATTGGGAAAAATTGGGAAAAAGAAAAATTTGGGCTGAAATTGGGAGAATTTGGGGCAAAATTTAAAAAATGGAAAATTTGGGGCAAATTCTGGGGAAATTTTAGGAAAATTTGGGGGAAAATTTTGGGAAAATTGGGGAAAATTTGGGGAAAAATTGAATAAATTGGGATGAAAATGGGAAAAAATTGGGGTAAAATAGGGAAAAAAGTAAATTTGGGCTGAAATTGGGGGAAATTGGGAGAATTTGGAGCAAAATTGGGAAAAAAATTTAAAATTTGGAGAAAATTTGGGGAAATTTGAGATGAAAATGAAAAAAATTGGGGGAAAATTGGGAAAATTCTGACAGAAATTGGGGAAATTTGGGCTGAAATTTTGGGAAAATTTGGATTAAAATGGGGAAAAATTGGGAAAATTTGGGCTGAAATTGGTGAAAATTGAGGGAAAATTGGAAGAATTTGGAACAAAATTGGGGAAAAAAATTTAAATTCAGGGAAAATTTGGGGAATTTTGGATGAAAATGGGAAAAAAGGGGAAAAAAAGAAAATTTGGGCTGAAATTGGGGAAAATTGGGAGAATTTTGGGCAAAATTGGAAAAAAATTAAAATTTGGGGGAAATTTGGTGAAAAAGTGAAAAAAAATGAACATTTTGGGGAAATTGGAAAATTTTGGGGAAAATTTTGGGAAATTTGGGGAAAATTTGAATAATTGGGATGAAAATGGGAAAAATTGGGAAAAAAAGAAAATTTGGGCGGAAATTGGGGAAATTGGGAGAATTTGGAGCAAAATTGGGAAAAAATTTGAAAATTTGGAAAAAATTTGGAGAAATTTGGAGAAAATTTGGTGAAAATTTGGGATGAAAATGGAAAAAATTGGGGAAAAATTGGGAAAATTCGGGCAGAAATTGGGGAAATTTGGGCTGAAATTTTGGGAAAATTGGGATGAAAATGGGAAAAAAAATTGGGAAAATTTGGGCTGAAATTGGGGAAAATTAAGGGAAAATTGGAAGAATTTGGAGCAAAATTGGGGAAAATTTAAATTCGGGAAAAATTTGGGAAATTTTGGATGAAAATGGGGAAAAATTGGGGAAAAATGGGAAAATTTGGGCTGAAATTGGGGAGAATTGGGAGAATTTGGGGCAAAATTTTAAAAAATTTAAAATTTGGGGGAAATTTGGAGAAAATTTTGGGAAAATTTTGGGCAAATTTGAAGAAAATTTGGGGGAATTGCCAAAATTTGGGCTGAAATTGGGAATTTTGGGTTAATTTTAGGCTGAAATGGGGAAATTTTGGGGAGAATTTGAGAGAAAATTTTGGGACTTTTTGGGCTGAAATGGGAAAATTTGGGGGAAATTTTGGGTTAAATTTTGAACATTTTGGGATTAATTTTGGGGTGAATTTGGGACATTTTGGGCTTAATTTTGGGGCTGAAATGGGGAAATTTTGGGGTGAATTTGGGATGTTTTGGGCTTAATTTTGGGTTAAATTTTGAACATTTTCGGATTAATTTTGGGGTGAATTTGGGGTTAATTTTGGGGTGAATTTGATACATTTTGGGGTCAATTTTGGGGTGAATTTGGGACATTTTGGAGTCAATTTTGGGACTGCAATGAGGAAATTTTGGGGTGAATTTGGGACATTTTGGGGGTTAATTTTGGGTTAAATTTTGAACATTTTGGGATTAATTTTGGGATTAATTTTGAACATTTTGGGATAAATTTGAGACATTTTGGGCTTAATTTTGGGGTGAATTTGGGACACTTTGGGGGTTAATTTTGGGTTAAATTTTGAACATTTTGGGATTAATTTTGGGGTGAATTTGAGACATTTTGGGTTTAATTTTGGGGTGAATTTGGGACATTTTTGGGTGAATTTGGGACATTTTGGGCTCAATTTTGGGACTGCAAAGAGGAAATTTTGGGGTGAATTTGGGACATTTTGGGGTTAATTTTGGGTTAAAATTTGAACATTTTGGGATTAATTTTGGGGTGAATTTGAGACATTTTGGGGGTTAATTTGGGGGCTGAAATGCAGAAATTTTGGGGTGAATCTCTGACATTTTGGGGTTGATTTTGGGATGAATTTGGGACATTTTGGGGTCAATTTGGGATATTTTGGGGTCAATTTTGGGATTAATTTGGGACATTTGGGGTTGAATTTGGGACATTTTGGGGGTTAATTTTGGGTTAAATTTTGAACATTTTGGGATTAATTGTGGGGTGAATTTGGTACATTTTGGGGGTTAATTTTGGGGTGAATTTGAGACATTTTGGGGTTAATTTTTGGCTGATTTTGGGACATTTTGGGGTTAATTTGGGACTGCAATGAGGAAATTTTGGGGTGAATTTGGAACATTTTGGGGTTAATTTTGGGTTAAATTTTGAACATTTTGGGATTAATTTTGGGGTGAATTTGGGACATTTTTGGGCTTTATTTTGGGTTAAATTTTGGGATTAATTTTGGGATTAATTTGGGACTTTTTGGGGTTAATTTGGGACTTTTTGGGGGAATTTTGGGGTGAATTTGGGACATTTTTGGGCTTAATTTTGGTGTGAATTTGGGACTTTTGGGGGGTTAATTTTGGGGCAAATTTGAGACATTTTGGGGTTAATTTTGGGTTAAATTTTGAACATTTTGGGATTAATTTTGGGGTTTACTTGGGACATTTGGGGATGAATTTGAGACATTTTCGGGTTAATTTTGGGATGAATTTGGGACATTTTTGGGTCAATTTTGGGACTGCAATGAGGAAATTTTGGGGTGAATTTGGGACACTTTTGGGCTTAATTTTGGGTTAAATTTTGAACATTTTGGGATTAATTTTGGGATTTACTTGGGACATTTGGGGGTGAATTTGAGACATTTTGGGGTGAATTTGGGACATTTTGGGGTTAATTTTGGGGCTGAAATGGGGAAATTTTGGGGTGAATTTGGGACATTTTGGGGTTAATTTTGGGGTGAATTTGGGACATTTTGGGGGTTCATTTTGGGTAAAAATTTGAACATTTTAGGATTAATTTTGGGGTGAATTTGAGACATTTTGGAGTTAATTTTGGGTTAAATTTTGAACATTTTGGGAATAATTTTTGGATTAATTTGGGACATTTGGGGGTGAATTTGAGACATTTTGGGATTAATTTTGGGGTGAATTTGGGACATTTTGGGGTCAATTTTGGGACTGCAATGAGGAAATTTTGGGGTGAATTTGGGACACTTTGGGGGTTAATTTTGGGTTAAAATTTGAACATTTTGGGATCAATTTTGGGATGAATTTGGAACATTTTGGGCTGAATTTTGGGATTAATTTGGGACATTTGGGGATGAATTTGAGACATTTTGGGGTTAATTTTGGGGTGAATCTGGGACTTTTTGGGGTGAATTTGGGAGATTTTGGGGCTTAATTTTGGGGTGAATTTGGGGCTTTTTGGGGGTTAATTTTGGGGTGAATTTGGGACATTTTGGGGTTAATTTGAGACATTTTGGGGTTAATTTTGGGGTGAATTTGGGACATTTTGTGGTTAATTTTGGGATTAATTTGGGACATTTGGGGGTGAATTTGAGACATTTTGGAGTCAATTTTGGGATGAATTTGGGACATTTTGGGGTCAATTTTGGGATGAATTTGGGACATTTTGGGGTTATTTTTGGGGTGAATTTGGGACATTTTGGAGTCAAATTTGAGATGAATTTGGGACATTTTGGGGTCAATTTTGGGACTGCAATGAGGAAATTTTGGGGTGAATTTGGGACATTTTTGGGCTTAATTTTGGGGTGAATTTCTGACATTTTGGGGGTTGATTTTGGGATGAATTTGGAACATTTTGGGCTGAATTTTGGACTGATATTTGGAACATTTTGGGTTGAATTTCGGACTGATATTTGGAGTAAATTTGGGACATTTTGGGGTTAATTTTGGGTTAAATTTTGAACATTTTGGGATTAATTTTGGGATTAATTAGGGACGTTTTGGGGTGAATTTGAGACATTTTGGGGTTAATTTTGGGGTGAATTTGTGACAAATTGGGGTCAATTTTGGGACTGCAATGAGGAAATTTTGGGGTGAATTTGGGACACTTTTGGGCTTAATTTTGGGTTAAATTTTGAACATTTTGGGGTCAATTTTGGGGCAGAAATGGGGAAATTTTGGGGTGAATTTGGGACATTTTGGGGTCAATTTTGGGACTGCAAAGAGGAAATTTCGGGGTGAATTTGGGACACTTTGGGGGTTAATTTTGGGTTGAATTTGGGACACTTTGGGGGTTAATTTTGGGACTTTTTGGGGGTTAATTTTGGGGTGAATTTGAGACATTTTGGGATTAATTTTGGGGTCAATTTGGGACATTTTGGGATTAATTTTGGGGTGAATTTGGGACATTTTGGGGTGAATTTGGGACATTTTGGGGTGAATTTGAGACATTTTGGGGTGAATTTGAGACATTTTGGGGTCAATTTTGGGATTAATTTAGGACATTTTGGGGTGAATTTGGGACATTTTGGGGTCAATTTTGGGACTGCAATGAGGAAATTTTGGGGTGAATTTGGGACATTTTGGGGTTAATTTTGGGTTGAATTTTGAACATTTTGGGATTAATTTTGGGGTGAATTTGGGACATTTTGGGCTGAATTTTGGGCTGATATTTGGAGTAAATTTGTAACATTTTTGGGGTTAATTTTGGGTTAAATTTTGAACAATTTGGGACATTTTGGGGTGAATTTGGGACATTTGGGGTGAATTTGAGACATTTTGGGGTCAATTTTGGGTTAAATTGTGAACATTTTGGGGTGAATTTGGGACATTTTGGGGGTCAATTTTGCGGCGAATTTGGGACATTTTGGGGTGAATTTGAGACATTTTGGGGTCAATTTTGGGATTAATTTGGGACATTTGGGGATTAATTTGAGACATTTTGGGGTTAATTTTGGGGTGAATTTTGGACATTTTGGGGTTAATTTTGGGTTAAAATTTGAACATTTTGGGATTAATTTTGGGATTAATTTAAGACATTTAGGATTGAATTTGAGACATTTTGGGGTTAATTTTGGGATGAATTTGAGGCATTTTGGGGTTAATTTTGGGTTAAATTTTGAACATTTTGGGAATAATTTTGGGATTAATTTGTGACATTTTGGGGTCAATTTGAGACATTTTGGGGTCAATTTTGGGGTGATTTTGTGACAAATTGGGGTCAATTTTGGGACTGCAATGAGGAAATTTTGGGGTGAATTTGGGACACTTTGGGGGTTAATTTTGGGGTGAATTTTGGACATTTTGAGGTTGATTTTGGGATGAATTTGGGCTGAAATTTGGGGTGAATTTGGGAAAATTCCCTTCCAGGATCGCGGCGCCGACGCTTTGGAGATTCTGGATGAATTCCTGGAAGTCAATCCCGAATCTGTGATCCCTCACCTGAAGCCCCTGCTGGAACTCTGCCTCCAGGTGAGACCCAAAATCTCCTTTTTCACCCAAAATTGGGGAGTTTTGGGGCAAAAAACGGAAATTTTGGGGCAAAAATTGGGATTTTTAGGGGAAAAATGAATGGGCAACAGGTCTACCCATTAAAGTCAATGGGGATTTAGGGACACCAGGTCTACCCCATTAAAGTCAATGGGGATTTGGGGACACCAGGTCTACCCCATTAAAGTCAATGGGGATTTAGGGACACCAGGTCTACCCCATTAAAGTCAATGGGGATTGATGGACACCAGGTCTACCCCATTAAAGTCAATGGGGATTTAGGGACACCAGGTCTACCCCATTAAAGTCAATGAGGACAAAAGGACACCAGGTCTACCCCATTAAAGTCAATGGGGATTTAGGGACAACCCAAATCCCATTTTCGCCCCCAAAATATAATGTTTTTCCCCAAAAAATCCCATTTTTCACCCCAAAAATAACCCCGAAAAATCCCGCCAAAAATCCCATTTTTCACGCCAAAAGAACCTCCAAAATTCCCTCCTAAAAATCCCATTTGTCCCCCCAAAAATCTCATTTTTGACACCAAAATTCCCTCCAAAAATCCCTTTTTTCACCCCAAAAAATCCAAATTTTATCCAAAAAATCCCCAAAAATCCCATTTTTCACCCCAAAAAAATCCCATTTTTAACCAAAAAATCCCCCAAAAAAATCCAATTTTTTCACCCAAAAATCCCATTTTTCACTCCCAAATATCCCATTTTTCACCCCCAAATCCCATCTCCGTCCCCAAATTTCGGCAGAAATTGGGATTTTTACCCCAAACCGGGTGGATGGAGCAGAAAATGGTGATTTTTACCAGGAAAATGGCGGGACTTGAACCCAAAATTGGCGATTTTTGCCCCAAAATGTTGCGGGTGTCAAATGGGCCTCATTAAAGTCAATGGGGATTTTTGGACACCAGGTCTACCCCATTAAAGTCAATGAGGATTTAGGGACACCAGGTCTACCCCATTAAAGTCAATGGGGATTTTTGGACACCAGGTCTACCCCATAGAAGTCAATGGGGATTTAAAGACACCAGGTCTACCCCATTAAAGTCAATGGGGATTTTAGTGACACCAGGTCTACCCCATTAAACCCAATGGGGATTTAGGGACACCAGGTCTACCCATTTAAAGTCAATGGGGATTTAGGGACACCCCAAATCCCACTTTTGCCCCTCAAAAATAATGTTTTTCACCAAAAAATCCCATTTTTCACCCCAAAAAAATCCTCCAAAAAAATCCAATTCTTTCCCCCAAAAATCCCATTTTTCACTCTCAAAAATCCCATTTTTCACCCCCAAATCCCATCTCCATCCCCAAATTTCAGCAGAAATTGGGATTTTACACCAAATCGGGCGGATGGAGCAGAAAATGGTGATTTTTAGCAGGAAAATGGCGGGACTTGAACCCAAAATTGGCGATTTTTGGCCCAAAATGTTGCGGGTGTCAAATGGGCCCCATTGAAGTCAATGGGGATTTAGGGACACCAGGTCTACCCCATTAAAGTCAATGGGGATTTTGGGACACCAGGTCTACCCCATTAAAGTCAATGGGGATTTTTCGGACACCAGGTCTACCCATTGAAGTCAATGGGGATTTGGGGACACCAGGTCTACCCCATTAAAGTCAATGGGGATTTAGTGACACCAGGTCTACCCATTAAACCCAATGGGGATTTAGGGACACCAGGTCTACCCCATTAAAGTCAATGGGGATTTTTGGACACCAGGTCTACCCCATTAAAGTCAATGGGGATTTTTTCGGACACCAGGTCTACCCCATTAAAGTCAATGGGGATTTAGGGACACCAGGTCTACCCATTAAAGTCAATGGGATTTTATAGACACCAGGTCTACCCTATTAAAGTCAAAGGGGATTTAGGGACACCAGGTCTACCCCATTAAAGTCAATGGGGATTTAGTGACACCAGGTCTACCCATTAAAGTCAATGGGGATTTAGTGACACCAGGTCTACCCATTAAACCCAATGGGGATTTTTGGACACCAGGTCTACCCCATTAAACCCAATGGGGATTTAGTGACACCAGGTCTACCCATTAAAGTCAATGGGGATTTAGTGACACCAGGTCTACCCATTAAACCCAATGGGGATTTTTGGACACCAGGTCTACCCCATTAAACCCAATGGGGATTTTTTGGGACACCAGGTCTACCCCATTGAAGTCAATGGGGATTTTTGGACACCAGGTCTACCCCATTAAAGTCAATGGGGATTTATGGACACCAGGTCTACCCCATTAAAGTCAATGGGGATTTGGGGACAGCAGGTCTACCCCATTAAACCCAATGGGGATTTAGTGACACCAGGTCTACCCATTAAAGTCAATGGGGATTTAGTGACACCAGGTCTACCCATTAAACCCAATGGGGATTTTTGGACACCAGGTCTACCCCATTAAACCCAATGGGGATTTTTTGGGACACCAGGTCTACCCCATTGAAGTCAATGGGGATTTTTGGACACCAGGTCTACCCCATTAAAGTCAATGGGGATTTATGGACACCAGGTCTACCCCATTAAAGTCAATGGGGATTTGGGGACAGCAGGTCTACCCCATTAAAGTCAATGGGGATTTTTTTGGACAACAGGTCTGCCCCATTAAAGTCAATGGGGATTTAGTGACACCAGGTCTACCCCATTAAAGTCAATGGGGACATGGGACACCAGGTCTACCCATTAAAGTCAATGGGGATTTAGGGACACCAGGTCTACCCATTAAACCCAATGGGGATTTTGGGACAATTCCCCGAATTTTTGGGGTAAATTCCCGCAATTTTTGCCAAAATTCCCGGAATTTTTTAGGATTTTGGGGATTTTTTGGGATCTTTGGGAATCCCCGGAGGGTTTTTGGGAATTTTCAGGCGGGATTTACCCCCTCAGGTGGCCGGGGACGAGTGCAGAGGTGACGGCGTCAGGGTCAGGGCATTGGCCACGCTGACGTTCCTGGCACAGAAGAGACCCAAAGTGAGACTGGTTTATACTGGTTTGTACTGGTTTGTACTGGGAGGGAACTGGGACAAACTGGGAGGGGATTTTGGGGGGATTTGAGGGGATTTTGGGGCTCTAAAAGGGTCAAAAATAGGAAAAAAATGGGATTAAAGGGGATTTGTTATACTGGTTTATACTGGTTTGATACTGGTTTTATACTGGTTTGTACTGGTTTGTACTGGGAGGGAACTGGGAGGGAACTGGGACAAACTGGGATGGACTGGGAGGGGATTTGAGGTGATTTTGGGGGGCAAAACCAGTCAAAAATGGGAAAAAATTGCATTTAAAGGGGATTTTTATACTGGATTTATACTGGTTTTATACTGGTTTATACTGGTTTATACTGGTTTGTACTGGGAGGGCACTGGGAGGGAACTGGGACAAACTGGGATGGGATTTTGGGAGGATTTGAGGCAATTTTGGGGCTCTAAAAGGGTCAAAAATAGGAAAAAATTGGGATTAAAGGGGATTTTTATACTGAATTCATACTGGTTTATACTGGTTTTATACTGGTTTATACTGGTTTATACTGGTTTATACTGGGAGGGAACTGGGACAAACTGGGAGGGGATTTTGGGGGGATTTGAGGGGATTTTGGGGCTCTAAAAGGGTTAAAAATAGGAAAAAATTGGGATTAAAGGGGATTTGTTATACTGGTTTGATACTGGTTTATACTGGTTTATACTGGTTTATACTGGTTTGATACTGGTTTATACTGGTTTATACTGGGAGGGAACTGGGACAAACTGAAAGGGAATTTTGGGGGGATTTGAGGCGATTTTGGGGCTCTAAAAGGGTCAAAAATAGGAAAAATTGGGATTAAAAGGGGATTTGTTATGCTGATTTATACTGGTTTATACTGGTTTTATACTGGTTTGTACTGGGAGGGCACTGGGAGGGAACTGGGACAAACTGGGATCGACTGGGAGGGGGTTTGAGGTGATTTTGGGGGGAAAAATCAGTCAAAAATGGGAAAAAATTGGGTTTAAAGGGGATTTTTATACTGGATTTATACTGGTTTATACTGGTTTGGTATTGGTTTGATACTGGTTTATACTGGTTTATACTGGGAGGGAACTGGGACAAACTGGGAGGGGATTTTGGGAGGATTTGAGGGGATTTTGGGGCTCTAAAAGGGTCAAAAATAGGAAAAAATTGCATTTAAAGGGGATTTTTATACTGAATTCATAGTGGTTTATACTGGTTTATACTGGTTTTATACTGGTTTATACTGGTTTATACTGGGAGGGCACTGGGAGGGAACTGGGACAAACTGGGATTGACTGGGAGGGGGTTTGAGGTGATTTTGGGGGTAAAACCAGTCAAAAATGGGGGAATAATGGGTTTAAAGGGGATTTTTTATACTGGATTTATACTGGTTTGATACTGGTTTATACTGGTTTTATACTGGTTTATACTGGTTTATACTGGTTTGTACTGGGAGGGGACTGGGATGGACTGGGAGGGGATTTGAGGTGATTTTGGGGGGCAAAACCAGTCAAAAATGGAAAAAAATTGCATTTAAAGGGGATTTTTATACTGGATTCATACTGGTTTATACTGGTTTTTACTGGTTTGATACTGGTTTATACTGGTTTATACTGGTTTGATACTGGTTTGTACTGGGAGGGCACTGGGCCAAACTGGGATGGACTGGGAAGGGATTTGAGGCAATTTTGGGGCTCTAAAAGAATCAAAAATAGGAAAAAATTGGGATTAAAAGGGAGTTGTTATACTGGTTTATACTGGTTTGATACTGGTTTATACTGGTTTATACTGGTTTGTACTGGGAGGGCACTGGGACAAACTGGGATGGACTGGGAGGGGGTTTGAGGTGGTTTTGGGGGATAAAACCAGTCAAAAATGGGAAAAAATTGCATTTAAAGGGGATTTTTATACTGGTTTATACTGGTTTATACTGGTTTTATACTGGTTTATACTGGTTTATACTGGTTTATACTGGGAGGGAACTGGGCCAAACTGGGAGGGAATTTTGGGAAGATTTTGGGTATTTTGAGGCTAAAAAATGAGAGAAAAATGCGATTTTTTTGGGGTTTTTTTTGGTTATACTGGTTTATACTGGTTTATACTGGTTTATACTGGTTTATACTGGTTTGATACTGGTTTATACTGGGACAAACTGGGAGGGAATTTTGAGGCGATTTGGGGGATTTTGAGGCTAAAAAATGAGAGAAAAATGCGATTTTTTTCGGGTTTTTTTTGGTTTTTTTTGTTTTTACTGGTCCATACTGGTTTATACTGGTCCATACTGGTTTATACTGGTTTATACTGGTTTTTTCCAGGCCCTGCTCCGGGGGGGGCTCCTGCCCCTCCTCCTCCGGGGGCTCCTGGTCCCTCTTTGTGCCCAAATTCGGCCCGAAAATCCCGACCCGGAGGAGACTTGGGGGGGGGAGGGGCAGCCCTGCCCCCGCCACGGCGCCGCTCAGGTACCAAAATTCCCAAAAAATTCCCAAAATTCCCGAAATTCCCGAAATTCCCAAAAATTCCCAAAGTTATGCGGCTTTTCCAGGAATTTTTAGGGTTTTTTTCCGCTTTTTATTTGGATTTTTTGCCATTTTTTAGGCGATTTTTTTGCATTTTTTGAGGATTTTTTGGCCATTTTTTCCCATTTTATTTGGGAATTTTCCTGAATTTTTCTCATTTTATTCAGATTTTTTCCCATTTTATTTGAATTTTTTTCCCTTTTTTTGGCAATTTTTTCCCATTTTTTCAGAATTTTTTTGCTATTTTTTCTCATTTTATTTGGAATTTTTCCTCAATTTTCCTCATTTTATTTCGATTTTTTTCCCATTTTTTGAGGATTTTCTTGCCATTTATTTGGAATTTTTCCTCATTTTTTCTCATTTTATTTCGATTTTTTTCCCATTTTTGTGATTTTTTCCCCATTTTATTTGGGATTTTTTTCTCATTTTATTATAATTTCTTTCCCTTTTTTGTGATTTTTTTCGGACTTTTTAAGGGATTTTTTCCCCCATTTTTTCCCTTCTTTATTTCGAATTTTTTCCCATTTTATTTGGATTTTTTTCCCAATTTTTGTGATTTTTTTCCCATTTTATTTCAACTTTTTCCCCATTTTTGGGGATTTTTCCCCCCTATTCTCCCCATTCTATTCTGATTTTTTTCCCAATTTTTCCATTTTTATTTGGATTTTTTCCTATTTTTTAGGCAAATTTTTCGCATTTTTTGAGGATTTTTTGCCATTTTTTCCCGTTTTATTTGGGATTTTTTTCTTAATTTTTCCACTTTTTATTTGGATTTTTTCCCATTTTTTGAGGATTTTTTTGCCATTTATTTGGAATTTTTCCTCAATTTTTCACATTTTCTTTCGAATTTTTTCTCATTTTATTTGGATTTTTTCCCATTTTTGTGATTTTTTTTCGTCATTTTATTTGGGATTTTTTCTCATTTTGTTATAATTCTTTTTCCCCTTTTTTTGTGAATTTTTTCCTAATTTTTTTTTATTTTTTCCCTTTCTTTATTTGAAATTTTTTCCCATTTTTTTCCCATTTTATTTGGATTTTTTCCCCATTTTTGTGATTTTTTTCCCCCCATTTTATTTGGAATTTTATTCTCACTTTAATCTAATTACTTTCCCTTTTTTTGTGATTTTTTTCCCACTTTTGGGGGATTTTTTTCCCATTTTTTCCCTTCTTTAATTGGAATATTTTCCCACGTTTTGTTGATTTTCCACCATTTAATTTGGAATTTTCCCCCAATTTTTCTCATTTTAATTGGATTTTTTTCTCATTTATTGAGGATTTTTTTTGCCATTTTTTCCCATTTTATTTGGAAATTTTTCCTTAATTTTTCTTATTTTATTTCGAATTTTTTTCCCCATTTTTTCTTATTTTATTTGGAATTTTTCCCATTTTTGGGGGGCATTTTTTTCCCATTTTTTCCCACTTTATTTGGGATTTTTTCCCATTTTTTGTGATTTTTTTCCTATTTTTTGGGGGGATTTTTTTCCCATTCTTTTCCCTTTTTCTTTGGATTTTTTTTCCCATTTTTTCCCATTTTTGGGGATTTTTTCCCCCATTTTATTCTGATTTTTTTTCCCAATTTTTCCATTTTTATTTGGATTTTTTCCCATTTTTTAAGCAATTTTTTCCCATTTTTTGAGGATTTTTCTGCCATTTTTTCCCATTTTATTTTGAATTTTTTTCCCATTTTTTCACATTTTATTCAGATTTTTTTTCCCATTTTTGTGATCTTTTTTTCCCATTTTATTTGGAATTTTTCCTCAATTTTTTCTCATTTTCTTTCAAATTTCTTCCCATTTTTTCCCATTTTATTTGGGATTTTTTTCACATTTTATTTGGATTTTTTACCATTTTTGTGATTTTTTTTCCCTCATTTTTTGGGGATTTTTTCTCATTTTATTATAATTTTTTCCCATTTTTATTTGGATTTTTTTCCCATTTTTTTGGCAATTTTTTCACATTTTTTGGGGATTTTTTTGCCATTTTTTCCCATTTTTCCTCATTTTATTTCGAGTTTTTTCCCATTTTTTCCCATTTTATTTGGAATTTTTTCCCAATTTTTGGTGATTTTTTCCCAATCTTCTATCGAATTTTTATGGTTTTTTCCCATTTTTTGTATTTTTTCCCCTTTTTTTTTTATTTTTATCCCATTTTTTTTTGTGTTTTTAATTTCCACATTTTTTATTATATTTTTTCCCATTTTATTTGGAATTTTTCCCATTTTTAGGGATTTTTTTTTCCGAATTTTATCTCTATTTTTTCTCATTTTTGTCATTTTCCCCCATTTTATTTCGATTTTTCCCATTTTTTGCTCCTCTTTTCAATCTTCTCAAACTCAAAAAAAATTCCCCAAAAAATCCCAAAAAATTCCCAAATTTCCAGTCCTTTTCCATTAATTTTTGGTGTTTTTTCCCCATTTTATTTCGATTTTTTGGGGATTTTTTTCTGCTTTTTATTCCCATTTTTTGGAGATTTTTTCCCATTTCAGTTTGATTTTTTTTTCCCATTTTTTGAGGATTTTTCTCCCATTTTTCCCATTTTTATTTGGAATTTTTCCCATTTTCTTTAGAATTTTTTTCCATTTTATTTGGAATTTTTTCATATTTCATTTGGATTTTTTTCACCATTTTTCCTCATTTTATTTGGATTTTCCCCCAATTTTTTCCTAATTTTTGTTATTTTTTCCCCCATTTTCTATAATTTTTTTCGCATTTTAATTGGAATTTTCCCCCATTTTCTCCCATTTTATTCTGAATTTTTTCCCAATTTTTCCCCTTTTTATTACATTTATTTCCCCATTTAATTTGTTTTTTTTCCCATTTTATTTGTAATTTTTTCCCATTTTTTGGGGATTTTCCCCCATTTTATTCAGAATTTTTTCCCCTTTTTATTTCGATTTTTTCCCGTTTTATTTCAACTTTTTCTGGAATTTTAAACGGAATTTTGCCCAAATTTGGGAATTTTTCTCCATTTTCCCCCCTCAGGTTCTGGACGCTCTGGCCCAGGGACTGCCCCCCGAAAAGCTGCTCAAGGAATTGGTGAGTTTTTGGGGGAAAAAATCGGAATTTTGGGAAAATTTGGGAATTTTGGAGAATTTTGGGGAATTTTTCGAGATTTTTTTAGGAATTTTTCGGAATTTTTTGAGCAATTTTTGAGTTTTTTTTACCCTTTCAGGACCTTTTTTGACAGGAATTTTGGAGATCCTGAGGGAAAATTTGGGGAGAATTTGGGAGATTTTGGGTTTGGGGTAAATTCTTAAAATTTTGAATGTTTTGAATTTTTTTTTTTTTTAATTTTGGGGAATTTTTTGGGATTTTTTAGGGGAATTTTTTGAGGAAGTTTAGGGTTTTTTTCTGACCTTTCAGGACCTTTTTTGACAGGAATTTGGGAGATCCTGAGGGAAAATTTGGGCAGAATTTGGGAGATTTTGGGTTTGGGATAAATTCTTAAAATTTTGATTTTTTTGGATTTTTTTTTTTAATTTTTGGGAATTTTTTAGGAATTTTTTGGGGCTTTTTTGAGGAATTTTGGGGTTTTTTTTAACCTTTCAGGACCTTTTTTGACAGGAATTTGGGAGATCCTGAGGGAAAATTTGGGGAGAATTTGGGAGATTTTGGGTTTGGGGCAAATTCTTAAAATTTTGAAGTTTTTGGAATTTGTTTCTTTTAATTTTGGGGAATTTTTTGGGATTTTTTGGGGGATTTTTGAGGAATTTTGGGGTTTTTTTTTAACCTTTCAGGACCTTTTTTAACAAGAATTTGGGAGATCCTGAGGGAAAATTTGGGGAGAATTTGAGCGATTTTGGGTTTGGGGTAAATTCTTAAAATTTTAAAATTTTGGGGAATTTTTTTTTAATTTTGGGGAATTTTTGGGGATTTTTTTGGGGCTTTTTTCAGGAATTTTGGGGGTTTTTTCTGACCTTTCAGGACCTTTTTTGACGGAAATTTGGGAAATACTGAGGGAAAATTTGGGGAGAATTTGGGAGATTTTGGGTTTGGGGTGAATTCTTAAAATTTTGAAATTTTTGGAATTTTTTTTTAATTTTGGGGATTTTTTTGGGATTTTTTTTGAATTTTTTGAGGAATTTTGAGGGTTTTTCTGACCTTTCAGGACCTTTTTTAACAGGAATTTGGGAGATCCTGAGGGAAAATTTGGGGAGAATTTGGGAGATTTTGGGTTTGGGGTAAATTCTTAAAATTTTTAAATTTTGGGGAATCTTTTTTTTTTATTTTGGGGATTTTTTGGGAATTTTTGGGGGCTTTTTTGAGGAAATTTGAGGTTTTTTTCTGACCTTTCAGGACCTTTTTTGACAGGAATTTTGGAGATCCTGAGGGAAAATTTGGGGAGAATTTGGGAGATTTTGGGTTTGGGGCAAATTCCTAAAATTTTGAAATTTTTTGGAATTTTTTTTTAATTTTTGGGAATTTTTGGGAATTTTTTTGGAATTTTTGGAGAAATTTTTGGGTTTTTTTGACCTTTCAGGACCCTTTTTGACAGGAATTTGGGAGATTCTGAGGTAAAATTTGGGGAGAATTTAGGAGATTTTGGGCTTGGGGTAAATTCTTAAAATTTTTAAATTTTGTGAAATTTTTTTTTTAATTTTGGGGAATTTTTTGGGGATTTTTTTTGGGCTTTTTTGAGGAATTTTGGGGTTTTTTTTCTGACCTTTCAGGACCTTTTTTGACCGGAATTTGGGAGATCCTGAGGGAAAATTTGGGGAGAATTTGGGAGATTTTGGGTTTGGGGTAAATTCCTAAAATTTTGACATTTTGGGGATTTTTTTTTAATTTTGGGGAATTTTTTGGGATTTTTTTGGGGCTTTTTTGAGGAATTTTTGGGGTTTTTTTTAACCTTTCAGGACCTTTTTTGACAGGAATTTTGGAGATCCTGAGGGAAAATTTGGGGAGAATTTGGGAGATTTTGGGTTTGGGGTAAATTCTTAAAATTTTGAATTTTTTGGAATTTTTTTTTTAATTTTGTGGAATTTTTTGGGATTTTTTTGGGGCTTTTTTGAGGAATTTTGGGGTTTTTTTCTGACCTTTCAGGACCTTTTTTGACAGGAATTTGGGAGATCCTGAGGGAAAATTTGGGGAGAATTTGGGAGATTTTGGGTTTGGGGTAAATTCTTAAAATTTTGAATTTTTTGGAATTTTTTTTTTAATTTTGTGGAATTTTTTGGGATTTTTTTGGGGCTTTTTTGAGGAATTTTGAGGGGGTTTTTTTAACCTTTCAGGACCTTTTTTAACAGGAATTTGGGAGATCCTGAGGGAAAATTTGGGCAGAATTTGGGAGATTTTGGGTTTGGGGTAAATTCTTAAAATTTTTAAATTTTGGGGATTTTTTTTTTTTAATTTTCGGGAATTTTTTGAGATTTTTTTGGGGCTTTTTTGAGGAATTTTGGGGTTTTTTTCTGACCTTTAAGGACCTTTTTTGACAGGAATTTCGGAGATCCTGAGGGACAATTTGGGGAGAATTTGGGAGATTTTGGGTTTGGGATAAATTCTTAAAATTTTGAATTTTTTTGAAAATTTTTTTTAATTTTGGGGAATTTTTTTTTTTATTTTTTAAGGAATTTTGGGGTTTTGTTTTAACCTTTCAGGACCGTTTTTGACAGGAATCTGGGAGATCCTGAGGGAAAATTTGGGGAGAATTTGGGAGATTTTGGGTTTGGGGAAAATTCTTAAAATTTTGAAATTTTTGGATTTTTTTTTTTTTATTTTGGGGATTTTTTGGGAATTTTTGGGGCTTTTTTGAGGAATTTTGGGGTTTTTTTTTAACCTTTCAGGACCTTTTTTGACAGGAATTTGGGAGATCCTGAGGGAAAATTTGGGGAGAATTTAGGAGATTTTTTAATTTGGGATAAATTTTTAAAATTTATGAATTTTGGGTGAATTTTTTGCAATTTTTTCCAAATTTTTCCGATTTTTTTTTTTTTCATTTTTTGCATTTTCTTCTTTACCCTTCCAGGACCTTTTAAAGGCAATTTCTCGCTCCACGAGCGAATTTTGGGCCAAAACTCAGAAATTTTGGATTTTTGATTAACAAACCCCAAAAATTTTCTCTCAAACCCCCGAAAAATTTAAACTTTCCAAATTTTTGGACTTTTTTCCCCATTTCTCATCAATTTAATTTTATTTTTCACCTCCTTTTTATTATCACCCTTCCAGGACCATCCTCTTAAAAAACCGCGATTATTTTGAGGAAAAACCTTAAAATTTTGGGCTCTTTTTTTGGGGAAATTTACAACTTTTAGTAATTTTTACCTTTCCAAGTGCTGATTTTAGGTCTTTTTTAATCGATTTTGGTTCATTTTTAACCGATTTCTGCTCATTTTTTCCGCGATTTTCCTTCGCTTTCACCGACCCCTCTCTAACTCCCGCTCTTCCCTCTCGTTTTTCCCCGTTTTTCCACCGATTTTTTCCCGGTTTTTTCTCTCTCCCCCCTCCCCCCCTCCCCCCCTGTCATTTTTGGGTGAAAATCCGGCGATTTTGGGCTCGCTCGGACCCGGAAGTTGCCGCTGCTGGAGGGGCCGGCCCGAGGCGGAAGCGCGGGCGGCCGCAAAGGGGCTCTGCTGGCGCTGACTGCGCTTGCGCGGGGCTGCGGCCCCGCCCTGCGGCGGCGGTGAGCGCCTTATATGGGCAAAGGGGGCGGGGCTTGGGCCGGGGGGCGGGGCTTGATCCATTTATGAATGAAATGGGCGGGGCTTGCGCCATTTATGAATGAAATGGGCGGAGCTTGCGCCATTTATGAATGAAATGGGCGGGGTTTCTGCCTTATATAGGCAAAGGGGGCGGGGCTTGTGCCATTTATGAATGAAATATGCGTGGTTTGTGGCTTATATGCATAAAAATGGGCGGGTTTTTTCTTTTATGGGCAAAAGGGGGCGGGGTTTGAGCCTAGGGGCGGGGCTAGTGCCTTTTATGAATGAAATATGCGTGGCTTGTGCCTTATATGCATAAAAATGGGCGGAGGTTTTTCCCTTTTATGGTAAAAATGGGTGGAGTTTTAATCTGCTGTGAGGTGTGGGCGGGGTTTAAGTAAAAGGAGCGTGGCCTAATTAATTTTATGAGATTATGGGCGTAGTTTAAAGGGGACGTGGCTTAATTACTTCTATATGATTTCAATTAAAGGGGTGTGGCTTAAACCTTTTAATGACTTGTGGGCGTGGCTCCATGCATTTTAATGAGCTGTGGGCACAACTTGATGCATTTTAATGAGCTGTAGGCGCAACTTGATGCATTTTAATGAGCTGTAGGCGTGACTTAAAGCATTTTAATGAGCTGTGGGCGTGGCTTTATGCATTTTAATGAGCTGTGGGCGTGGCTTAAAGCTTTTGGGAGCAATTTAACCCCTTTTAAGGCATTTAACCATTATAATTAACTGTGGGCGTGTCTTAGCGCTGTGGGCGTGGCTTAACCCATTTTACGAATTGTGGGCGTGGCTTATCTCATTATAATAATTGTGGGCGTGGTTTAAACTTTGTGGGCGGAGCTTAAACCCTTTTATGGCGTTGTGGGCGGGGCTTAAACCCTTAAAGGGTGGTGGGCGTGGCTTAGACGCGGTGGGCGTGGTTTAGACGTTGTGGGCGTGGCTTAAATCACAGGGGGCGTGGCCTAAGAGGAATGGGCGTGGTTTAAGTGGGGTGGGCGTGGCTTAAAACGCGGGGGCGTGGCTTAAGAGAAATGGGCGTGGTTTAAATGTGGTGGGCGTGGTTTAGACATTTGTGGGCGTGGTTTAAAGCACGGGGGGCGTGGTCTAAAAGGAATGGGCGTGGTTTAAACATTGTGGGCGTGGCTTAAATCACAGGGGGCGTGGCTTAACCGGGGCTGGGTTCATCTATTGGGTAATGGGCGTGGTTTAAACAAAGTGGGCGTGGTTTAAACATGTGGGCGTGGTCTGATTAAAGTGGGCGTGGCTTTCAGGTACGTGGGCGTGGTCTTGGGGGCCCTGCGGGCCGGGCTGGGAGACCCCGATGGCGCCGTCAGGGGGGCGGCGGCCGCGGCCCTGAGGGAACTACGGGAGGAACTGGAGGTACTGGTTTATACTGGTTTGTACTGGTTTGGACTGGTTTATACTGGTTTATACTGGTTTGGACTGGTTTGGGCTGGTTTGGGCTGGTTTATACTGGTTTGGGCTGGTTTATACTGGTTTGGGCTGGTTTATACTGGTTTATACTGGTTTATACTGGTTTGGACTGGTTTATACTGGTTTATACTGGTTTGGGCTGGGAGGGATTTTTGGGGAGAATTTTTGGGATTTTTGGGATGAATTTTTTGGGATTTTTTGGGTGAATTTTTTGGGATTTTTGGGATGAATTTTTTGGGATTTTTTGGGTGAATTTTTTGGGGATTTTTGGGATGAATTTTTTGGAATTTTTGGGAAGAATTTTTGGGATTTTTGGGGATTTTTGGAATGAATTTTGGGATGAATTTTGGAGGATTTTTGGGCTGAATTTTTTGGATTTTTGGGGTGAATTTTGGGGATTTTTTGGGGAGAATTTTTGGGATTTTTGGGATGAATTTTTTGGGATTTTTGGGGTGAATTTTTGGGGGTTTTGTGTGAACTTTTGGGGATTTTTGGGATGAATTTTAGGATGAATTTTGGAGGATTTTTGGAGTGAACTTTGGGGTTTTTTTTGGGGGGATTTTGGTTTAATTTTGGGATATTTTTGGTTGTTTTGGGCAAAATTTTGGGGATTTTTGGGGTGAATTTTTTGGGATTTCCAGAATTAATTTTGGGTGAATTTTGCAATATTTTTGGCTATTTTGGGCAAAGATTTGGGATTTTTTGCGGAATTTTTTGGGGTTGTTGGGATTAATTTTTGGGATTTTTTGCTGAATTTTTTGGATTTTTGGGATTAATTTTGGGGAATTTTGGAGGATTTTTGGGGGTTTTGGGAAGAATTTTTTGGGATTTTTGGGAAGAATTTTTGGGATTATGGGGATGAATTTTTCGGGATTTTTTGGCTGAATTTTTTGGGATTTTTGGGATGAATTTTTTGGGATTTTTGGGATGAATTTTTTGGGATTTTTGGGATGAATTTTTTGGGGATTTTTGGGATGAATTTTTTGGGATTTTTGGGGTGAATTTTGGGGATTTTTTGGGGGGGATTTTGGGTGAATTTTGGGGTATTTTTGGCTATTTGGGGGATTTTTGGGGTTAATTTTGGGATATTTTTGGTTGTTCTGGGGATTTTTGGGGTGAATTATGGGATGAATTTTGGAGAATTTTTGGAGTGAATTTTGGGGATTTTTTGGGGTAATTTTGGGTGAATTTTGGGATATTTTTGGCTGTTGTGGGCAAAATTTTGGGGATTTTTGTGGTGAATTTTGGGGTAAATTTTGGGGATTTTTGTGGTGAATTTTGGGGAATTTTGGACGATTTTTGGGGTGAATTTTGGGGCTTTTTTGGGGGGATTTTGGGTGAATTTTGGGATATTTTGGGCAAAATTTTGGGGATTTTTGGGTGAATTTTGGGATGAATTTTGGGGGATTTTTGGGGAGAATTTTTGGGATTTTTAGGATGAATTTTTGGGATTTTGGGATAAATTTTTTGGGATTTTTGGGGTGAATTTTTGGGATTTTTGGGGAGAATTTTTTTGGATTTTTGGGGTGAATTTTGGGGATTTTTTGGGGGGGATTTTGGGTGAATTTTGGGGTATTTTTGGCTATTTGGGGGATTTTTGGGGTTAATTTTGGGATATTTTTGGCTGTTTTGGGGATTTTTGGGGTTAATTTTGGGCAAAATTTTGGGGATTTTTGGGCTGAAGTTTTTGGGATTTCCGGAATTAATTTTGGGTGAATTTTGGGATATTTTGGGGTGAAATTTGGGGGATTTTTGGGGTTAATTTTGAGTTTTTAGGATGAATTTTGGTTCAATTTTGGGGTAAATTTTGGGGATGAATTTCAGGGATTTTTGGGATTAATTTTTTGGAAATTTTGGATTAATTTTGGGTAAATTTGGGGGATTTTTGGAGTTAATTTTGAGCTTTTAGGGTGAATTTTTGGTTCAATTTTGGGCTGAATTTTGGGGATTTGGGGATGAATTTTTTTTTATTATTTGGATTAATTTTGGATAAATTTTGGGGATTTTTGGGCGAATTTTGGGGTTTTCTGGGCTGAGTTTTGGGTCGAATTTTTGGGATTTTGGGGATGCATTTTAAAAGGTTTTTTGGGTGAATTTTGGGATATTTTTGGGTCTAATTTTGGGTGAAATTCAGGGGATTTTTGGGGTTAATTTTGAGCTTTTAGGGTGAAATTCGGGTCCAATTTTGGGGGGAATCTTAGGGATTTAAGGATGAATATTTTTTGAATTTTTGGATTAATTTTGGGTAAATTTTGGGGATTTTTGGGCGAATTTTGGGTATTTCTGGGCTGAGTTTTGGGTCGAATTTTTGGGATTTTGGGGGTGCATTTTGAAGGGTTTTTTTTGGGTGAATTTTGGGATATTTTGGGGTGAAATTTGGGGGATTTTTGGGGTTAATTTTGAGCTTTTTTTTCGTTCAGTTTTGGGGTCAATTTTGGGGATGAATTTCACGGATTTTTGGGATTAATTTTCTTGATTATTTTGATTAATTTTGGGTGAATTTTGGGGATTTTTGGGTGAATTTTTGGGATTTTTGGGTAAATTTTGGGGATTTTTGGTTGAATTTTGGGGTTTTTGGGGCGGGATTTTTCCCTAACTGTTTTTTACTGGTTTTTACTGGTTCTTACTGGTTTTTACTGGTTTTTACTGGGAGCAGCCCGAGGTGGTGCCGGTGGCGGCCGAGGCCCTGCCCCGAATTTTGGGGGAATTTTGGGATTCCCCAAATTCCCCATCCCCCGACCCCAAATCCTGGTTCGTGCTGGAGACGCTGCTGGAGGCGCTGGGTGAGCGAATTCGGGGAAATTTGGGAAATTTGGGAAATTTTGGATAAAATTTGGGAAAATTTGGGCAAATTTGGGATAATTTGGGCAAAATATGGCAAATTTCAGGAAAAAATTGGGAAAATTTGGGCAAGATTTGGGAAATTTTGAGTAAAATTTGGGGAAATTTGGGGAAGAATGGGGAAATTTGGGAAAATTTCGGAAAATTTGGGGAAATTTGGAAAAATTTGGTAAAATTTGGGGAACTTTGGGGAAATTTGGGCAAAATTTGGGGAAATTTGGGTAAATTCGGGAAAATTTGGGACTATTTGGGCAAAATTTGGGAAAATGTGGGAAAATTTGGGAAAATTTTGGAAAATTAGGGAAATGATGGGCAAAATTTGGGGAAATTTGGGGAAATTTGGGCAAAATTTCAGAAAATTTGGGGAAATTTTGGAAAATATGGGAAAATTTGATGAAGAATGGGGGAAATTTGGGAAAATTTGGGCAAAAATTGGGACATTTTGGGCAAGATTTAGGAAAAATTGGGGAAATTTGGGGGAATTTGGGCAAAATTTGGGAAAATTTAGGGAAATTTGGGGAATTTTGGGGAAATTTGGGCAAAATTCGGGATAATTTGGGAAAATTTGGGAAAATTTGGGAAAATTTGGGGAAGAATGGGGAAAAATCTGGGAAAATTGGGGAAAATTGAGGAAAATTTGAAAAAAATTGTAAATTTGGGGTGAAACGTGGAACATTTGGGGGAATATGGGGAAATTTGGGGGAAAATTTGTAAAAAAATTGGAAAATTTTGGAAAACATTGGGACGTTTGGGGGGAAATTGGGACATTTGGGCAAAAAATGGGGAAATTTGGGAAATTGGAAAAATTTGGGACATTTGAGGTAAAATTTGGGGGGAAATGGGGAAAATTTGGGCAAAAAATTAAAAAATTGTGGGGAAAATTGGAAAAATGAGGAAAATTTGGGAGAAAATAGGGAAAATAGGGAAAAAATTGGGAAAATTTGAGGGAAAATTGGAAAAAAATGGAGAAATTTGGACAAATTTGGTCAAAAATTTTGAAAAATTATGGGGAAAATTTGGGGGAAAATGGGAAAAAAATTGGGGAAATTCGGGCAAATTTTGGTAAAAATTTTGAAAAATTATGGGGAAAATTTGTTGGAAAAATGGGTAATATTTGGGCAAAAATGGAGAAATAAAGGGAAAAATTGGGAAAATTTGGGAGAAAACGAGGAAAAAATTGGGGAAATTCGGGCAAATTTATGCAAAAATTTTGAAAAATTATGGGGAAAATTTGGTGGGAAAATGGGTAAAATTTGGGCAAAAATGGGAAAAAATTGGGAAAATTTGGGGGGAAATTGGAAAAAAATTGGGCAAAATTGGGAAAATTTGGGTAAAAATTGTGAAAATTTGGGAAAAATGGGGGAAAATTGGGGAAAAAAATGAGGAAAATTTTCTTAACATTATCAATTTATTCTTAATTTTGAATAAATGAATTTTGGGTCAATTTTTGTCAATTTATTGCTAATTTTGGGTGAATTTTGGTGAGTTTTTGTCGATTTATTGTTGATTTTTGTGAATTTTGGGTGAATTTTGGTGAATTTTTGGTCGTTTTGAGTGGGGTTTTTTTTGCTGTTTCACGTTATTTTGTATTTAATTTGTATTTTCACTCACTAATTAGCGTTAATTGCCGTTAATTACCGCAGGTGAGGGGGTGCAGCCGTGGCTGCCTCAGGTGCTCCCCCGGATTTCGGCGGCTCTGGAGGCGCCGGCGGGTGGGGAGTTGGGGCTGAGCGCCCTCCACGCCCTGGGTGAGAAAAAACAGCCCAAAATCACACAAAAACACCCCAAAATCACACCAAAAATAGCCAAAAAATATCCCCAAATCACCCCAAAAATAGCCCAAAATTATACCAAAATTATCCTAAAAATGCCCTAAAAATAGCCCCGAAATAGCCCCAAAATCACCCCAAAAATATCCCCAAAAGAGCCCAAAAATATCCCCAAAATATCCCAGAAATAGCCCAAAATTATCTGAAAAATATCACCAAATCACCCGAAAAATATCCCCAAAACAGCCCAAAAATATCCCCAAAATCACCCAAAAATAGCCCAGAAATATCCCAACATTATACCAAAAATGCCCCAAAAATAGCCCCAAAATCACCCCAAAAATAGCTCAGAAATATCCCAGAAATATCCCCAAAATAGCCCAGAAATAGCCCAAAATTATCCCAAAAATGGCCTAAAAATAGCCCCAAAATAGTCTCAAAAATAGCCCAAAAATTATCCTAAAAAAGCCCTAAAAATATCCCCAAAAATATCCCCAAAATAGCTCAAAAATATCCCCAAATCACCCCAAAAACACCCCAAAATCACCCCAAAATCAGCCCAAAAAATCCCCAAATCACCCCCAAAATAGCCCCAAAATAGCCCAGAAATAGCCCAAAATCACCCCAAAAATATTCCCAAATCACCCCAAAAATATTCCCAAAATACCCCAAAAATAGCCCAGAAATATCCCAGAAATAGCTGCAAAATAGCCCCAAAATCACCCCAAAAATCACCCCAAAATCACCCCAAAAATACCCCAAATCACACCAAAAATAGCCCAGAAATATCCCAAAAATCACTCCAAAAATAGCCCAAAATTATCCTAAAAATGCCCTAAAAATACCCCCAAAATAGCCTCAAAAATAGCCAAAAATTATCCTAAAAATGCCCTAAAAATTGCCCAAAAATATCCCTAAAATCACCCCAAAAATAGCCCAGAAATATCCCAAAATTATACCAAAAATGCCCTAAAAATATCCCCAAATCACCCCAAAAATATCCCAAAAATAACCCCAAAAATAGCCCCAAAATCACCCCAAAAATAGCCCAAAAATAGCCCAGAAATAGCCCAAAATTATCCCAAAATCACCCCAAAAATAGCCCAAAAATTACCCAGAAATAGCCCAAAAATATCCCCAAATCAACCCAAAAATAGCTCAGAAATATCCCAAAATCACTCCAAATACACCCCAAAAATATCCCAAAATCACCCCAAAAATATCCCCAAAATAACCCAGAAATATCCCAAAATTGTTCCAAAAATCACCCCAAAATCACACCAAAAATAGCCCAAATCACCCCAAAAATATCCCCAAAAATATCCACAAATTATCCCAAAAATGCCCTAAAAATAACCCCAAAATAGACCCCAAAATAGCTCAAAAATATCCCCAAAAATAGCCCAAAAATATCCCCAAAATAACCCCAAAATCACCCCAAAAATATTCCCAAAATAGCCCAGAAATAGCCCCAAAATATCCCCAAAATATCCCAGAAATAGCCCCAAAATCACCCCAAAAATCACACCAAAAATATCCCCAAAATAACCCAGAAATAGCCCAAAATTATTCCAAAAATCACTCCAAAATCACCCCAAAAATACCCCAAAAATAGCCCCAAAATCACCCCAAAAATATCCCCAAAATAACCCAGAAATATCCCAAAAGTATTCCAAAAATCAACCCAAAATCAGCCCAAAATCACCCCAAAAATATTCTCAAAATATCCCCAAATCACCCCAAAAATAGCCCAGAAATATCCCAAAATTATCCTAAAAATGCCATAAAAATAGGCCCCAAAATAGCCCAGAAATAGCGCAAAAATAGCCCCAAAATAGCCCCACAATCACCCCAAAAAAATCCCCAAATCACCCCAAAATAACCCCAAAAATATCCCCAAAATAGCCCAGAAATATCCCAAAATTATTCCGTATAAAATTCCCAATTTTTCTCCCCAAAAATCCCAAAAAAATCCCAATTTTTCCCTCCAAAATCCCCATAAAATCCCCTAAAAGATTCCCAAAATCCCCCCAAAAAATCCAATTTTTTACCAAAATCCCCCAAAAAATCCCAAAAATTCCCCATAAAATCCCCACTTTTCACCCAAAAATTTCCCCCAAATTTCCCAAAAAATTCCCAAATTTCCCCCAGAAATTCAAAAAAAATCCCCCAAAAATGCCCTAAAAAATTCCCAAACTTTCTAGAAAAATTCCAGTTTTTTCCAAAAAATCCCCAAAATATCTGAATTTTACTCCCCATCTCTCCCTCAAAATTTTCCCTGAAAATCCCAAAAAATTCCCCCAAAATATCCCAATTTCCCCAACAAATTTGGAAAAGAATCTCCCAAAAATTTCACAAATTCCCCAAAAAATCCCCAAAAATTCGCCCAAAAATGCTCAAATTTCCCCCAAAAATTCTCAAAAAATGCTTAAAATTTCCCCAAAACTTCCGTATAAAATTCCCAATTTTTCCCCAAAAAATCCCCCAAAAAATCCCCAAAAATCCCCCCAAAAAATCCACATTTTTACCAAAAAATCCCCCAAATTTCCCCAAAACTTCCGTATAAAATTCCCAATTTTTCCCCCAAAAATCCCCGTTAAAAATCCCAATTTTTCCTCTAAAAAATTCCCAAAATTCCCCAAAAAAGTCCAATTTCTTACCAAAAAAATCCCCCAAAAATCCCAAAAATTCCCCGATTTTTCTCAAAATAAACCCCAAAAAATCCCAAAAATTCCCCATAAAATCCCCACATTTTCACCCCAAAATTTCCCCCCAAATTTCCCCAAAAATTCCCAAATTTCCTGTCAAATTTCCCCCAAAAATTAAAAAAAATCCCCCAAAAATCCCCTAAAAAATTCCCAAACTTCCTAGAAAAATTCCAGTTTTTTACCAAAAAAATCCCAAAAAAATCCCCAAAAAATCCCCAAAATATCTGAATTTTCTCCCCATATCTCCCCCCAAATTTTCCCTGAAAATCCAAAAAAATTCCCCCAAAATATCCCAATTTCCCCAATAAATTTGGAAAAGAATCTCCCAAAAATTTCACAAATTCCCCAAAAAATCCCCAAAAATTCGCCCAAAAATGCTCAAATTTCCCCCAAAAATTCACAAAAAATCCACAAAATTTCCCCAAATTTTTAGTATAAAATTCCCAATTTTTTCCCCAAATATCCCCTAAAAAATTCCCAAAATTACCCAAAAAAATCCAATTTTTTACCAAAAAAATCCCCAAAAAATCCCAAAAATTCCCCATAAAATCCCCAAAAAGTCCCCAAAAATCCCCCAAATTTCCCCAAAAATTCCCAAATTCCCTGTCAAATTTCCCCCAAAAATCCCAAAAAATTCCAAAAAATCCCCAATTTTCACCCCAAAATTTCCCCCAAATTTCCGCAAAAATTTGTCACAAAATCCCCAAAAAATCCCCTTAAAAATCCCCAAAATTCCCCCCAAAAATCAAATTTTTTACCAAAAAAACCCCCAAAAAATCCCAAAAATCCCCCGATTGTTCACCAAATAAACCCCCAAAAAAATCCCCAATAAAATCCCCAATTTTTACCCCAAATTTTCCCAAAATTTTTTCCCAAAATTCCCGAATTTCCCCCCAAAATTCCCATTTTTCCAGCCTGCAGCTGCGGCTCTCTGCCCCTCCCCCCCTCCATCATCGCCACCGTCTCCGCTCTGGCCCGGGGGGGGGAACAGCAGCTCCAGGCCCTGGGTGAGACTGGTTTGAACTGGTTTATACTGGTTTATACTGGTTTATACTGGGAGCGAAAAAACGGGGGAAAAACGGCGAAAATTGGGCAAAAAACGGCCAAAAAATGGCCAAAAAATTGGATTTTAAAGGGTTAAAAATGGGTGAAATGGGGTTTGGGGTTACTGGTTTGTACTGGTTTGTACTGGTTTGTACTGGTTTATATTGGTTTATACTGGTTTATACTGGGAGGGAACTGGGAGGGGGAAAATGGGGAGAAAATTGAAAAAAATTGGGGGAAAATGGGAAAAAATGGGGAAAAATTGGGGAAAAATGGGAAAAAATGGGGAAAGAATCGGATTTTAAAGGGTTAAAAATGGGTGAAATGGGGTTTGGAGTTACTGGTTTATACTGGTTTGGACTGGTTTGTACTGGGAGGGAGAAAATCGGGGAAAAATAGGAAAAAATGGGAAAAATTGGGGGAAAAATGGGAAAAATTGGGGGAAAAATGGGAAAAAATGGGGAAAATTTGGATTTTAAAGGGTTAAAAATGGGTGAAATTGGGTTTGGGGTTACTGGTTTATACTGGTTTGTACTGGTTTGTACTGGTTTATACTGGGAGGGAACTGGGAGGGAAAATTGGGGGAAAATGCAGAAAAATGGGGGGAAAATGGGGAAAAATGGGGAAAAAATGGGATTTTAAAGGTTTATACTGGTTTATACTGCTTTATACTGGTTTATACTGGTTTATACTGGTCCATACTGGTTCATACTGGTTTAAACTGGTTTTTACTGGTTCGTACTGGTTTAAACTGGTTTTTACTGGTCCCCAGAGGTCATGGCCGCCCTGGGCCCCGCCCAGGTGGGGGAGGGGCTGTTGGAGGCGCTGCAGGTCGGGCTGGGATTGGCCGAGAGCGGCGACAGCGACGCCACGCGGGTCACGTGAGTGACGAAATTCCCAAAATTCCGAATTCCCGAAATTCCCAAAATTCCCAAAATTCCAAATTCCCAAAATTCTAAAAATCACCAAAAATGCCCCAAATTCCCCCTTAGCCCCGCCCAGTACCCTTAAGCCCCGCCCACTGTCGTTAAGCCCCGCCCATACCACCATAACCACGCCCACACTACACAAGCCACGCCCCCGGTCTTTGGCCACGCCCATTTCTGGCTTTAGGTCGCTCCCAGTAACTCCCAGTTCATCCCAGTAACCCCAAACCCCAAACCAGTAACTCCCAGTTCATCCCAGTTCATCCCAGTAACCCCCAGTCCCTCCCAGTATGGCCCAATCCCCTCCCAGTTCCTCCCAGTAACCCCAAATCCCAAACCAGTAACTCCCAGTTCATCCCAGTAACCCCAAGTCCCATTCCCAGTCCATCCCAGTTTGTTCCCAGTCCTTCCCAGTTCCCTCCCAGTTCCTCCCAGTAACCCCAAAGCCCAAACCAGTAACTCCCAGTTCATCCCAGTAACCCCAAACCCCCTCCCAGTTAATCCCAGTCCCTCCCAGTATGGCCCAATCCCCTCCCAGTTCATCCCAGTTCATCCCAGTATGGTCCAGTCCCCTCCCAGTTCATCCCAGTAACCCCAAACCCCATTCCCAGTTCATCCCAGTCACTTCCAGTCCCTCCCAGTAACTCCCAATATGGCCCAGTCTCCTTCCCAGTCCATCCCAGTAACCCCAAACCCCGTCCGAGTTCATCCCAGTAACTCCCAGTAAAGTCCAGTCCCCTCCCAGTCCATCCCAGTTTGCTCCCAGTTCATTCCAGTATGGCCTAATCCCCTCCCAGTAACTCCCAGTTCATCCCAGTAACCCCAAACACAAACCAGTAACTCCCAATTCACTCCCAGTCCCTCCCAGTATGGCCCAATCTCCTTCCCAGTAACTCCCAGTTCATCCCAGTAACCCGAAACCCCCTCCCAGTTCATCCCAGTTCATCCCAGTATGGTTTAATCCCCTCCCAGTTCATCCCAGTCCATCCCAGTAACCCCAAACCCCATCCCAGTCCATCCCAGTAACTCCCAGTTCACCCCAGTATGGCCCAATCCCCTCCCAGTTCATCCCAGTTCATCCCAGTATGGTCCAGTCCCCTCCCAGTTCCTCCCAGTAACCCCAAATCCCATTCCCAGTTCATCCCAGTAACCCCAGACCCCAAACTAGTAACTCCCAGTTCACTCCCAGTCCATCCCAGTAATTCCCAGTTCATCCCAGTAACCCCAAGTCCCAGTCCCAGTTCATCCCAGTAACTCCCAGTAAAGTCCAGTCCCCTTCCCAGTTAATCCCAGTACATCCCAGTATGGCCCAATTCCCTCCCAGTTCATCCCAGTAACTCCCAGTCACTCCCAATCCATCCCAGTAACCCCAAACCCTAAACCAGTAACTCCCAGTTCACTCCCAGTTCATCCCAGTAACCCCCAGTTCATCCCAGTATGGCCCAAACCTCCTCCCAGTCATCCCAGTTCCTCCCAGTAACCCCAAAGCCCCTCCCAGTAACTCCCAGTAAAGTCCAGTCCCCTTCCCAGTTAATCCCAGTCCCTCCCAGTATGGCCCAATCTCCTTCCCAGTTCATCCCAGTTCATCCCAGTACCTCCCAATCCATCCCAGTAACCCCAAACCCCAAACCAGTAACTCCCAGTTCCCTCCCAGTTCATCCCCGTAACCCTAAACCCCATTCCCAGTTCATCCCAGTATGGCCCAATCTCCTCCCAGTCCCTCCCAGTTCACTCCCAGTCCCTCCCAGTATGGCCCAGTCCCTTCCCAGTTCAAACCAGTAACCCCAAACCCCCTCCCAGTTCATCCCAGTATGGCCCAATCTCCTTCCCAGTAACTCCCAGTTCATCCCAGTAACTCCCAGTAAAGTCCAGTCCCCTTCCCAGTTCATCTCAGTTCATCCCAGTTCATCCCAGTGACCCCAAATCCCATTCCCAGTTCATCCCAGTATGGCCCAGTTCCCTCCCAGTCCCTCCCAGTTGATCCCAGTAACTCCCAGTCCATCCCAGTCCCTCCCAGTAACTCCCAGTTCATCCCAGTATGGCCCAATCTCCTTCCCAGTAACTCCCAGTTCATCCCAGTAACCCCAAACCCCCTCCCAGTTCATCCCAGTTTGCTCCCAGTCCCTCCCAGTTTGATCCCAGTCCCTCCCAGTAACTCCCAGTTCCCTCCCAGTCCCTCCCAGTATAGCCCAGTCCCTCCCAGTTCATCCCAGTATAGCCCAATCTCCTTCCCAGTCCATCTCAGTAACTCCCAGTTCCCTCCCAGTTCATCCCAGTATGGCCCAGTTCATCCCAGTAACCCCAAGTCCCATTCCCAGTTCATCCCAGTATGGCCCAACCCCCTCCCAGTTCCCTCCCAGTCCCTCCCAGTCCCTCCCAGTCCCTCCCAGTCCCTCCCAGTCCCTCCCAGTAAAGTCCAGTCCCCTCCCAGTTCATTCCAGTAACTCCCAGTTCATCCCAGTAACCCGAAACCCCATTCCCAGTTCATCCCAGTTTGTCCCAGTTTCCTCCCAGTAACTCCCAGTTCATCCAAGTATGGCCCAATCCCCTCCCAGTCCCTCCCAGTTTGATCCCAGTTCATCCCAGTCCCTCCCAGTCCGTCCCAGTAACTCCCAGTCCCTCCCAGTAACTCCCAGTCCCTCCCAGTAACTCCCAGTCCCTCCCAGTTTGGCGCTGCTGGCGGCCGTCTCGGAGCTGTTGGGGGAGGGGACGGCGCCGCTGCTGCCGCGAGTGCTGCCGCTCCTGCAGGGGGCGCTGCGGCCCCCCCCGGCACTGGTTTGTACTGGTTTATACTGGTTTGTACTGGTTTGTACTGGTTTGGGCCTTGGGGTTACTGGTTTGTACTGGTTTATACTGGGAGGGGACTGGGAGGGGGTTTGGAGGGACTGGGAGGGAGTTAAAGGGTTAAAAATGGGTAAAAATGGGTAAAAATGGGGATTTTTTTATACTGGTTTATACTGGTTTATACTGGTTTGTACTGGTTTGGGGTTTGGGGTTACTGGTTTGTACTGGTTTATACTGGGAGGGTACTGGGAGGGACTGGGAGGGGGTTTGGAGGGACTGGGAGGGAGTTAAAGGGTTAAAAATGGGGAAAATGGGTGAAAATGGGGATTTTTTTATACTGGTTTATACTGGTTTGTACTGGTTTATACTGGTTTGGGGTTTGGGGTTACTGGTTTGTACTGGTTTGGACTGGTTTATACTGGGAGGGGACTGGGAGGGGGTTTGGGGTTGGTGTGAGGGAGTTAAAGGGTTAAAAATGGGATAAAATGGGGGAAAATGGGGAAAATTGGGATTTTTTATACTGGTTTGTACTGGTTTGTACTGGTTTGGGCCTTGGGGTTACTGGTTTATACTGGGAGGGCACTGGGAGGGACTGGGAGGGGATTTGGAGGCACTGGGAGGAAGTTAAAGGGTTAAGAATGGGGGGAAATGGAAAAAAAAGGGGATATTTTATACTGGTTTATACTGGTTTGTACTGGTTTGTACTGGTTTGGGGTCTGGGGTTACTGGTTTGGACTGGTTTATACTGGGAGGGCACTGGGATGAACTGGGAGGGGATTTGGGGGCACTGGGAGGGAGTTAAAGGGTTAAAAATGGGGAAAAATGGGGGAAAATGGGGAAATTTGGGATTTTTTTATACTGGTTTATACTGGTTTATACTGGTTTGTACTGGTTTGGGGTTTGGGGTTACTGGTTTGTACTGGGATGAACTGGGATGGACTGGGAGGGGTTTGGGGGTGCTGGGAGGGAGTTAAAGGGTTAAAAATGGGGAAAAATGGGGGAAAATTGGGGAAAATTGGGATTTTTTATACTGGTTTATACTGGTGTATACTGGTTTATACTGGTTTGTACTGGTTTGGGCCTTGGGGTTACTGGTTTGTACTGGTTTATACTGGGAGGGCACTGGGAGGGGGTTTGGGGGTGGTGGGAGGGAGTTAAAGGGTTAAAAATGGGATAAAATGGGGGAAAAATTGGAAAAATGGGGATTTTTTATACTGGTTTATACTGGTTTGTACTGGTTTATACTGGTTTATACTGGTTTGTACTGGTTTGGGGTTTGGGGTTACTGGTTTATACTGGGAGGGGACTGGGAGGGGGTTTGGGGCCACTGGGAGGGACTTAAAGGGTTAAAAATGGGATAAAATGGGGGAAAATTTGGGAAAATTGGGATTTTTTATACTGGTTTATACTGGTTTATACTGGTTTATACTGGTTTATACTGGTTTATACTGGTCTATACTGGTTTATACTGGTCTATACTGGTTTATACTGGTTTGGGTCCATACTGGTCCATACTGGTCCATACTGGTCCATATCCCCCCCAGCCCCCCTCCGACGCTCCTGATTGGCTGCTGGGTTTCCATGACGACGAGGAGGGGGCGGAGCCAATGGAGGAGGATGACGTCAACGAGTGGGCGGAGCCTGAGCAGTGAGTGGGCGTGGCCTGGGCCGGGTGGGCGTGGCCTGGGCCGGGTGGGCGTGGTTTAATCCTCATTAATATTCATGCCCCGCCCCCTGCAGGGCGGAAGTGGGCGGAGCTTTCCCCGGATTGGCTGAGGCGGCTCTGGGGGCGTTGGGGGAACTGGCGGAGAACTGCGGGTAACTGGTTTATACTGGTTTGTACTGGGAATGGGTTTGGGGTTACTGGTTTGTACTGGGAATGGGTTTGGGGTTACTGGTTTGTACTGGGAATGGGTTTGGGGTTACTGGTTTGTACTGGGAATGGGTTTGGGGTTACTGGTTTGTACTGGGAATGGGTTTGGGGTCACTGGTTTGTACTGGTTTGTACTGGGAATGGGTTTGGGGTTACTGGTTTGTACTGGGAATGGGTTTGGGGTTACTGGTTTGTACTGGGAATGGGTTTGGGGTTACTGGTTTGTACTGGGAATGGGTTTGGGGTTACTGGTTTGTACTGGGAATGGGTTTGGGGTTACTGGTTTGTACTGGGAATGGGTTTGGGGTTACTGGTTTGTACTGGGAATGGGTTTGGGGTTACTGGTTTGTACTGGGAATGGGTTTGGGGTTACTGGTTTGTACTGGGAATGGGTTTGGGGTTACTGGTTTGTACTGGGAGGGGGTTTGGGGTTACTGGTTTATACTGGGAATGGGTTTGGGGTTACTGGTTTGTACTGGGAGGGGGTTTGGGGTTACTGGTTTGTACTGGGAGGGAACTGGGAGGGAAAAATGGGAAAAAAATTGGGGGAAAAATGGGGAAAAATCGGATTTTAAAGGGTTAAAAATGGTTGAAATGGGGGTTGGGGTTACTGGTTTGTACTGGTTTATACTGGTTTATACTGGTTTATACTGGGAGGGAAAAAATGGGGGAAAAATGGGGAAAAATGGAAAAAATGGGAAAAAATTGGGGGAAAATGGTAAAAAATAGGGAAAAAATTGGATTTTAAAGGGTTTATACTGGTTTATACTGGTTTGTACTGGTTTATACTGGGAGGGAACTGGGAGGGAAAATTGGGGGAAAAATGGGAAAAATTGGGGGAAAATGGGGAAAAGTCGGGTTTTAAAGGGTTAAAAATGGGAATTTTTGGAGTTACTGGTTTGGACTGGTTTATACTGGTCCATACTGGTCCATACTGGTCCATACTGGTCCATACTGGTTTATACTGGTTTATACTGGTCCATACTGGTTTATACTGGTTTTTACTGGTCCCAGCTCCGCGCTGCTGCCCCACCTGGAGCCCCTCCTGGCGGCCATCTTGGATCTGACCCAGGTGAGCCCCTCCCAGTCCCTCCCAGTACAAACCAGTAACCCCGAACCCCCTCCCAGTACAAACCAGTACAAACCAGTACAAACCAGTAACTCCCAGTTCCCTCCCAGTTCCCCCAGTGCCGCGTCAGAGGCGCCGCCTACGAAGCCCTGGGGAGCCTCAGCTGCTGCGGGAGGGGGCCGCAAACTGGTTTGTACTGGTTTATACTGGTTTGGGCTGGTTTGGGCTGTTTTATACTGGTTTATACTGGTTTGTACTGGTTTATACTGGTTAGATTGGTTTATACTGGTTTATACTGGTTTATACTGGTTTATACTGGTTAGATTGGTTTATACTGGTTTATACTGGTTTATACTGGTTTATACTGGTTTAAACTGGGATTTTTTGCCTGGGAGAGCAACTGGGAGCATCAAAAATGGGGAAAATGGGAAAAATGGGAAAAAATAGGAAAAAAATTGAGAAAAATGGGAAAAAATCAGAAAATAATGAGGAAAAATGGGGAAAAAAGGGTTAAATTGGTTTGTACTGGTTTGCACTGGTTTCTACTGGTTTATACTGGTTTATACTGGGATTTTGTGCACCAAAAATGGGAAAAAATAGAAAAAAATAGCAAAAAATGGCAAAAAATGGGAAAAAAATGGAAAAAAAAGGGGGGAAAATTGGGTAAAAAGGGTCAAACTGGTTTGTTCTGGTTTATACTGGATTATACTGGTTTAAACTGGGATTTTTTGCCTGGGAGAGCAACTGGGAGCATCAAAAATGGGGAAAAATGGGGAAAAAAGGGGAAAAAAATTGGAAAAAATTGGAAAATAATGAGGAAAAATGGGGATAAAAGGGTTAATTGGTTTGTACTGGTTTATACTGGTTTATACTGGTTTATACTGGGATTTTGATCACCAAAAATGGGAAAAAATTGAAAAAAATACGAAAAAATGGCAAAAAATGGGAAAAAATTGGAAAACAACGAGGGGAAATGGGGAGAAAAGGGTCAAACTGGTTTGTACTGGTTTATACTGGTTTATACTGGGATTTTGTGCACCAAAATGGGTCAAAAATGGGAAACATTGGGAAAAAATTCCAAAAAAATGGGGAAAAAAGGGGTTAAACTGGTTTATACTGGTTTATACTGGATTATACCGGTTTATACTGGTTTATAGTGGTTTGTACTGGTTTAAAGTGGGAAGAAATTGGGAAAAATTGGGAAAAAATGGGAAAAATGGACAAAATGGGAAAAAATGGGGGGAAAAGGGTCAAACTGGTTTATACTGGTTTGTACTGGTTTATACTGGGATTTTGATCACCAAAATGGGTCAAAAATTGGGAAAATGGGAAAAAATGGGGGAAAAATGGGGAAAAAATGGGGAAAAAAGGGTTAAACTGGTTTATACTGGTTTGAACTGGTTTATACTGGTTTGAGCTGGTTTATACTGGTTTAAAGTGGGAAAAAAATGGGAAAAATTGGGAAAAAAGGAAAAAATGGGAAAAAAAGGGGAAAATGGGGGGTAATGGGGGGAAAAAGGGGTTAAACTGGTTTATACTGGTTTGTACTCGTTTGAACTGGTTTGAACTGGTTTATACTGGTTTGTACTGGTTTGAACTGGTTTATACTGGTTTGTACTGGGATTTTGATCACCAAAATGGGTCAAAAACAGGAAAAATTGGAAAAAAAAGGACAAAATGGCAAAAAATGGGTAAGAAATGGGAAAACAACAGGGGGAAATGGGAAGAAAAGGGTCAGACTGGTTTATACTGGTTTATACTGGTTTATACTGGGATTTTTTTGCCTGGGAGAGCAACTGGGAGCATCAAAAATGGGGAAAATGGGGAAAAATGGGAAAAATTGTAAAAAATGGGAAAAAAAGGGAAAAATTGGAAAAAATGGGAAAAAATAAGAAAAAATGGGAAAAAATGAGGAAAAATGAGCAAAAAAGGGTTAAACTGGTTTGTACTGGTTTGTACTGGTTTATACTCGTTTATACTGGTTTATACTGGTTTGTACTGGTTTATACTGGTTTATACTGAGATTTTGTGCACCAAAAATGGGAAAAAATGGCAAAAAATAAGAAAAATGGAAAAAATTAGGAAAAAATTGGGAAAAATGGGTAAAAAAGGGGTTAAACTGGTTTGTACTGGTTTTTACTGGTTTTTACTGGTTTAAAGTGGGAAAAAATTGGGAAAAATTGGGAAAAAGGGAAAAAATGGGGAAAAAATGGGGAAAATGGGGGGAAAAGGGTCAAACTGGTTTATACTGGTTTGTACTGGGATTTTGATCACCAAAAATGGGTCAAAAATGGGAAAAATGGGAAAAAGTGGCAAAAAATGGGAAAAAATTTGGAAAACAACGGGGGGAAATGGGGAAAAAAGGGTCAAACTGGTTTGTACTGGTTTATACTGGTTTATACTGGTTTATACTGGGATTTTGTGCACCAAATTGGGTCAAAATGGGAAAAATGGGAAAAAATGAGGAAAAAATGGGAAAAAAAGGACAAAATGGGAAAAAATGAAGGAAAATGGGGGGGGAAAGGGTCAAACTGGTTTGTACTGGTTTATACTGGGATTTTGTGCACCAAAAATGGGAAAAAATGGAAAAATTGGGTAAAAATTTGGAAAAATTGGGGAAAAAATGGGGGAAAAAGGGTTAAACTGGTTTATACTGGTTTGAACTGGTTTATAGTGGTTTATACTGGTTTATACTGGTTTAAAGTGGGAAAAAATTGGGAAAAATTGGGAAAAAATGAGAAAAAAGGACAAAATGAGAAAAAATGGGGAAAATTGGGGGAAAAGGGTCAAACTCGTTTGTACTGGTTTATACTGGTTTATACTGGGATTTTGATCACTGAAATGGGCTAAAAATGGGAAAAATGGGTTAAAAATGGGAAAAAATGGGTGAAAAGGGGTTAAACTGGTTTATACTGGTTTATACTGGGATTTTGATCACCAAAATTTGTCAAAAATGGGAAAAATGGGAAAAAAATTGGAAAAAATTGGGGAAAATTGGGGAAAAAATGGGAAAAAAAGGGGTTAAACTGGTTTATACTGGTTTAAACTGGTTTATACTGGTTTATACTGGGATTTTGTGCACTAAAAATGGGTCAAAAATGGGAAAAATTGGGAAAAATTCAGGAAAAAAAGGAAAAATTGGGGAAAGAGGGGTTAAACTGGTTTATACTGGTTTATACTGGTTTGTACTGGTGTTTACTGGTTTATACTGGGATTTTGATCACCAAAATGGGTCAAAAATGGGAAAAATGGGAAAAAATTGGGAAAAAATGGGGAAAAAAGGACAAAATGGGAAAAAATGTGGGGAAATGGGGGGAAAAAGGGTCAAACTGGTTTGTACTGGTTTGTACTGGTTTATACTGGTTTATACTGGGATTTTGTCCACCAAAAATGGGTCAAAAATTGGAAAAATGGGGAAAAAATGGGAAAAAAAGGAAAAACTGGGAAAAAATAGGGGAAAATGGGGGGAAAAGGGTCAAACTGGTTTATACTGGTTTATACTGGTTTTTACTGGTTTATACTGGGATTTTGATCACCAAAAATGGGTCAAAAATGGGAAAAATTGGAAAAAATTGGGAAAAAATTTGGAAAAGGGACAAAACTGGGAAAAAATAGGGGAAAATGGGCGGAAAATGGGTCAAACTGGTTTGTACTGGTTTATACTGGTTTATAGTGGTTTATACTGGGATTTTGATCACCAAAATAGGTGAAAAATGGGAAAAATTGGAAAAAAATTCAGAAAAAATGGGGAAAAATGGGGAAATGGTTTGTACTGGTTTGAACTGGTTTATACTGGTTTGTACTGGTTTATACTGGTTTATACTGGGATTTTGATCAACAAAATGGGTCAAAAATGGGAAAAATGGGAAAAAATTGGGAAAAAATTGGAAAAAAGTGGGTAAACTGGTTTATACTGGTTTATACTGGTTTATAGTGGTTTAAAGTGGGAAAAAATAGGGAAAAATTAAGAAAAAATGGGAAAAAAGGAAAAAGTGGGAAAAAAATAGGAGGAAATGGGGGAAAAAGGGTCAAACTGGTTTGTACTGGTTTGTACTGGTTTGTACTGGTTTATACTGGTTGAAAGTGGGAAAAATTGGGAAAAAATGGGAAAAATAGGAAAAAATGGGAAAAAATAGGGGGAAATGGGGGGAAAAAGGGTCAAACTGGTTTGTACTGGTTTATACTGGTTTGTACTGGGATTTTGTGCACCAAAAATGGGGCAAAAACGGGAAAAATTGGGAAAAAATTCAGAAAAAATAGGGGAAAATGGGGGGAAAAGGTGTTAAACTGGTTTGAACTGGTTTATACTGGTTTGAACTGGTTTATACCGGTTTGAACTGGTTTATACTGGTTTATACTGGTCCATACTGGTTTGTACTGGTTTATACTGGTTTATACTGGTCCATACTGGTTTTTACTGGTCCATACTGGTTTATACTGGTCCATACTGGTTTATACTGGTCCATACTGGTTTATACTGGTTTATACTGGTTTATACTGGTCCATACTGGTCCATACTGGTTTATACTGGTCCATACTGGTTTCCGCAGGCCCCTCCCCCCCCCACCAGGGGGCGTTCCGGGCCCTGCTGGAGGGGCTGCGGGCGGAGCCGGAAGTGGGCGGGGCCTTGGGGGCGGTGGGCGGGGTCGGGCGGATCCTGCAGCCCCCAGGCCACGCCCCCGCGGAATGGCTGGAGCCCATTGGCCGAGCCCTGTGTGACGTCATCGCCGGGCAGGTAAATGGGGGGCGGGGCTTAAATGGGGTGGGCGTGGCTTAAATGGAATGGGCGTGGTTTAAATGGGGTGGGCGTGGCTTAAAGTGATGTGGGCGTGGTTTAAGTAAATGTGGGCGTGGCTTAAAGGGAAATAACCAATGGGGGCGTGGCTTAAATAGGAATAACCAATGGGGGCGTGGTTTAAAGGTTGGTGGGCGTGTCTTAAAGGGGAATAACCAATGGGGGCGTGGTTTAAAGGTTGGTGGGCGTGGCTTAAAGGGGAATAACCAATGGGGGCGTGGCTTAAAGGTTGGGGGCGTGGCTTAAAGGGGAATAACCAATGGGGGCGTGGCTTAAAGTGGAATAACCAATGGGGGCGTGGCTTAAATTGGAATAACCAATGGGGCGTGGTTTAAAGGTTGGGGCGTGGCTTAAAAGGGAATAACCAATGGGGGCGTGGTTTAAAGGTTGGGGGCGTGGCTTAAATAGGAATAACCAATGGGGGGCGTGGTTTAAAGGTTGGGGGCGTGGCTTAAAAGGGGAATAACCAATGGGGGCGTGGTTTAAAGGTTGGGGGCGTGGCTTAAAGGGGAATAACCAATGGGGGCGTGGTTTAAAGGTTGGTGGGCGTGGCTTAAAGGGGAATAACCAATGGGGGCGTGGTTTAAAGGTTGGGGGCGTGGCTTAAAGGGGAATAACCAATAGGGGCGTGGTTTAAAAATTGGGGGCGTGGCTTAAAGGGGAATAACCAATGGGGGCGTGGTTTAAAGGTTGGGGGCGTGGCTTGAAGGGAAATAACCAATGGGGGCGTGGTTTAAAGGTTGGGGGCGTGGCTTAAATGGGAATAACCAATGGGGGCGTGGTTTAAAGGTTGGTGGGCGTGGCTTAAATAGGAATAACCAATGGGGGCGTGGTTTAAAGGTTGGGGGTGTGGCTTAAAGTGAAATAACCAATGGGGGCGTGGTTTAAATGTTTGGGGGCGTGGTTTAATGAGGTGGGCATGGCTTATTAAGCCCCGCCCACCCTCCTTTTTTACAGATCGCCTGTTTGAGAGCGAATGGGGACGGTGACGATGAGGAGGAGGTGGGGAGAGGCTCCCAGTTCATCCCAGTTCATCCCAGTAACCCCAAATCCCATTCCCAGTTCATCCCAGTATGGCCCAATCTCCTTCCCAGTAACTCCCAGTATAAACCAGTTCCCTCCCAGTTCATCCCAAACTCTTCCAGTTTCATCCCAGTTCATCCCAGTCCCTCCCAGTATAAACCAGTTCCCTCCCAGATCCATCCCAGTAACCCCAAACCCATTCCCAGTTCCCTCCCAGTCCCTCCCAGTACATCCCAAACCCTCCCAGTTTGATCCCAGTTCATCCCAGTAACCCCAAACCCCTTTCCCAGTATGGCCCAGTCCCTCCCAGTTCATCCCAGTTCCCTCCCAGTTCCTCCCAGTCTGTCGTAGTCCATCCCAGTTACCCCAAATTCTATTCCCAGTTCATCCCAATCCCCCCCAGTATAAACCAGTTCCCTCCCAAATCCCTCCCAGTCCATCCCAGTAACCCCAAACCCATTCCCAGTTCATCCCAGTATGGCCCAGTTCCCTCCCAGTCCCTCCCAGTTCATCCCAGTCGCTCCCAGTATAAACCAGTTGCCTCCCAGTTCCTCCCAGTAACCCCAAACCCCATTCCCAGTTCATCCCAGTATGGCCCAATCCCTCCCAGTTCATCCCAATCCCTCCCAGTATAAACCAGTTCCCTCACAGATCCCTCTCAGTCCCTCCCAGTAACCCCAAACCCATTCCCAGTTCATCCCCGTATGGCCCAGTCACCTCCCAGTTCCCTCCCAGTCCCTCCCAGTATAACCCAAACCACCTCCCAGTCCCTCCCAGTATAAACCAACTCCCTCCCAGTTCATCCCAGTTTGATCCCAGTTCCTCCCAGTAACCCCAAACCCCATTCCCAGTTCTTCCCAGTCCCTCCCAGTTCCCTCCCAGTAACTCCCAGTCTCTCCCAGTTTGCCCAGTTTGGCTTCCCAGTCCCTCCCAGTCCATCCCAGTATGGGCCCAGTCCTCTCCCAGTCCCTCCCAGTTCATCCCAGTTTGATCCCAGTTCACCCCAGTAACCCCAAACCCCAGTCCCAGTCCATCCCAGTATGACCCAGTTCCTTCCCAGTCCCTCCCAGTCCCTCCCAGTCCCTCCCAGTTCCCTCCCAGTACAAACCAGTACCCCCATCCCTCCCAGACCTCTCAGCGCTCCGAACTCCGCGAGACCGCCTCCGATTGGCTGCCGGAAGTGGGCGTGGCCATGTCGCGGGTGGGCGTGGCCGGGACCGGAAGGGGCGTGTCCTTCCCGCCCCGCCTCTTCCGCCGAATCCTCCCCTCCCTATTGGCCGCTCTGGCTGACCCCGCCCACCCGGGGGCGCGGTCCTGGGCGGGGGCCGTGATTGGCCAGCTGGGCCACGCCCTCGGCGCCGAGGCCACGCCCTTTCTGCCGGATTTGGTTCCCGCCTTCCGATTGGCCGCCGGCGACGCCGACCCCGAGGTCAGGGCCAACGCCTTCTACGCCATTGGTCGGATCGGAGAGGCCGTGGGACACGCCCACCAGGAGTATCCGCCAATCGGGATGGAGGGGGAGGGGCTTTGGGGGTGATAAGCCACTCCCACCACCTTTAAGCCACGCCCACATTGCCTTAAGCCACGCCCACTTTTCATTAATATTCCGTAAGCCACGCCCACATTTCCGTAAGCCACGCCCACTTTTAATTTTTATTAATCTGCGCCCATTATCCGTTAGGCCACGCCCACTTTCATTAACATTCATTGGCCACGCCCACTCTCCATTAATATTATTTAAGCCACGCCCACAATCCCTTAAGCCACGCCCACTTTTCATTAATATTCATTAAGCCACACCCACCTTTTGTTAATATTATTTAGGCCACGCCCACATTCCCTTAAGCCACACCCACTCTTCATTAATAGTATTTAAGTAACGCCCACATTTCCTTAAGCCACGCCCACATTTCAATAATATTCATTAAGCCACGCCCACATTGCCTTAAGCCACGTCCACTTTTAATTATCTTTAAGCCACGCCCACAATCCATTAGACCACACCCACTTTCAATTAGTATACCCTAAGCCACGCCCACTTTTCATTAATATTCCTTAAGCCACGCCCATATTTTATATGGAATTAAGCCCCGCCCACATCCATTAAAACCCCTTAAATTATGCCCACATTGCATTAATTAACATTAAGCCCCGCCCACATTCACTCAAAACTCCTTAAGCCACGCCCACATTGCATTAATTAGCCTTAAGCCCCGCCCACATTGCATTATTATTCTTTAAGCCACGCCCACATTGCATTAATTAGCCTAAAGCCCCGCCCACATTTTAATAAAACACCTTAAACTACTCCCACATTGCATTAATTAGCCCTAAGCCACGCCCACATCCCTTTAAAACCCCTTAAGCCCCGCCCACATTGTAATTAAAGGGCTCCAAGCCCCGCCCACAGCTCTTAAACCACGCCCAATTTGCATTAATTAACATTAAGCCCCGCCCACATCCATTTAAAACACCTTAAGCCCCTCCCACCACCCTTAAGCCCCGCCCACATCCCCTTAAACCACGCCCACATTGCATTAATTAGCCTTAAGCCACGCCCACATTCATTTAAAACCCCTTAAACCACGCCCACATTGCATTAATTAGCCTTAAGCCCCGCCCACATTCTCTTAAAACCCCTTAAACCACGCCCACATTGCATTAATTAGCCTTAAGTCCCGCCCACATTCCATTAAAACACCTTAAACCACGCCCACATTGCATTATTTAGCCTTAAGCCCCGCCCACATCCCATTAAAACCCCTTAAGCCCCGCCCACATTGCATTAATTAGTCTTAAGCCCCGCCCGCAACCATTTAAAACCCCTTAAACCACGCCCACATTGCATTAATTATCCTTAAGCCACGCCCACATTCCATTAAAACCCCTTAAACCACGCCCACATTGCATTAATTGGCCTTAAGCCCCGCCCACATTGTAATTAAAGGGCTCCAAGCCCCGCCCACCGCTCTTAAACCACGCCCAATTTTCATTAATTAGCATTAAGCCCCGCCCACATCCAGTTAAAACCCCTTAAGCCCCTTCCACTACCCTTAAGCCCCGCCCACATCCCCTTAAACCACGCCCAGATTGCATTAATTAGCATTAAGCCACGCCCACATCCATTAAAACCCCTAAAACCACGCCCACATTGCATTAATTAGCCTTAAGCCACGCCCACATCAAATTAAAACCCCTTAAATTATGCCCACATTTTGTTAATTAGAATTAAGCCCCTCCCACCACACTTAAGCCCCTCCCACATTCTTTAAAACACCTTAGGCCCCGCCCACATCCCATTAAAACCCCTTAAACCACGCCCACATTGCATTAATTAACCTTAAGCCCCGCCCCTATTTCTTTTAAACTTTTTAAGCCATGCCCACATTTAATTAAAGCCCCTTGAACCACGCCCACATTGCATTAATTAACCCTAAGCCCCGCCCACATCCATTTAAAACCTCTTAAGCCCCTCCCACCACATTTAAGCTCCACCCACATCCCCTTAAACCACGCCCACATTACATTAAATAGCATTAAGCCCCACCCACATTCATTAAAACCCCTTAATTTTTGCCTATAGTGCATTAATTAGCCTTAAACCACGCCCACATTGCATTAATTAGCCTTAAGCCTCTCCCACATCTTATTAAAACCCCTTAAACCACGCCCACATTGCATTAATTAGCCTTAAGCCCCACCCACATCCAATTAAAACCCCTTAAGCCCCGCCCACATCATATTAATTAGCCTTAAGGCCTGCCCACATCCTTAAAAACCCCTTAAACCACACCCACATCTCATTAATTAGCCTTAAGCCCCGCCCACATTTGATTAAAACCCCTTAAATTATGCCCACATTGCATTAATTAGCCCTAAGCCCCGCCCACATTGCATTAATTAGTCTTAAGCCCCGCCCACATCCATTTAAAACCCCTTAAGCCCCTCCCACCACCCTTAAGCTCCGCCCACATCCTCTTAAACCACGCCCGCATTGCAATAATTAACCTTAAGCCCCGCCCACATTGCATTATTTAGTCTTAAGCCCCGCCCACATCCTATTAAAACCCCTAAACCACGCCCACATTGCATTAATTAGCCTTAAGCCACGCCCACATTCCCTTAAAATCCCTTAAGCCCCGCCCACATCCCATTAAAACCCATTAAACCACACCCACATCTCATTAATTAGCATTAAGCCCCACCCACATTTTAATTAAAGGTCTCCAAGCCCCGCCCACCCCTCTTATATCACGCCCAATTTGCATTAATTAACCTTAAGCCACACCCACATCCCTTTAAAACCACCTAAACCACGCCCACATTGCATAAATTATCCTTAAGCCCTGCCCACATCCTTAAAAACCCCTTAAGCCACGCCCACACTGCATTAATTACCCTTAAGCCCCGCCCACTCTCTATTAAAACCCCTTAAACTACGCCCATATTGCATTAATTAGCCTTAAGCCCCGCCCACATTTACTTAAAACCCCTTAAACCACGCCCACATTGCATTAATTGGCCTTAAGCCCCGCCCACATTCATTTAAAACCCTTTAAACCACGCCCACATCGCATTAATTAACATTAAGCCCCGCCCACATTAATTAAAAACCCCTTTAATTACGTCCACATTGCATTAATTAGCATTAAGCCACTCCCACATTGCATTAAAACCCCTTAAGCCCCGCCCACATTCCATTAATTACTCTTAAGCCCCTCCCACATTGTAATTAAAGGGCTCCAAGCCCCGCCCACCACTCTTAAATCACGCCCAATTTGCATTAATTAACCTTAAGCCCCACCCACATCCATTTAAAACCCCTTAAGCCCCTCCCACCACCCTTAAGCCCCGCCCACATTCCCTTAAACCACGCCCAGATTCCATAAATTAGCTTTAAGCCCCTCCCACATTACATTAATTACCCTTAAGCCCCGCCCACATTTAATTAAAACCCCTTAAACCACGCCCAGTTTGCATTAACTAACCTTAAGCCATGCCCACATTGCATTAATTAGCCTTAAAGCCCGCCCACATATCATTAAAACCCCTCAAGCCACGCCCATATTTCATTAATTAGCCTTAAGCCCCACCCACATCCGTTAAAACCCCTTAAGCCCCGCCCACATCGCATAAATTAGCCTTAAGCCCTGCCCACATTGCATAATTTAGCACTAAGCCCCTCCCACCACCCTTAAGCCACGCCCACATCCCATTAAACCACGCCCACATTGCATTAATTAGCCTTAAACCACGCCCACATTGCATAAATTAACCCTAAGCCCCGCCCACATTCCCTTTAAAGGCATTAGGCCACGCCTCCTTCCCCTAAGCCACGCCCACATGTCAATCAAACCCGCAAACCCCGCCCCCATTTCCCATATTAGCATAAGCCCCGCCCCTTTCCTTTTAAAGCCACGCCCCCATGTCAATCAAACCCTTAAGCCCCGCCCCAAATCCCACATTAGCATAAGCCCCGCCCCTTTCCCTTTAAGCCACGCCCACATGTCAATCAAACCCGCAAACCACGCCCCCATTTCCCGCCAAACCACGCCCCTTTTTCCTTAATGAGATGCAGGGGGGCGTGGCCGGGGGCGGAGCTTTGCTGCCACGCCCTCCGGGGGGAGGGGCCGGGGCGGGTCCGGGACAACATTTTGGGGGCGTTGGTGCGACAGAGGGGGGCGCCCCTCCCGCAGGTGGGTACTGGTTTATACTGGTTTGTACTGGGAGGGACTGGGAGGGGAAAAAAGGGGGAAAAATGGGGCGAAAACGGCGAAAATTGGGTGAAAATTGGGCAAAAAATGGGGAAAAATGGGGGAGAAAGGGTTAAAAATGGGGTGTTCAGTACTGGTTTGTACTGGTTTATACTGGTTTATACTGGTTTGTACTGGGAGGGACTGGGAGGGACTGGGAGGTGAAAAAATGGGGCAAAAACGGCGAAAATTGGGAAAAAAATGGCGAAAATTGGGCAAAAAACGGGCGGAAAATGGGGAAAAATGGGGGAGAAAGGGTTAAAAATGGGGTGTTCAGTACTGGTTTGTACTGGTTTGTACTGGTTTGTACTGGTTTGTACTGGGAGGGACTGGGAGGGGGGAAAGGGTGAAAAAATGGGGAAAAACGGCAAAAATTGGGCAAAAAAGGGTGAAAAATGGGGAAAAATGGAGGAGAAAGGGTTAAAAATGGGGGAAATGGGGGTTTGGCTTTACTGGTTTGTACTGGTTTATACTGGTTTGTACTGGTTTGTACTGGTTTATACTGGTTTGTACTGGTTTGTACTGGGAGGGACTGGGAGGGACTGGGAGGGGAAAAATGGGGAAAAAGCGCGGAAAAATGGGGAAAAAATGGGTTAAAAATGGGGAGAAAAGGGTTAAAAATTGGGGTTTGGTACTGGTTTATACTGGTTTATACTGGTTTATACTGGTTTTTACCATTTTTTTACTATTTCTTCCCGGTTTTTTCTGCTTTTTTCACCTATACTGGTCTGTAGTGGTTTATAGTGGTTTATACTGGTTTTTACTGGTTTTTACAATTTTTTAACCATTTTTTACCATTTTTTTCCGCTTTTTTTGTTGTTTTTTACTCCCTATACTGGTCCATACTGGTTTATACTGGTTTATACTGCTCCATACTGGTTTATACTGGTCTATATCATTGACCTCATACTGGTTTATACTGGTTTATACTGGTTTATACTGGTTTATACTGGTTTGTACTGGTTTATACTGGTTTATACTGGTTTGAACTGGTTTATACTGGTCCATACTGGTTTTTACTGTTTTTTTACTGGTTTTTACATTTTTTTTCCATTTTTTACCGGGTTTTTTTTGTCCATACTGGTTTATACTGGTCCAAACTGGTCCATACTGGTCCATACTGGTTTGTACTGGTTTATACTGGTTTATACTGGTCTGATCCGGTTCCCTCAGGTGCTGCCGCTGGTTTTGGGGGCGTTGCCGATTTCGGAGGATTTCGAGGAGGAGGAGCCGGTGCTGAAATTCCTTCTGGGGGCGGGGCCGGACATGGTGAGCCCCAAAAAGCCCCAAATTCACCCCAAAATCCGCCCCAAAAACCCCCAAAATTTGGGGGGAAATTGGGGAAAAAATCGGGAAAAAATCGGGAAAAAATCGGGAAAAAATCGGAAAAAAATCGGAAAAAAATCATCAAAAATTCAAATAAAATTTGGCCAAAATGTCACAAAAAATTTAAATTATGAAGGTCCAAAATGCCCCAAATTCTCCTCAAAATTTGTCCTAAAAATTCCCAAAATTCGGGGGGAAATCGGGAAAAAAATCGGGAAAAAATCGGAAAAAAATCGGGAAAAAATCGGGAAAAAATCGGGAAAAAAACGGAAAAAAATCACCAAAAATTCAAAAAAAATTTGGTCAAAATGTCACTAAAAATTTTAATTATGAAGGCCCAAAATGCCCCAAATTCACCCCAAAATTTGCCCTAAAAATTCCTAAAATTCGGGGGAAAATTGGGAAAAAAATCGGGGAAAAATCGGGAAAAAATCGGGAAAAAATCGGAAAAAAATCACTAAAAATTAAAAAAAAATTTAGTCAAAATGTCACCAAAAATTCTAATTATGAAGGTCCAAAATGCCTCAAGTTCACCCCAAAATTTGTCCTAAAAAGTCCCAAAATTTTTGGGGAGAATTGGGAAAAATTTTGGGCAAATATCGGGAAAAAAAAATGAAAAAAAATTGGGGAGAAATTCAACAAAATTCCCCCAAATTCCCCCCAAAAATCCCCAATTTTTTCCTGAAATTCACAATTTTCCTCCAAATTCCCCCAAAAATTGCAAATTTCCCCCAAATTTCCCAATTTTCCTCAAAATTCCCCCAAAATTCCCAAATTTCCCCCCAAATCCTCCCAAATTTCTCCCCAAATTCCCAAAAATTCTCCCCAAAATTCCCAATTTACCCCAAAATTTCCCCAAATTCCTCAAAAATCCCAATTTTCTCCCAAAATGCCCCAATTCCCCAAATTTCTCCCAAATTCACAAAAATTCCCAATTTTCTCCCCAAAATTGCCAAATGTCTTCCAAAATTCCCCCAAAATTCTCAAATTTTTCCAAAAATTCTCCTAAAAATTCTCAATTCCCCCTAAATTCCCCCAAAATTTCCAATTTTCCCTCACAAATTCTCCCCAAAATTCCAAACCTTCCCCTAAATTCCTCCCAAAATTCCCAAATAATTCCCCCAAAATTCCCCAAAATTCCCCCAAATTCCCCAAAATTTTTCAAAATTTCGAAATTTCTCTCCTAATTTTCAAAAAATCCCAAATTTCCCACAAAATTCCCACATTTCCCCCAAATCCTCCCAAATTTCTCCCCAAATTCCCAAAAATTTTACCCAAAATTCCCAAAAATTTCCCCAAAATTCCAAACCTTCCCCTAAATTCCTCCAAAAAATCCCCAAAATTTTCCCCAAAATTCCCATTTTTCCCCACATTCCCCAAAATTTCTCTCCAGATTTTGAAAAAAATCCCAAAATTCCCCCAAAATTCCCGTATTTCCCCCAAATCCTCCCAAATTTCTCCCCAAATTCTTAAAATTTCCCCCAAAATTCTGAATTTTCCTTCAAAAATTCCCCCAAAAATCCAAATTTCCCAATTTTTTCTCAAAATTCCCCCCAAAATACCCAAAATTCCCCCCAAACTCCCGAATTTGCCCCAAATCCTTCCAAATTTCTCCCCAAATTCCCAAAAATCCCCAAATTTCCCCCCAAAATTGACAAATATCTGCCAAATTTCCCCCAAAATTCCCAAATTTCCCCCCAAATTCCCCCAGAAATTCCCAAAATTCCCCCCAAAGTCCCAAATTTTTCCAAAAATCCTCCTAAAAATTCCAAATTTCCCCCAAAATTCTCCCAAATTCCAAAAAAATCCCCAAAATTCCCCAAAAATTCACAAATTATTCCCCAAAATCCTCTAAAATTTATCCCCAAATTCCCCTATAAATCCCGAAGTTTCCCCAAAACCCCCAAATTTCTCTAAAATCCCCAAGTTTCTCCCCAAATTTTCCAAAGATACCAAAATTCCCCCAAAATTCCCAATTTTCCCCCAAATTTCCAAAATTTCCCCCAAATCCTTCCAAATTTCTCCCCAAATTCCCAAAAATTTTACTCAAAATTCCCCAATTTTATCAAAATTCCCAAAATTGTCCCCAAATTGTCAAAAACTCCCAAAAATTCCCCAAAACCCCCAAACAATTCCCAAATTTCCCCCCAAAATCCTCCCAAATTTCTCCAAAATTCCAATTTCCCTCCAAATTCCCCAAAAAATTCCCCAAAATTAAAAAATTCCCTAAATATAAAAAAAATTCAATTTTTTCCCCCAAATTCCAACCAGATTTCCCCATTTTTTCCCCAAAATTCCCAATTTCCCCCCAAATTCTTTATGAAATTTCTCCTAAAATCCCCAAAAATTCCCAAATTTTCCCCCAAATTCCCCAAAATTCCCAATTTTCTCCCAAAAATTGCCAAATGTCTGTCAAAATTCCCCCAAAATTCCCAAATTTTCTCACAAATCTTCCAAAATTCCCCCAAAAATTCCCCCCAAATTCCCAAATTTTCCCAAAAATTCTCCTAAAAATTCCAAATTCCCCCCCCCTAAATTACCTAAAAATTCCCAATTCTCCCCAAAATTCCAAACTTTCCCCTAAATTCCTCCAAAAAATCCCAAAAATTTCCCACAAAATTCCCAATTTACCCCCAAATTCCCCCAAATTTCTCAAAAATCCCAAATTTCTCCAAAAATGCCCCAATTCCCCAAATTTCTCCCAAATTCCCCCCAGAAATCCCCTTTAAAGAGCCCAAATTCTCCCAAAGTTCCCAAATTTCCCCAAAATTCCAATTTCCCTTAAAATTCACCAAAAAAAATCCCCAAAATTTCCATTTTTTCCCCGAATTCCCCTCAAATTTTCCCATTTTTTGCCCCGAAATTCCCAATTTTTTCCCAAATTCCTTCAGAAATTTCCCCGAAAATCCCCAAAAATCCCCATATTTTCCCCCAAATTCCCCAAAATTTCCCAAATTTGCCCCCAAATCCTCTCAAATTTTTCCCAAAATTCCCCAAAATTCCCAATTTTCTCACCAAATTGCCAAATATCTGCCAAAATTCCCCCAAAATTCTCCCAAATTCCCAAAAATTCCCCAGAATTCCAAAAAAATTCCCAAATTTTCCCCCAAAATCCTCCCAAATTTCTCCCCAAATTCCCCCAAATTCCTCAAAAATCCCAAATTTCTCCCAAACACCCCCAGAATTCCCCTTTAAAGGGCCCAAATTCTTCCAAAAATTCCCAAATTTCCCCAAAAAATCCCCAAAAAATGTCTAAAAATTCAAAAAAATTCCCAATAATTAAAAAAAAATCCATTTTTTCCCCCAATTCCACCCAAATTTCCCCATTTTTCACCCTAAAATTCCCAATTTTCCCCCAAATTCCTCCAAAAATTCCCCCTGAACTCCCTGAAAATCCCCACATTTCCCCCAAAATTCCCGAATTTCCCCAAATTTGGGAATTTTTCCCTCCTCAGCTCCTCCCTCACCTCCCGAAATTCGTCGGCGCCGTCGGTCCCGGTCTGGCCCTGCAGCGCCTCCCGCCAGGTGGGAAATCCCAAATTTTGGGAATTTTGGGAATTTTGGGGGAAATTTGGGGATTTTGGGGGGAAATTTGGAGATTTTGGGGTAAAAAATGGGGAAATTTGGGGGGAATTTTACGTGAATTTGAAGGAAAATTGGAATTTCAGGAGGATTTTGGGGGGAAAAATTGGGAATTTTGAGGGATTTTGGAGGAAATTTGGGAATTTTGGGGAAACTTGGGACTTTTGGGGCTAAAAATTGGGAATTTGGGGGTAAATTTCGGAATTTTTGGGACATTTTAGGGGAAAATATGGGAATTTTGGGAGAATTTTTGGGAATTTTGGGGAAACTTGAAAATTTTGGGGCTATAATTTGGGAATTTTGGGATAAATTAAAGGAGTTTCGGGGAATTTGGGTGAAAAATTTGGATATTAGGGGAAATTTGGGAATTTTAGGAAATTTTAGGGGAAAATCTGGGAATTTTTAGGGGATTTTGGCAGAAATTTGGGTGTTTTGGGAGAATTTTTGGGGATTTTGGAGTAAAAATTGGAGTTTTGGGGGAAAAAATTGGGATTTTGGGGAAAATTAGGGGATTTTGGGGACACTTCGGAATTTTAGTGGAAAATTTGGGAATTTGGGGGTAAATTTAGGGAGATTTGGGGGAATTTGGGGAAAAATTGGGAATTTTTTGAGATTTTGGGGGGAAATTCGTGGATTTGGGGGGAAAATTTGGGGAATTTTGGGGGAATTTGGAGGAAAATTGGGAATTTTGGGGTAAAAATTGGGAATTTTAGGAAAAATTTGGGAATTTAGGGGGAAATTTTGTAATTTTTGGGAAATTTTAGGGAAAAATTAGGGAATTTTGGGGGATTTTGGCAGAAATTTGGGTGTTTTGGATGAATTTTTGGGGATTTTGGGGTAAAATTTGGATTTTATGGGAAATAATTGGGACTTGTGAAGAAATTTGGGGAATTTTTGGGAAATTTTGGGGGAAATTTGTTGATTTTGGGGAAACTTGGGAATTTTGGGGCTAAAAATTGGGAATTTGGGGATAAATTTAGGGAGTTTCTGGGAATTTGGGGAAAAAGTTGGGAATTTAGGGGAAATTTGGGAATTTTGGGGGAAAATTTGTGGCAATTTTGGCAGAAATTTGGGTATTTTGGATGAATTTTTGGGAATTTTAGGGGAAAAATTGGGACTTTGGGGGAAAAAATTGGGATTTTGGGGGAAATTTGAAAATTTTGTGGAAAATTTGAGAATTTTAGGAAAAATTTGGTAATTTAGGGGTAAATTTAGGGAGTTTTGGGGAGATTTTGGGGAATTTGGGGAAAAAATGGGAATTTGGGGGGAAATTTGGGGATCTTTGGGGATTTGGGGGAAAATTTGGGATGAAATTGGGGAATTTTGGGGGAATTTGGAGGAAAATCTGAATTTTGGGAGGATTTGGGGGGAAAAAATGGGGAATTTTGAGGGATTTTGGAGGAAATTTGGGGATTTTAGGGGAAAATTGGGAATTTGGGGGTAAATTTAGAGAGTTTTGGGGAGATTTTTGAGGGATTTTTGGGAATTTGGGGAAAAAATTGGGAATTTAGGGGGAATTTAAAAGAAATTTGGGTGTTTTGGGAGAATTTATGGGGATTTTGGGGTAAAAATTGGAATTTTGGGGGAAAAAATTGGGATTTTGGGGAAAATTTGGAAATTTTGTGGGAATTTTGGGGCTAAAAATTGGGAATTTGGGGGAAAACTTGGATTTTGAGGGAAAAAATTTGGATTTCTTGGGAAATTTGGGGATTTTGGGGAAACTTGGGAATTTTGGGGATAAAAATTGGGGATTTGGAGGTAAATTTAGGGAGTTTTGGGGAATTTGGGGATAAAATTGGGAATTTAGGGGAAAATTTGGGAATTTTGGGGGATTTTGGGGGAAATTTGGGGATTTTGGGGGAAAATTCGGGAATTTTGGGGAAAAATTTGGACTTTGGGGGAAAAAATTGGATTTTGGGGATTTTGGGGAAACTTGGGAATTTTGGGGCTAAAAATCGGGAATTTGGAGGTAAATTTAGGGAGTTTTGGGAAAATTTGGGGAAAAAGTTGGGAATTTAGGGGGAAAATTTGCAATTTTTTTGTAATTTAAGGGCAAAATTTGGGAATTTTGGGGGGAAATTTGGGAATTTTTTGAGTTTTGGGGGAAAAATTGGGGATTTGGGGGAAAATTTGGGGAAAATTTGGGGAATCTTTGGGGAATTTGGAGGAAAATTGGAATTTTTGGGAGGATTTTTGGGGGAAAAAATTGGGAGTTTTGAGGGATTTTGGGGAAAATTTGGGGAATTTTGGGAAACATGGGAATTTTGGGGCTAAAACTTGGGAATTTGGGGGTAAATTTAGGGAGTTTTGGGGAATTTGGGGAAAATTTGGGAATTTTGGGGGATTTGGGGGGAAAATTTGGGAATTTTGCGGGATTTGGGGAAAAATTGGGAATTTTGGGGGAAATTTGGGAATTTTTGGGAGATTTCGGGGAGAAGGTCGGGGATTTTTTAGGCATTTTGGCAGAAATTTGGGTATTTTGGGGGAATTTTGGGAAATTTTGGAGGAAAAATTGGGAATTTTGGTGGATTTTGGCTGAAATTTGGGTGTTTTGAGTGAATTTTTGGGGATTTTGAGAAAAAATTTGGATTTTGGGGGAAAAAATTGGATTTTGGGGAAAAAATTTGGATTTTGGGGAAATTTGGGGATTTTGGGGCTACAACTTTGAAATTTGGGGATAAATTTAGGGAGTTTTGGGGAATTTGGAGGGAAAATTGGGAATTTAGGGGAAACTTTGGGAATTTTGGGGAATTTGGGGGGAAATTGGGAATTTAGGGGAAAATTTGGGAATTTTCGGGAATTTGGGTGGAAAATTTGGGAATTTGGGGGGATCTTTTACCTTTTTTTCTCATTTTTTTCCTCATTTTATTTTCTTTTTTCCCCCTTTGGCCCCGCCCCCTTTGGCCCCGCCCCCCAGAGCTCAGCCAATCACTGCTGGCGCTGCTCCGGCAGATGGGCGGGGCCGACCCGCGGCACTTCCGGGAGGGCGTGGCCTCCCTTGACCCCGCCCACGCCGCCATCTTGGGCCGGATGCTGGATGACGTCATCGGCGGCCAATAAAAATAAAGGATGATAAAAAGGGGCGTGGTCTGTTCTGGGGGGGCGGGGCTTAAAAAAAACAAAGGAATTCCCACAAATTCCGGAAAATTTTGGAAAATTCACCCAAAATTCCCAAAATTTTACCCCAAAATCCCCAAATTTCACCAAAAAAATCCTTTAAATTTTCCCAAAAATTTCTCAAAACTCCCAAATTTCACCGAAAATGGCCCAAAATATCCCAAATTTTACCCCAAAATTCCCACATTTAACCCAAAAAAAATCCCTTAAATTCCCAAATTTCACCCAAAAATTTTCCCAAAAAATCTTCAAAAATCCCAAATTTCACCCAAAATTGCCCAAAAATTCCCAAATTTTATCCCAAAATTCCCACATTTAACCCAAAAGAATTCCCTATAATTATTCAAAATTCCCGAATTTCACCGAGAATTGACCAAAACTTCCAAAATTTTACCCCAAATTTCCCATATTTAACCCAAAAAAAAATCCCTAAAATTATTCAAAATTCCCAAATTTCACCCAAAATGGCTCAAAAATTCACAAATTTTACCCCAAAATTCTCACATTTAACCCAAAAATCCCTAAAATTATTCAAAATTCCCGAATTTCACCTAAAATCGCCCAAAATTTCCAAAATTTTACCCCAAAATTCTCACATTTAACCCTAAAGAAATCCCTAAAATTAGTCAAAATTCACAAATTTCACCCAAAATGGCCCAAAATTTCCCAAATTTTACCCCAAAATTCCCATATTTCACCCAAAAGAAATCCCTAAAATTAGTCAAAATTCCCGAATTTTACCCAAAATGACCCAAAAATTCCCAAATATTACCCCAAAATTTCCTTATTTCACCCAAAAGAAATCCCTAAAATTAGTCAAAATTCCCAAATTTCACCCAAAAATCCCCAAAATCCCCAAATTTCCCAATGAAATTCCCCATTTTCCCCAAAAATTCCAAAACTTCACACAAATTCCTTACATGTCACCCAAAAATCCCCAAATTTCGCCAAAAATATCCCAATATTTTCAAATTTCACCCAAAAATTCTCCAAATCCCCCAAATTTTTTCCCAAAATTCCCCTAAAATTCTCAAATTTTATTCAAAAATTTCTGAAATTCTCAAAAAATTCTGAAATGTGACTCAGAAATTCTCGTAAAATTCCCAAATTTCACCCAAAATTTTTCCCAAAAATTCTTCAAAAATTCCAAATTTCACCCAAAATGGCCTAAAAATTCCCAATTTTTATGCCAAAACTCCCATATTTCACCCAAAAGAAATGACTAAAATTAGTCAAAATCCCCAAATTTCACCCAAAATTCTCCTAAAATTCTCAAATTTCACTAAAAGAATTCTCTGAAATTCTCAAAAAAATCTGACATGTCACCCAAAAATTTTCCCAAAAATTCTTCAAAAATCCCAATTTTCACCCAGAATCGCCCAAAATTTCCCAAATTTTACCCCAAAATTCCCACAATTCCCCCAAAATAAATCCCTCAAATTCAAAATTCCCGAATTTCACCCAAAAAGTCCCAAAATTTCCAAAAGTTTACCCCAAAATTGCCCAAAATTTCCCAAATTTTACCCCAAAATTCCCACATTTAACCCAAAAGAAATCTCTTAAATCCCCAAAATTCACAAATTTCACCCAAAAATTCCCAAAATCCCCAAATTTCCCTATGAAATTCCCCATTTTCCCCAAAATTCAGAAACTTCACCCAAATTCCTTAAATGTCACCCAAAAATCCCCAAAATTTCTCCCAAAATGTCCCAAAACTTTCAAATTTCACCCAAAAATTCCCCAAATCCCCCAAATTTCACCCAAAATTCACCTAAAATTCTCAAATGTCACTAAAAAAATTCTCCGAAATTCCCAAAAAATTCAGAATCGTCACCCAGAAATTCTCCAAAATTCCCAGATTTCACCCAAAAATTTTTCCCCACAATTCTTCAAAATCCCAAATTTCACCCAAAATTGCCCAAAATTTCCCAAATTTTACCCCAAAATTCCCATAATTCACCCAAAAAAAATCCCTAAAATTAGTCAAAATTCCCAAATTTCACCGTTAAATTCCCAAAATTCCCAAAATTTCACCCAAAAATTCCCTAAAATCCTCAAATTTCATCCTAAATTCCCCTAAAATTCTCAAATGTCACTAAAAAATTTCTCCAAAATTCCCAAAAAATTCAGAAACTTCACCAAGAAATTCTCCAAATTTCCCAAATTTCACCCAAAAATTTCCCCCAAAATTCTTCAAAATTTTATCCAAAATTTCCCATATTTAACCCCAAAAAAAATCCCTAAAATTAGTGAAAATTCCCAAATTTCGCCCTTAAATTCCCCAAAATCCCAAATTTCACTCAAAATTGCCCAAAATTTCCCAAATTTTACCCCAAAATTCTCATATTTCACCCAAAAGAAATCCCTAAAATTATTCAAAATTCCCAAATTTCACCCAAAATTGCCCAAAATTTCCAAACTTTTGCCCCAAAATTCCCATATTTCACCCAAAAAAAATCCCTAAAATTAGTCCAAATTCCCGAATTTCACCAAAATTGCCCAAAATTTCCCAAATTTTACCCCAAAATTTCCTTATTTCACCTAAAAGAAATCCCTAAAATTAGTCAAAATTCCCAAATTTTACCCAAAATGACCCAAAATTTCCCAAATATTACCCCAAAATTCCCACATTTAACCCAAAATAAAATCCCTAAAATTATTCAAAATTCCCAAATTTCACCCAAAAATACCCAAAATCCCCAAATTTCACCCAAAAATTCCCCAAATCCCCCAAATTTCACCCGAAAGTTCCCTAAAATTCTCAAATTTCACTAAAAAAATTCTCCAAAATTCCCCAAAAAATTCAGAAACGTCACCAAGAAATTCTCCAAAATTCCCAAATTTCACCCAAAAATTTTCACAAAAATTCTTCAAAATTTCTAAATTTCACCCAAAATGTCCCAAAAATTCACAAATTTTATCCTAAAATTCCCAAATTTCACCCAAAAGAAATCCCTAAAATTAGTCAAAATTCCCAAATTTCACTAAAATTGCCAAAAAATTCCTAAATTTTACCCCAAAATTTCCTTATTTCACCCAAAAGAAATCCCTAAAATTAGTCAAAATTCCCAAATTTCACCCTTAAATTCCCAAAATCCCCAAATTTCCCAATGAAATTCCCCATTTTCCCCCAAAGTTAGAAATTTTACCCAAATTCCTTAATTGTCACCCAAAAATTCCCAAATTTCTCCCAAAATGTCCCAAAATTTTCAAATTTCACCAAAAAATTCCCCAAATCCCCCAAATTTCCCCCAAAAGTTCCCTAAAATTCTGAAATTTCACTCAAAAATTCTCCTAAATTCCCAAAAAATTCAGAAACGTGGCCCAGAAATTCTCCAAAATTCCCAAATTTCACCCAAAAATTTTCCCAAAAATTCTTCAAAAATCAAAAATTTCACCCAAAATGGCCCAAAATTCCCAAATTTTACCCCAAAATTCCCACATTTAACCCTAAAGAAATCCCTAAAATTATTCAAAATTCCCAAATTTCACCCAAAATCGCCCAAAATTTCCCAAATTTTACCCCAAAATTTCCCATAATTCACCCAAAAAAAATCCCTAAAATTGGTCAAAGTTCCCAAAATCCCCAAATTTCACCCAAAAACCCCCAAAATCCCCCCAAAAAATCACCACTCCATATAAGGCGAAGTGGGCGTGGTTTATTGGCGCCCGGGGCGGAGCTTGATCCTGATTGGTCCGTAGGGCTGCGCCTGCTCCAGCTTCAGCCAATGGGAGGCGCAGAGCTCTGTGGGGGCGGAGATTATGCAAATTAAGGGGAAAGGGGCGGAGCTTAAGGGCTAAAAGGGGCGTGGCCTAAATTTAAAGGGGCAGAGCTCAAATTTAAATGATTTAAAGTGGGCGGGGCTTAAATTTAAATGAATTAAACTGGGCGGGGCTTAAATGTAAATGAATTAAAGTGGGCGTGGCTTAAATGTAAATTATTTAAAGTGGGCGGGGCTTAAATGGAAAGGAATTAAGTGGGCGGGACCTAAATGTAAATAATTTTAAGTGGGCGGGGCTTAAATGAAAATGAATTAAAGTGGGCGGAGCCTAAATTTAAAGAGGCAGAGCTTAAATTTAAATGAATTTACATGGGCGGAGCTTAAATGTAAATTAATGTAAATGGATTAAAGTGGGCGGGGCTTCAATGGAAATAAAGTGGGCGGGACTTAAATGTAAATGAATTAAAGTGGGCGGAGCTTAATAGCAAATGAATTAAAGTGGGCGGGGCTTAAATTTAAATGAATTAAAGTGTGCGGCGCTTAAATTTAAAGGGGCAGAACTTAAATTTAAATGAATTAAAGTGGGTGGGGCTTAAATTAAAATGATTTAAAGTGGGCGGGGCTTAAATGTTAATGAAGTAAAGTGGGCGGGGCCTAAATGTAAATTATTTGAAGTGGATGGAGCTTAAATGCAAATGATTTAAAGTGGGCGGGGCTTAGGTTTAAAGGGGCGGAGACTAAATTTAAATGTATCAAAGTGGGCGGGGCTTAAATAAAAATGGGCGGGGCTTAAATTTAAATAAATTAAAGTGGGTGGGGCTTAAATGGAAATGAAATAAATGTAAATAAAATAGACTGGGCGGGGTTTACATGTAAATGAATTAAAGTGGGCAGGGCTTAATACGGAAATTAATTAAAGTGGGTGTGGCTTAAATGTAAATGAAGTAACATGGGCGGGGCTTAAATGTAAATGATTAAAAGTGGATGGAGCTTAAATGCAAATGATTTAAAGTGGGCGGGGCTTAAATTTAAAGGGGCAGGGCTTAAATTTAAATGAATTACGGTGGGCGGGGCTTAAATTTAAATGATTTAAAGTGGGCGGGGCTTAAAAAGACGGGAAATTAATTAAGGGGTGTGGCTTAGATGGGCGTGGCTTAAAGGGGAGGGGCTAAACTAATTAATAATAAAGGGGGCGGGGTTTAAAGGAAGTGGGCGTGGCCTGTGGGAAAAGGGGCGTGGTCAGGGCTCACCCAAGCACAGCGCGAAGGTTTGGGCCACGCGGGGCCGCGGCCAATCAGGGCTCAGGATGGCGCCAAGCTCCGCCCCCTCCGGCACTCGGGCGTGGTCCAGGATCAGGCTGGGGGAGAGACGGGAATGGGTCACGGAATTCCCAAAAAATTCCGTGGATTTGTCCCAAAAAATCGCAAAAAGTCAGCAAAAGTCTCCCAAAATTCCCCAAAAAAAATCCACAAAATTACCCGAAAAAAATCCCCAAAACTCTCCCAAAATTCCCAAAAAAAATCCACAAAATTATCCCAAAAAATCCCCAAAACTCTCCCAAAATTCCAAAAAAAATCCACAAAATTATCTCAAAGAGTCCTCAAAACTCTCCCAAAATTCCCCAAAAAATCCACAAAATTATCCCAAAAAATCCTAAAAGAGTCCCCAAAACTCTCCCAAAATTCCCAAAAAAATCCACAAAATTATCCCAAAAAAATCCCCAAAACTCTCCCAAAATCCCAAAAACATCCATAAATTTATCCCAAAAAAACCCCAAAAATTTCCCCAAAACTCTCCCAAAATTCCCCCCAAAAAAATCCACAAAATTATCCCAAAAAATCCTAAAAAAGTCCCCAAATCTCTCCCAAAATTCCCAAAAAAATCCACAAAATTGTCCCAAGATTTCGTAAAAAGTCCCCAAAACGCTCCCAAAATTCCCCCCAAAAAAATCCACAAAATTATCCCAAAAAATCTTAAAAAGTCTCCCAAAATTCCCAAAAAAACTGACAAAATTATCCCAAAAAGTCCCCAAAACTCTCCCAAAATTCCCAAAAAAATCCACAAAATTATCCCAAAAATTCCCCAAAAACTCTCCCAAAATTGCCCAAAAAAATCCACGAATTTATCCCAAAAAATCCTGAAAACTCCCAAAAAAATCCCAGAAAAATTCCAAAAACTTCAAAATATCCCCAAAATTCTCCCAAAATTCTCCCAAATTTCGCCAAAACTCCACCAAAACTCACCTAAAATTTTTATTAATTGCCCCAAAAATGCCCAAAATTCCCCAAAAAATCCCAAAAAATGTCCCAAAATCCCCGAAAATGTCCCGAAATCCCCAAAAACGCCTCCAAAAACGTTCCCCAAAATATTTCCAAAACTCCACCAAAATCCCCCAAAAAATTCCCAAACCTTTAAAAAAATACCCAAAAATTCCAAAAAAATCCATCAAAATTTTTTTTAAATCCCAAAATTATTAAAACTTTCCCAAAAATTTTGGGAAAATCCTAAAAATTCCCAAAAAATTCCTCCAAACTCCCCAAAAAAATCCTAAAATTAAAAAAAATCCCCAAATTCTCCCAAAATTCTCCCAAATTTCCCCAAAACTCCCCCAAAATTTTAGAAATTGCCCAAAAATGTCCCGAAATTCCCCAAAAAATCCCAAAAATGTCCCAAAATCCCCAAAAATGTCCTGAAATCCCCAAAAACGTTCCCCAAAATATTTCCAAAACTCCACCAAAATCCCCCGAAAATTTACCAAAATTTTTTAAAAAATCCTAAAAATTAAAAAAAAAATTCCAAAAAATCCCCCAAAATTTATAAAAATCCCTAAAAATTACCAAAACTTTCCCAAAAATTTCAGGAAAATCCAAAAAATTCTTCAAAAATTCCTCCAAATACCCAAAAAAAAATCCCAAAATTTGAAAAAATTCCCCAAAATTCTCCCAAAATTCTCCCAAATTTCCCCAAAACTCCCCCAAAATTCTTAGAAATTGTCCAAAAATGCCCAAAATTCCCCAAAAAATCCCAAAAATGTCCCAAAATCCCCGAAAATGTCCTGAAATCCCCAAAAACGCCTCTAAAAACGTTCCCCAAAATATTTCCAAAACTCCACCAAAATCCCCCCAAAAAATTCCCACAACATTTAAAAAAATTCCTAAAATTCCAAAATAATTGCCAAAAAAATCCATTAAATTTTTTAAAAATCCAAAAAATTACCGAAACTTTCCCAAAAATTTTGGGAAAATCCTAAAAATTCCCCAAAAATTCCTCCAAACTCCCGAAAAAAATACCAAAATTTTTAAAAAATCCCCCAAAATTCTCATAAAATTCTTCCAAATTTCCCCAAAACTCCCACAAAATTTTTAGAAATTGCCCAAAAATGCCCAAAATTCCCCAAAAAATCCCAGAAATGTCCCAAAATCCCCAAAAACGCCTCCAAAAACGTTCCCCAAAATATTTCCAAAAGTCCACCAAAATCCCCCCAAAAATTCCAACAACTTTTAAAAAAATCTTAAAACTCCAAAAAAATCCATCAAAATTTTTTAAAAATCCCCCAAAAATTTACAAAAATTTTCCCAAAAATTTCGGGAAAATCCTAAAATTCCCAAAAAATTCCTCCAAACTCCCAAAAAAAATCCTAAAATTTGAAAAAAATCCCAAAAATTCTCCCAAATTTCTTCCAAATTTCCCCAAAACTCCCCCAAAATTTTTAGAAATTGCCCAAAAATGCCCAAAATTCCCCAAAAAATCCCAAAAATGTCCCAAAATCCCCGAAAATGTCCCGAAATCCCCAAAAACGCCTCCAAAAACGTTCCCCAAAATATTTCCAAACTCCACCAAAATCCCCCCAAAAATTCCCACAACTTTTAAAAAAATATCTTAAAATTCCAAAAAAATCATCAAAATTTTTTAAAAATCCCAAAAATTACCAAAACTTTCCCAAAAATTTTGGGAAAATCCTAAAAATTCCAAAAAAATTCCCACAACTTTTAAAAAATATCCTAAAATTCCAAAATAATTGACAAAAAAATCCATCAAAATTTTTTTAAAAATCCCAAAAATTATCGAAACTTTCCAAAAAATTTCTGGAAAATCCCAAAAATTCCCCAAAAATTCCTCCAAACTCCCCAAAAAATTAGTGAAAAATTCCAAAAATTCAAAAAAATCCCCAAAATTTCTCATAAAATTCTCCCAAATTTCCCCAAAACTCCACGAAAACTCCACAAAATTTTTAGAAATTGCCAAAAAATGCCCAAAATTCCCCAAAAAATCCCAAAAATGTCCCGAAATCCCCGAAAACGTCCTGAAATCCCCAAAAACATTCCCCAAAATATTTCCAAAACTCCACCAAAATTCCCCCAAAAATTCCCACAACTTAAAAAAAAATCCAAAAATTCCGAAATAAATGACAAAAAAATCCATCAAAATATTTAAAAAATCCCAAAAATTACCAAAACTTTCCAAAAAATTTCGGGAAAATCCTAAAAATTCCCAAAAAATTCCCACAACTTTAAAAAAATTCCTAAAATTCCAAAATAATTGACAAAAAAATCCATCAAAATTTTTAAAAATCATAAAAATTATCAAAACTTTCCGAAAAATTTCTGGAAAATCCCAAAAATTCTCCATAAATTCCTCCAAAATTCAGAAAAAAATCCCAAAATTCCAAAGAATCCCCAAAATTCTCCCAAAATTCTCCCAAATTTCCCCAAAACTCCACCAAAATCCCCCCAAAAAATTCCCACAACTTTTAAAAAAATCCAAAAATTCCAAAAAAATATTCCAAAAAATCCCCCAAAATTCTTTAAAAATCCCCAAAATTACCAAAACTTTTCCAAAAATCTCATGAAAATCCAAAAAATCCCCAAAAATTCCTCCAAACTCCCCCAAAAAATCCTAAAATTTGAAAAAAATGCCCCAAAATTCTCCCCAAATTCTCCCAAATTTCTTCCAAATTTCCCCAAAATTCACCCAAAATTTTTAGAAATTGCCCAAAAATGCCCAAAATTCCCCAAAAAATCACAAAAATGACCCGAAATCCCCAAAAACGCCTCCAAAAACGTTCCCCAAAATATTTCCAAAACTCCACCAAAATCTCCCCAAAAAATTCCCACAACTTAAAAAAAATCCTAAAATTCCAAAAAAATTGCCAAAAAAATCCATCAAAATTATTTTAAAATCCCCAAAATTATCGAAACTTTATGAAAAATTTTGGGAAAATCCTAAAAATTCCAAAAAAATTCCCACAACTTTAAAAAAATTCCTAAAAATTCCAAAATAATTGACAAAAAAAATCCATCAAAAAATTTTTAAAAATCCCAAAAATTATCGAAACTTTCCAAAAAATTTCGGGAAAATCCCAAAAATTCTTCAAAAATTCCTCCAAACACCCAAAAAAAATCCCAAAATTTAAAAAAATCCCCCAAATTCTCCCAAAATTCTCCCAAATTTCCCCAAAACTCCTCCAAAATTTTTAAAAATTGCCCAAAAATTCCCACAACTTTTAAAAAATATCTTAAAATTCCAAAAAAATCCATCAAAATATTTTAAAAATCCCAAAAATTACCAAAACTTTCCCAAAACTGAGAAATTCTACAAAAATTCCCAAAAAATTCCTCCAAACTCCCCAAAAAATTTGTGAAAAATTCCCAAAATTTCAAAAAAATCCCCCACATTCTCCCAAAATTCTCCCAAATTTCCCCAAAACTCCACCAAAACTCACCTAAAATTTTTATAAATTGCCCAAAAATGCCCAAAATTCCCCAAAAACGCCTCCAAAAATCCCCAAACCTTTAAAAAAATACCCAAAAATTCCAAAAAATAGAAAAAAAAAAATCCATCAAAATTCTTAAAAATCCCAAAAATTATCGAAACTTTCCCAAAAATTTTGGGAAAATCCTAAAAATTCCCAAAAAACTCCCACAACTTTAAAAAAATATCCTAAAAATTCCAAAAAAATTGCCAAAAAAATCCATCAAAAATATTTTAAAAATCCCAAAAATTATCGAAACCTTCCCAAAAATTTTGGGAAAATCCTAAAAATTCCCCAAAAATTCCCACAATTTTAAAAAAATATCCTAAAAATTCAAAAATAATTGACAAAAAAATCCATCATAATATTTTAAAAATCCCAAAAATTACCGAAACTTTCCCAAAAATTTCTGGAAAATCCCAAAAATTCTCCAAAAATTCCTCCAAACTCCTCAAAAAAATCCATGAAAAATTCCCAAAATTTCAAAAAATCCCCCAAAATTCTCATAAAATTCTCCCAAATTTCCCCGAAATTTTTAGAAATTACCCAAAAAATTCCCAAAAATGTCCCGAAATCCCCAAAAATTTCCCAAAATGCCCCAAAATGCCCCAAAATGCCCCAAATTTCCGTCCCCACCTGCGCAGGTCGATGATGGGCGGCGCCTCCGGCAGCTCCGGCAGCACTTCCGGGGGCGGGGCCGGAAGGGGCGGGGCACTGGAAAAGGGGGCGGGGCCAACTCGTTAGGCCACGCCCCCTCCCTTAAACCCCGCCCACATCCCCCAAAATTGGTTCATGTCTCTTTAAATGACGTCACTTCCTGTTTTAACCCAACCCACTTCCGCCATTTTGTCACCACTTCCACAATTCTAAATAAATTTCACTTCCTGGTTTGATTCCACTTCCGGTTTTAGCCCCGCCCACTTTTGGCCGCCATTTTGTATCTTTGTTTATTTCCCAAATTTTTCCCAAAATTCCCAAAATTTTGGTCGAATTTTCTCCCAATTTTGTTCCAAATTTCCTTCCCAAATTCCACTTCCGGTTTTAGCCCCGCCCACATTTGGCCGCCATTTTGTCTCTTTGTTTATTTCCTAAATTTTTCCAAAATTCCCAAAATTTCGGTCGAATTTTCTCCCAATTTTGTTCCAAATTTCCCTGCCCAGATTCCACTTCCGGTTTTAGCCCCGCCCACATTTAGCCGCCATTTTGTCTCTTTGTTTAACTTAAAATTTTTCCAAAATTCCCAAAATTTCGGTCGATTTTCCCGAATTTTCTCCCAATTTTGTTCCAAATTTCCTTTCCCAGAATCCACTTCCGGTTTTAGCCACGCCCACTTTCGGCCGCCATTTTGTCTCTTTGTTTAATCCTAAATTTTTCCAAAATTTCCAAAATTTCGGTCGAATTTTCTCCCAAAAATTTTGTTCCAAATTTCCTTCCCAGATTCCACTTCCGGTTTTAGCCCCGCCCACTTTTGGCCGCCATTTTGTGTCTTTTTTTTTTTCCTAAATTTTTCCAAAATTCCCAAAATTTTGGTCGATTTTCCCAAATTTTCTCCCAATTTTTTTCCAAATTTCCCTTCCCAGAATCCACTTCCGGTTTTGGCCCCGCCCACTTTTGGCCGCCATTTTGTCTCTTTGTTTAAATTAAAATTTTTCCGAAACTCCCAAAATTTCGGTCGAATTTTCTCCAAATTTTGTTCCAAATTTCCTTTCCCAAATTCCACTTCCGGTTTTAGCCCCGCCCACTTTTGGCCGCCATTTTGTCTCTTTGCTTGTTTCCTAAAATTTTCCCAAATTCCCAAAATTTCGGTCAATTTTTTGGAATTTTTCTCCCAATTTTGTTCCAAATTTCCTTCCCAAATTCCACTTCCGGGTTTTGGCCCCGCCCACTTTTGGCCGCCATTTTGTCTCTTTGTTTAATTTTAAATTTTTCAAAAATTCCCAAAATTTCAAATTTTCTCCCAATTTTGTTCCAAATTTCCTTCCCAAATTCCACTTCCGGTTTTAGCCCCGCCCACTTTTGGCCGCCATTTTGCCTCCAATTTTTTGCACCAAATTTTTCCGAAATTTCCCCAAAATTTGGGGCGATTTTATGGAATTTTCCCCCATTTTTGTTCCCAAATCCCTCCCCAAATTCCACTTCCGGTTTTAGAGCGGATTTCAAGCACTTCCTGATTAGGCCCCGCCCACTTCCTGTTTCTGGCGGCCATTTTGTGGCAGAATTTTAAATTTTTCTTTTTAAATTTCCCCCAAATTCACCCAAAATTTTGGGAATTTCCCCCAAAATTCCATTTCCGGTTTATTTCTGATTTTAGGGTAAATTTTAATTACTTCCGGGTTAAGCCCCGCCCACTTCTGGTTTATCCGGCGGCCATTTTGTGGCAGATTTAAGAAATTTTTCCTTCAAATTTTTCCCAAATTTGCCCAAATTCTCCCAAAATTTTGGGAATTTTCCCCCAATTCCCACCCCAAAATCCATTTCCGGTTTCATTCCCAAAATTTTGTCGCCCCAGCAATTTCCGGCCGCCATTTTGTTCTCGATTTTTTTCATTTTTCCTTCGAATTTTACCAAATTTTGCCAAAATTCTCCCAAAATTTTGGGAATTTTTCCAAAATTCCGCTTCCGGTGTAATTCCAAAAAATTTTGGATGAATCCATGAATTTTTGAGTTAAGCCCCGCCCACTTCCTGTTTCTGGCAGCCATTTTGGGGCAGATTTTTAGATTTTTTCTTCCAATTTCTCCAAAATTTGCCCAAATTTTTCCCAATTTTTTTGAATTTTGGGAATTTTTGGGAGTTTTTAAATAATTTAATGATTTTTTTTGTTGGCCACGCCCATTTCCGCTTTAGGCCACGCCCCCACCTCGGCTCCTCCTCCATCGGCTCCAGGGAAATCTCTGCGGAGGGGGAGGGGAAAAATCAGTGGAAAAATATCCAAATTTCCAAAAAAATTCCTAAATTTCCCCCCAAAATTCCCAAATTTCCTCCAAAATTCCCAAATTTCACCCCAAAATTCCCAAATTTCACCCCAAAATCCCCAAAATTTCTCCCTAAAATATCAAATTTTCCCCAAATTTCCCACCAAATTCCCCAAATTCACCCCAAAAATCTCAAAATTTCCCCCAAAACTCCCAAATTTCCCCCAAAATTCCTGAAAATTCCCCGAAAATTCCCAAAATTCCCAAACTTCCCCGATTTTTCCCAAAATTCCTGATTTTTCCCAAAATTCCCCCAAAATACCCAAATTTTCTCCCCGAAATCCCCAAATTTTCCCCCCAAAATCCCCAAATTTTCCAAAAAAATTCCTGAAAATTCCTGAAAACTCCCAAATTTCCCCCAAAATACCCAAATTTTCTCCCAAATTTCCTGAAAATTCCCAAGTTTTCCCCAAAATTCCCAAATTTTTCCCAAAATTCCCACATTTCCCCCAAAATCCCAAAATTTCCCCCCAAAATTCCCAAATTTCTCCCTAAAATCTCAAATTTTCACCAAATTCCCCCAAATTCCCAAACTTCAACCCAAAAATCTCAAAATTTCCCCCAAATCTCCCAAATTTTCCATCAAATTCCCCCCAAATTCCCAAATTTCCCCTCAAAATTCCCAAATTTCACCCAAAATGTCCTGAAAATTCCGAAATTTTTCCAAAAATTCCTGAAAACTCTTAAATTTCCCCCAAATCTCCCAAATTTCCCATCAAATTCCCCCAAATTCACAAAATTCCCCCAAAATTTCCTGAAAATTCCCAACTTTTTCCCAAAAATCCCAAATTTCCCCCGATTTTTCCAAAAATTCCTGAAAACTCCCAAATTTCCCCCAAATCTCCCAAATTATTCATCAAATTCCTCCAAAAACCCCAAATTTACCCCAAATTTCCTGAAAATTCCCCGAAAATTCCCAAAATTCCCAAATTTCCCTGATTTTTCCCAAAATTCCCCCAAAATCCCCAAATTTTCCCAAAAAATTCCTGAAAATTCCCTAATTTTCCCCAAAATACCCAAATTTTCTCCCAAATTTCCTGAAAATTCCCCGAAAATTCCAAAAATTTCCAAACTTCCCTGATTTTTCCCAAAATTCTTGATTTTTTCCAAAATTTCCACAAAATCCCCAAATTTTCCCCCCAAAATCCCCAAATTTTCCCAAAAAATTCCTGAAAATTCCCAAGTTTTTCCCAAAATTCACTAATTTTTCCTAAAATGCCACAATTTCCCCAAAAATCCTCAAATTTCCTCCAAAATTCTCAAATTTCTCCCTAAAATATCAAATTTTCCCCAAATTTCCCCCAAATTCCTGAACTTCACCCAAAAATCTCAAAATTTCCCCAAAAAAATCTCAATTTCCCCCAAATTTCATCCCCAAATTTCCCCCAAAATTCCCAAATTTTCCCCAAAATTCCCAAATTTCCCCCAAAATCTCTTTAATTTCTCCCAAAATTCCCAAATTTTCCCAAAATTCCCATATTTCACCACAATTTTTCCCCCAAATCCTTCCAATTTCACCCCAAATTTCCCCAAAATTCCCCCAAAACTCCCAAATTTTACCCAAAAATCTGGAATTTCACCCCAAAAATTCTCAAATTCCGGCCCAAAATTCAGAATTTCCCAAAAAAAAATCTTAAATTTCCCCCAAAGTTCATCCCCAAATTTCCCCCAAAATTCCCAAATTTCCCCCAAATTCACCAAATTCCCTCAAAATTTCCCAAATTTCCCCCAAAACCCCCAAATTTCCTGAAAATTCCCCGAAAATTCCCAAAATTCCCAAACTTCCCTGATTTTTCCCAAAATTCCTGTTTTTCCCCAAATTCCCCCAAAATCCCCAAATTTTCCCAAGAAATTCCTGAAAATTCCCAAATTTTCCACAAAATACCCAAATTTTCTCCCAAATTTCCTGAAAATTTCCCCAAAACTCCCAAATTTTACACAAAAATCTGAAATTTCATCCCAAAATTCCCAATTTTTCCCAAAAGTCTCCTCATTTCACCCCATTTTCCCCAAAAAATTCCCAAATTTCGGCCCAAAATTTAGAATTTCCCCCAAAAAAAATCTTAAATTTCCCCCAAACTTCATCCCCAAATTTCCCCCAAAATTCCCAAGTTTCTCCCTAAAATCCCAAATTTCCCCAAATTTCCCACCAAATTCCCCAACTTCACCCCAAAAATGTAAAAATTTCCCCCAAATTTTCCATCAAATTCCCCCCAAATTCCCAAATTTCCCCCAAAACTTCGTGAAAATTCTCAACTTTTTCCCAAATTTCCCCGGATTTTTCCAAAAATTCCTGAAAACTCCCAAATTTCCCCCAAATCTCCCAAATTTTCCATCAAATTCCCCCCAAATTCCCCCTCAAAATTCCCAAATTTTCCCCAAAATCTCCTGAAAATTCCCAACTTTTTCCCCAAATTCCCAAATTTTCCCCGATCTTTCCAAAAATTCCTGAAAATTCTCAAATTTCCCCCAAATCTCCCAAATTTTTCCTCCAATTTCCCCAAAATCCCCAAATTTCCCCCAAATTTCCTGAAAATTCCCCGAAAATTCCAAAATTCCCAAACTTCCCTGATTTTCCCCAAAATTCTTGATTTTTCCCAAAATTCCCCCAAAATCCCCAAATTTTCCCCCCAAAATCCCCCAATTTTCCCAAAAAATTCCTGAAAATTCCCAAATTTTCCCCAAAATACCCAAATTTTCTCCCAAATTTCCTGAAAATTCCCAAGTTTTTCTCAAAATTCCCAAATTTTTACCCAAAACTCCACAATTTTTCCCCAAATCCCCAAATTTCCTCTAAAATTCCCAAAATTTCTCCCTAAAATCTCAAATTTTTCCCAAATTTCCCACCAAATTCCCCAACTCCACCCCAAAAATCACAAAATTTCCCCCAAAACTTCCAAAGTTCCCCCAAATCTCCCAAATTTTTCATCAAATTCCCCCAAAATCCTCAAATTTCCCTCAAAATGTCCTGAAAATTCCCAACTTTTTCCCAAAATTCCCAAATTTCCCCCGATTTTTCCAAAAATTCCTGAAAACTCCCAACTTTCCCCAAAATCTCCCAAATTTCCCCCAAATTTCCTGAAAATTCCCCGAAAATTCCCAAAATTTTCAAACTTCCCTGATATTTTCAAAATTCCTGATTTTTCCCAAAATTCCCCCAAAATACCCAAATTTTCCCAAAAAATTCCTGAAAATTCCTAAATTTCCCCCAAAATACCCCAAGTTTCTCCCAAATTTCCTGAAAATTCCCAAGTTTTTCCCAAAATTCCCAAATTTTCCCCAAAATCCCCAAATTTCCCCCCCAAATCCCCAAATTTTCCCAAAAAATTCCTGAAAATTCCCGAATTTCCCCCAAAATACCCAAATTTTCTCCCCAAAATCCCCAAATTTTCCCAAAAAATTCCTGAAAATTCCCAAATTTTCCGCAGAATACCCAAATTTTCTCCCAAATTTCCTGAAAATTCCGTAGTTTTACCCAAAATTCCCAAATTTTTCCCAAAATGCCACAATTTCCCCCAAAATCCCCAAATTTCCTCCAAAATTCCCAAATTTCTCCCTAAAATCTCAAATTTTCCCCAAATTCCCCCAAATTCCCCAACTTCACCCCAAAAATGTCAAAATTTCCCCCAAATTTTCCATCAAATTCCCCCCAAAATCCCAAATTTCCCCCAAAATGTCCTGAAAATTCCCAACTTTTTCCCAAAATTCCAAAATTTCCCCCAGTTTTCCCAAAAATTCCTGAAAACTCCCAAATTTCCCCCAAATCTCCCAAATTTTTCATCAAATTCCCCCAAAATCTCCAAATTTCCTCCAAATTTCCTGAAAATTCCCCAAAAATTCCCAAAATTCCCAAATTTCCGTGATTTTTCCCAAAATTCTTGATTTTTCCCAAATTTCCCCCCAAAATCCCCAATTTTTACAAAAAAATTCCTGAAAATTCCCAAATTTTCCACAAAATACCCAAATTTTCTCCCAGATTTCCTGAAAATTCCCAAGTTTTTCCCAAAATTCCCAAATTTTTCGCAGAATGCCACAATTTCCCTCAAAATGCCCAAATTTCCCCTAAAATTCCAAAATTTCTCCCTAAAATATCAAATTTTCCCCAAATTTCCCCCCAAATTCCCGAACATGACCCCAAAAATCTCAGAATTTTCCCCAAAACTCCCAAATTTCGCCCAAATTCCCAAATTTTTCATCAAATTTCCCCAAAATCCCCAAATTTCCACCAAATTTCCTGAAAATTCCCCAAAAATTCCCAAAATTCCCAAATTTCCGTGATTTTTCCCAAAATTCTTGATTTTTTCAAAAATCCCCAAATTTTCCCCCAAAATCCCCAAATTTTCCCAAAAAATTCCTGAAAATTCCCAAATTTTCCCCAAAATTCCCAGATTTCATGAAAATTCCCACATTTCTCCCAAATATTCCCATATTTTCACCTTAAATTTCCCAAATTTTCACCTTAAATTTCCCAAATCTGCCCCTAAAAATTCCAATTTTCCCCAAATTTCACTTCCAAATTCCAGATTTTCTTCCCAAATTTCCCATTTTTTTTCCACAAAACGCCTTAATCTGCCCCAAATTTCACCCAAAAATTCCCAAAGTTTCCCCAAAATCCCCAAATTTCCCGACAAATCTCCAAATTTTAACCCCAAAGTTCTCAATTGTTTTCCAAATTTCCCCAATTTTTACCAAAATTACCCAAATTTCCCCCAAAATCTCCCAAATTTCCTCAAAAATTCTACAATTTCCCCCCAAATTCCCAAATTTTCCCAAAATTCAGGAATTTCATCCCAAAATTCCCAATTTTTCCCAGAAGTCTCCTAATTTCACCCCATTTTTCCCCAAAATTCCCAAATTTCTGCCCAAAATTCAGAATTTCCCAAAAAAAATCTTTAATTTTCACCAAACTTCATCCCCAAATTTCCCCCAAAATTCCCAAATTTCCCCCTAAAATCTCCAAATTTTCTCAAAAATTCTTCAATTTCCCCCAAAATTCCCATATTTCACCACAATTTTTCCCCCAAATCCTTCCAATTCCACCCCAAATTTCCCCAAAACTCCCAAATTTTACCCAAGAATCTGGAATTTCGTCCCAAAATTCCCAATTTTTCCCAAAAATCTGGATCTTCACCCCAAAATTCCCAATTTTTCCCAAAAGTCTCCCAATTTCACACCAAAAATTCCCAAATTTCTGCCCAAAATTCAGAATTTCCCCCCAAAAGAATCTTAAATTTTCCCCCAATTTCATCCCCAAATTTCCCCCAAAATTCCCAAATTTTCCCCCAAATTCCCAATTTTTTCCCAAAATTCCCCCAAAATTCCCAAAATTCCCCCAAAATTCCCAAAATTCCCCCAAAATTCCCAAAATTCCCTGACCTGAGCTGGGCGGGGCCAGGCTGGGCTCCAGCGCCTCTCGCAGCACCTGGAGGAGAAATTTGGGGAAAAATCCCAAAAATTTGGGTAAAAACAGCAAATGAGGGGTAAAAAGGGAAATTTTGGGGGAAATTTGGGAATTGTTGGGAAAAAATTGGGAATTTTTGGGAAAAAAATTGAGAATTTTGGGGAGAAATTTGGATTTTTGGGGAAAAAAAATGGGATTTTTAAAGGTTAAAATTGGGATTTTTGGGAAAAATTTTGGGATTTTTGGGGAAGTTGTAGATTTTTGGGATTTGGGGTTTTTGGAATTAAAAATTTGGGATTTTGGGAATTTTTGAATTTGGGGATTTGGGGATTTTGGGGTTTGGGAATTTTGGGTTTTGGGAATTTTAGAATTTGGGATTTGGGGGGATTTAAGGATTTTTGGATTTTTGGAATTTGGAATTTTGGGCAATTTTGGGAATTTTGGGATTTGGAAATTTTGGGGTTTGGGGAATTGGGAATTTTGGGATTTGAAATTTTGGGACTTTTGGGATTTGGGAATTCTGAATTTTGGGATTTGGGAATTCAGAATTTTGGGAATTTGGGGAATTTTGGGGATTTTCAGGATTTGGGAATTTTGGGGTTTGAGGAATTGGGAATTTTGGGATTTGGGAATTCGGATTTTTGGGAATTTGGGGATTTTGGGGATTTGAGGATTTTGGGGATCGGGGAATTTTGGGATTTGGGAATTTGGTAACTTTGGGATTTGGAATTTCGGGGAATTTTGGGGATTTGTGGGTTTGGAAATTTTGGGATTTCGAAATTTGGGGATTTGGAAATTTTGGGATTTGGAATTTTGGGTTTTTTGGGATTTGGGAATTCGGAATTTTGGAAATTTTGGGGGTTTTGGGATTGGGAATTTTGGGACTTTTGGGATTTGGGAATTTTGGGAATTTTGGGATTGGGATTTTTGGATTTTTTGGGAATTTTGGGGTTCAGGGATTTGAAATTTTGGGGAGAAATTTTGGGGAGAAATTTTGGGAACTTTCGGGTGTCGGGATTTGGGAGTTCAGGGATTGTGAATTTCTGGGAATTTGGGGGATTTTGGGAATTTGGGAATTTTGGGCTTTGGGGATTTGAAATTTTGGGATTTGGAATTTTGGGACTTTTGGGATTTGGGAATTCGGCATTTTGGGAATTTGGGGATTTTGTGGATTTGGGGATTTTTGGGATCAGGGAATTTTGGGATTTGGAATTTCGGGGAATTTTGGGGATTTTGGGATTTGGGAATTTTGGGACTTATGGGATTGTGGTTTCGGGATTTTTTTGGAATTTTGGAGTTCAGGGATTTGAAATTTTGGGGGATTTTGGGAATTTTGGGCTTTGGGGTATTGGGAATTTTGGGATTTGGGAATTTTGGGACTTTTGGGATTGGGATTTTCGGATTTTTTGGGAATTTTGGGGTTCAAAGATTTTAAAATTTGAGGAATTTTGGGAATTTTCGGGTGTCAGGATTTGGGAATTTTGGGATTCGGAATTTTGGGACTTTTGGGATTTGGGAATTCGGAATTTTGGGATTTTGGGGATTGGATAATTTTTGGGATCGGGGAATTTTGGGATTTGGAATTTTGGGACTTCTGGGGTTTCAGGATTTAGGACTTTTGGGACTTCTGGGATTGGGGATTCGGGATTTTGGGGAATTTTTGGACTTTTGGGATTGGGAATTGGGGATTTTTTTTGGAATTTTGGGACTTTTGGGATTTGGGGATTTTGGGATTTTGCGACTTTGGGGATTTGGGAATTCGGGATTTGGGGGATTTGGGGATTTTTGGGATCTGTGAATTTTGGGATTTGGGAATTTTGGGGTTCAGGGATTTTGAATTTCTGGGAATTTTGGAGATTTTTGGGACTTGGGAATTTTGGGGTTTGGGGAATTGGGAATTTTGGTGATTTTGGGAGTTTTGGGGATATGGGGATTGGGAATTAGTGATTTTTGGGCATTGGGAGATTTGAGGATTTTTGGGATCTGGGAATTTTGGGATTTGGGAATTTTGGGAATTTTGGGACTTTTGGGACGATTGGGATTTAAGGATGTTTTGGGGATTTTGGGGTTTGGGGATTTGAAATTTTGGGGGATTTTGGGAATTTTGGGATTTGGGGATTTGGGAATTTTGGGACTTTTGGTATTGGGATTTTCGGATTTTTTGGGGATTTTGGGGTTTGGGGATTTGAAATTTTAGGGGATTTTGGGAATTTTGGGCTTTGGGGATTTGGGACTTTTGGGATTTGGGAGTTTTAGGACTTTTGGGATTGGGATTTTGGGATTTTTTGGGAATTTTGGGGTTCAAAGATTTTAAATTTTGAGGAATTTGGGGAATTTTCGGGTGTCAGGATTTGGGAATTTTGGGATTCGGAATTTTGGGACTTTTGGGATTTGAGCTTTGGAATTTTGGGGAATTTTGGGGATTTTTGGGATTTGGGAATTTTGGAGATTGGGGAGTTGGGAATTTTGGGCTTTGGAATTTTGGGACTTTTGGGATTTGAGCTTTGGAATTTTGGGACTTTTGGGATTTGGGAGTTTTGGGACTTTGGGAATTTTGGGACTTTTGGGATTTGGGACTTTGGGGGTTTGGAAATTTCGGGATTTTTGGGACTCAGGGATTGAAATTTTGGTTAATTTTGGTAATTCCATGTCCATCTCCCACCTCCACCTCGCTGGGCAGCTCCGGGGGCAGCTCCGGGGGCGGTGCAGGGGTCGGGGGGAGGGGCCGAGCACACAGATCCCACAGACGCTGCAGCGGCTCAGGGAGGGGCCCTGCGGGGAGGGGCGGGGTCAGAGAAAAGGGGGCGGGGCCAGGAAAAAGGGGGCGTGGTCGGAAATGGGGGCGGGGTCACAAATGAGGGGGCGGGGTCAGCTATGAGGGGGCGGGGTCAGATATGAGGGGGCGGGGTCAGATATGAGGGGGCGGGGTCAGATATGGGGGCGGGGCTATGGCTGAGGGGGCGGGGTCATGATTGAGTGGGCGGGGCAATAACTGAGAGGGCGTGGCCATAGAAAGGGGGCGTGGCCAGGGCTGTGAGGGCGGAACCAATAATGAGTGGGCGGGGTCAGAAACGGGGGGTGGAGTCAGAGAAAAGGGGCGTTATCATGGTTGAGGGGGCGGGGTCAGAAACGAGGGGGCGGGGCCAAAGGCTGAGGGGGCGGGGTCAGAAAATGTGGGCGTGTCCAGGGATGAGGGGGCGTGGTCATAGAATGGGGTGGGGCCAGAACTAAGAGGGCGGAGCCAGAAACAGGGGGCGGGGTCAGACATGGGGGGCGGGGTCAGAGAATGGGGGCAGGGCCAGGGAAAATGGGGCGGAGCCAGGGCTGAGGGGGCGGGACCAGGAATAAGGGGCGGGGTCAAAGCTGAGGGGTTGGGGTCAGGGCTGAGGGGGTATGGTCAGGGCTGAGAGGGCGTGGTCAGAGAATGGGGGCGTGGTCAAAATTGAGAGGGCAGGGCCAGAAATTAGGGCGGGGCCAATGATGAGGGGGCGGGGCCAGAGAATAGGGGCGTGGTCATGAATGAGGAGGCGTGGTCAGAAACGGAGGCGGGGCCAGAAATAATAGGGCAGGGTCAGGAATGAGGGGGCGTGGCCAGTGCTGAGGGGGCAGGGCCAGGAATGATGGGGCGGGGCCAGGGTTAAGGGGGCATGGCCAGAACTAAAGAGGGCGTGGTAAGGGAATTGGGAGGGGCTGAGGAAAAGGGGGCGTGATCAGGGTTGAGGGGGCGGGGCCAGGATTGAGTGGGCGGGGCCAAAGTAAGGGGAAATAGTTTGAGCAGGGGGCGTGGCCAACAAAGGGGCGGGGCCAGGATTGAGTGGGCGTGGTCAGAGCGGGGGGGAAGTCTGAGCAGGGGGCGTGGCCAAAAAGGAGGCGTGGCCAAAAAGGGGCGTGGCCATAGACTGTATAGGGTTAAAAGAACGGGGGCGTGTTCAGAAATGGGGGCGGGGTCAGGGCTAAGAGGGCAGAGCCAGGATTGAGTGGGCGGGGTCAGAGTCAGGGGGAGGAGTCTGAGCATGGGTGTGGCCACAGCAGGGGGCGTGGCCAAAAATGGGGCGGGGCCAAAGACTATTAAATTAATGGAATGGGGCGTGGCCAAAAAAGGGC